GGGTGCATGTAAATATAGATAATTTTGGAGACAGGAATAGGAATTTGTGACGGTTAGTTTTATGCGTCCACTTAACTGGGCTATGAGGTACCCAGATATTTGGTTAAACCTTATTCTGGTGTGTGTGTGAGAGTATCTGTAGGTGAGTTTAAGATTTGCATAGGTGAAACGAGTAAAGCAAATGGCTCGCTCTAGTGTGGGTGGGGCCACCCAGTCACGTGAGGGCCTAAGCAGAACAAAAAGACTAAGAAGGAACCGCTGCCTGGCTGCCTGTCAGCAGGGACATTGGTTTTTCCTGCTTTTGGGCTCGAACTGAAACACTGGCTCTTCTTGGGTCTCAAGCCTGCCTCCAGACTGACCATACATTGGCTCCCCTGCAACTCCAGCCTGCAGATCTCAGGACCTCTCAACCTCGATAATCATGCAGGACAATTCCTTATAGTAATTCTCTTTACACACACACACACACACACTCTTACACACAGCACACAACCTATTTCTCTATTGTTCTATGTTTCTGGACAACCCTGACTAATACTGCATTGTAGTAATTCATGCCCATTAAGACCTACTTTCTTCTAAAACAGAGTCAAGTTCATCTGCCAGGTGTGAGGCGAGTGAGGAAGAGACAGTGGGCTTAAGAAGCGAGGAAGAGATTTTGTACTAGAATAGAACTTACTAAGTTACTGAGTAGGGTCTGGTTTCCTGGTATTAAAGGTATTTCTCCAGAAGAAAATTAATTTTTAATTGTTTGTTAAACTCTCAGTTCAATATATGTCTGCGGCAGGATTATAAATTCAATGGGTGGGTCTGCAGCTTTGGAGTGGAGTGTGGTTTATAGTTGGTGCCCTTTGCTTGGGTTCGTATTCCGGCTTTGTCATTTTTTGGATGCGTGATTTGGGGCATGTTGCTCAACCTCTTTGCCCTCCAATGTCCTCATCTGTATCTTGTCATAGGATTGTAGTGGAGATTCTGAAGTAAATCTCCCCGGCACTTTGAATCGTAACTGGCAATAGTAAAAACTCAGGGACGTGGTCCACTGTGATCATCGAGGCCACCGTCTACCCTGGAACTTGGCTTGATGTCTGGAATACAGTAGGTCTGGGTGCATGAACTCGTGGGGGGATGAGTCCGTGGTTCTGTGGCTCAGCCCCTGTGGGTCACTGTTGCCAACTCAGTGACAACATTTCCACCCTGTTCATATTCGTCCCTGCATCTTGGGGCAAGATCCTCAGGATCAAATTTTTTTTTTGGAATCCCTTTCCGGTGGGGTTACATGTTTGATTTTGCCAATGACAGGTGTTTGCCAAATGTTTGAAAAGGAAAGGTAAGGAAAATAATTATTTCTTCAGGGACAGCTGGGGAGAGCTGCCCGGATTAAGGCAGAAGACACGAGGAGAGGTTTTGCAGCTATATCTGGGCATTCTCCTGAGAAACACGTGGTTCGGTTTGTGGCTGTGTGAAAGCAGTTCCCTGCCTTTGCCCTTTTGGTTCTTCCCATATTTGTGTAAATTTGCTAACCTCCTGCATTCAGTCTCTTCCTTCTTAAAACACCTACTAGGCTTTGGTTTTTTAATTAAACCCCATTGTTGAGGGGTGAATTGTGTCTCTCCTCCCTTTGTATTCTGTTGAGGTCCTAACACACACTACTTCAGACCGTGACAGTATTTGGAGATAAAGTCTTTAAAAAGGCAATTAAGTTAAAATGAGGCCATTAGGGTGGCCCATAATATCATACAAAAATAAATCTGTATTATTTAAACCACGCAGGCTGTGTTATTTTCTTATGGCAGCCCTAGGAAACAAATACACCAATCCAAACACTAACCGGGTTGTTAGAACAAGAGACTCCAAATTGTCCCTCTGACTTTTGGGAGCCGAGAGTATGGTCTGGTGATTCCCTGAGGTATCACATATTTGTGAGTCGCTTGAAAAATTCACACAAGGCCACTGTTAGGGTGGAAAGCTTAGTAGGTGCTCATGGTGCCAGTGGAGAAAGATTTCTCATACAGATATTAAGATTTATAAACACAATTTATTTTAGAAGGACAGGGAGGGGGAGAGAGAGAAAGAGAGAGAGGGAGAGAGAAGGGGGTGGAGGAGGAGAGCAGAGAGACGGTGGCATCCCAAAGAAGGAGAGGGGAGATGCCAGCCGGGAGACCAAGTGACTCTCTGCTTTTATGGGGTCAAAGAGAAAAGTAGCAACTGTTGTGGAGTCATTAGCAGGCAGTTGCAAGACGTCAAGTCAAGCTGGCCGTCTTTCTTGTTCCTTCTGTTCCTGGAGAGGTGGTTATCTCTGAGAGGTGGCCAGGCCTGTCGCAGGAGATCTGTGACTTTTGCCCCTGAGAGCTGGTTTTGGGCAGGAAACCGAGCCCTGGCGTTTAACCCTCCTGCCAACTCGGGGAGCTTCTCAGGAACACCTTGAGGCTGTAGAACAGATTCTAAAGGCTGTGAGCTGGGGACTTGTAAAGAGAAAGGGTTGACATTTCCTTTCTTTTGGCTCTTTTCTGCTGTTTATGAAAAAAGGAATCCCAGCCTGCTAGTTTGGGGCAGAAACAGCAAAGAGTAGGGAGAGCTCTAGATTGACCTTTAGCTGTTGTGAGAAAATGTGGAGAGTCAAGGCCGCCCTGGTTGCTGTCTAGTAAATTCTGTGCCACAGCCTGGTGGGGCTGAGTTCTGACCAGGGCCTTCCTCAGGACCGGAAGTGGACCCTTCCTCAGGACCGGAAGTGGATGCGGCTCCCCTGCCGGAAGTGGTTGCCTGTGTTTTCTAACCCAGACGGGGAGTTAAGGCCATCAACACGCACCCGAGGCTCACCCCGCCCAAAGAGGGGGAGGGACCCACACAGGGGTGCGTAACGACTGGGCGCCAAGGGCACGTCGGGGCCACCGGGGGGTCAAAGGGCGCGGGGCCGCTGCCCCTGTCAAGCCTGGGTCTGAGGCGAGCGTCGGCGTCTCTGTTTCCCTGAGGAGGAAACTGCTCCGGACGGACGGACGGACGGACGGGAAACTTCACAGCGTCCTGCGACGAGGCCTGACGTGGCCGGATGGATTCCCATCGAGGTCCTACTCTGCGATCCCATATTTCACTACTTTGTCACATCACCTCGTAGAAACACGTCACCAACTTGCCATCCGACCGTTTGGCGTGGCTGCAGATATCTATGGAGCGGCGACAAACGCCACCGCCAAGCGTCCCCGCCTTACACAACAGCTCTGCCCCAGGCATGTCCACACGCACGTTCGCTGCATCCCACCGAGCTCGGTTGGAACAAGGGGGGCCTTGGTTCTTCCCAGAAAATCTGAATGTCACCAAACAGGAGTATTTGAACTTGTGTGCAGGAGGTGGGAATGATGTTGTTTTATCCCCCAGATATTTAAGTTTTGTTCTTAAAATGTTCCGTTATTACAGTGACATGAAGTTGTACTACATATTTACTCGGGCGATTCATTCTAAGGTTGCAATTCTAGCTTCAATTAGATTAGAAACAGAAATCATACCTTAACTGAAGAAGGGTTTAGTTTTTAAGCAGTGGTGGCAACTGAAGACAGAGACTTTCAAATAATTTATTTTCCATGAAAGCAAGCAGATCATCTTTATTCCATTATCCAAGAAAACCTTGCAGTGGTTTTGATTATTAAACATGTTTAGCCTCCCTTTATCTGATTTATGCATTGCCTGCCTACTTGCCCACACCCAGACCTGCCATGCTGACACAAATCGAATGACTCCCCAAGCAACCTAATTGCAAATTCAATTCAACCCTCTTTCAATGGGCTTACGTGTAATTTGCACCTCTTTATGACTAATACAAGTCATTTATGAGTTGTGTGTAATCTTCTCTGAGTCTGGAAGTTTCCCCCCACCCTACTTTTAAATATCTTTCTGCAAAAGGGCATATGAGTCACTGAAGTTTATTTTAAAAATGAGTTTTGCGCAGCAAATAATTAAACATGAGAAGACATCGAATATTCTCTGATGCTTTGATCTCCTTAAATCAAACCCCAGATAATGCAATTCCAGAGTTCCTGTAAATACAAAGTATAGCATGTTAAAAAAAATGAGAGGTAGAGGGATGATCACACAGACATTCCTACTTTGGATATTTATTTTTTAACGTTGACTCTGTTTCCTTTGAAAAATCTCAAGCATAATTGATATTTTAATTTCAGAAGAACCACAAATCAACCAGGTAGGTGAGCCAGATTCAGTGAGCTTCATATCTCATACTAGATAAGATTTAAATAAAACCTACTCAATTTCTAAACTGTGTCTTTTCGTTTTGACTGTAAAAAATATTAGAACAGCATTAAAGGGATATTTCATAAAACTGTCCAAACATAACTGATTTCAGTTTTGTGTATTCCCGCCCTGTCTTTATTTGTATTAACATATCCATTTGCTTTCTAATACTCAAGAGATGATAAGACAGAAAGAAAACTCCAGAACTAAATGCTATTCTGGGAGCAGAAGGTGTTGTCTGACAGCTGTGGCCTGGTGTCCTGCCCTGCAACCCCTGCCGACCCCTTTCTCATCTCCCACAAGTCCCCAAATTCCTATTTTTCATTTACTAGTGATCCCCAAACTAAAAATAAGTCCTTGTTTTTTCTTTTTTGCAGAACAATAATAATAAAAGTTCCTTGAGGGCAGAGACAAGATCTTTTCTATTTGTCCCAGTGCTTAATACAGTGCTGGGCACATGGCATTTTCAGTTACTAAATAAGAATAAGAAAAAAAAAAAAGCAATTTATGTCTTCTGTTGGCTTCAAATCTAATCTTATCTTTTTCATAACCTCTGATTGTCCTAAAAATCACAGATTCTTGATAAAGAAGAACAAATCACTATTGGCACATTTAACACTTGTACATTTTATTTAATTAAATCAGCCATTGTACACATTGCAGCTATGTATTGTTAGTGTTGTATTTTTTTCCATTAACTAATACATGCCCTCATAGATATATTCAATTAGTGTTATCACCATGGGAACAAGATGCTGATTCATCAACTGAAAATTCACTTCTTCTCACAGTATTCAAGTTTTTTGATAACACAGCAAAAATCAAAATCAAAAAAAGGTGAATAACCATTATGTTGTTACACAGACATCATCTGCACTGCAAATAACACAACAGAAATGCTTTTCTTGAGCTCCAGTGAAGGTTTGACAAGGAGGCCACAGGGTGTCTCAAAAAGTTCCACTATGGGCCTCTCTCATTTTGGCTGCCAAAGAATGTTTTATTTCCTATCCAACTGCCAAAAAGTGCTAGCATTTGAGGCTTAGGAGATTTGGCTTGTGGGAAACCTCCCCAGGAAATTTTTTTCTCTTGGCAACATTACTTTAAATGATGAAGTGCCATTGTTTGTCACATTTGTTTTTGACAGTCGGAGCAATGAGTCATTTTTGCACAACAGGAAAAGACCAGATAATTGGAAAATGTTCAATCCCTGGAGGACAGACTCTTTTTTTTTTTTTAAATTTAAATTTCATCTTCATTGAATATACTTTCTTTAACAAATAACTGATTCAAAATGTATACTGTTTATATGAATATATTTGTGAATATATATATATGTTAAAATGCTACACAGCTTCAACCACTAGAGGAATAAGGAATAGGACATGGAAATCACTCAGATTGTTATAGTCCCTTCTTTGAAACAAACAGAAAAGTGCACAAATGCACTTCAGAGTTTCCAAGGGAGTGTGGATTTCAAATAAATAAACCAAAAAATTTAACCCAAACCAAATTTGCAAAGATTTCTCAATCTTGTCTGCAAGCTGAAAAACAGACCCAGCTGGAAAGTGAAAAGTGTTCACTCTGGGGTGGGGTGGGGAGGGAATGAAAACCATTAATGTGATTAGAAGAGGGGTTTTGACTGTGGTTTTGATTTTTAAATGCCACATGCAGGTATTAGAGAAGATAGAAACCTGGAGAAAAAAAAATAAAAAAAAGAAACCACTCCAACATAATGAAGGAGTTTTAACCTTTTATGTCGTGGGTAAATCTTGTTTCCAATGAATTATCTACAGTGCAGTGGCCAGAAGAAAGTACCACCAGTAAGACAGTGTGGTTTGCTAAAGCAGCAATGAAAACTGGAAAACTACAGTAGTTATAGCTTTTAAAATACCCTGCCAGCGTGCCCAAAATCTAAAAGACCTGAAGATGCTAGAATGTCACCTGACGTAGCTGCTAGCAACTGGATACCTCCTCGTTTCCTTCTCCTCCTCCCTTCCTCCCCTCCCTTGGAGTGGTTGCCGGAAAGAGTCATACGCATGGCTGGCCAGCACCAGCAGTAGCTTCTTAGAACCGTTCTTTGAGGTTATGAATCCATCTTTAACTAGGAGCAATGGCTACTCTGGAAGATCTAAGGACATGATAGGTCTGAAGTGCTTCTTTTGCAGTAAAACTGTATTACCATTCGATTGTGTTAGCAATATCGCAATTAACCATCGTTCAGCAATTTCTAGAGGCCTTTTATTCCATGATGCCCAGTGTAGTTATGATAGGCAGTGGTTTTAATTTTAATCTGTTGTTCATCTGAGCATTTCAGCTATATACATTGTACATGGACATCCCTTTGAAGGATTCCTATACGTCGTCACGAGAAGAGGTCTGCAGGTGAAGTTCTTCTGATCAATGGATGTTCATGGAGCTTGGGCAGAAGCAAAGAACCATGGAGGTGGCCAGTCCCCAGCTTAGCACAGACACAACAGAGTAGTGGATACAGCATCCGGAATGAAGGATGCTATCTTTGGTCACAAATCAGCTTAGAGTTAAAGAGGATGCGGGAAAAACTAAAACGAAATGCAGTATCTTTGCTAACAGTGGAAGTGTTGGGGTGTCCCACGAATTAGGCTCGTTAGGTCACTTCTCTAGTGAAAGAGGAAGCTGCATGTTGAGTGAATGTGTGGTTTCTGGCGTGAGGACTGGGCAGCCCCTCATTTGGCCTCTGGCTTCAAGTCCTCCTCGCAGAAATGTCGCAGGAGCCTCTGGAGATCGTGCTGGAGGGCGTCCTGGTCTAGCGCTTCGGGGACATCCTCCAGGTGCTCCAAGTCAATGCGTTTTCCATGCTGGTCCTTCACCACAGCCCTCTTCTGAGTGCGGGCTTTACTCATGGTTGTCCTGGGGGGAAGCAGACACGAGGGAGTTATGCTCTCTTCTCATTGCTAAGAGGCAGCTGCTGGGCCTGGGGGTAACCATCACTGGAGCACTTACTGTCTTACCTCTAGGCTTTTCTATACCACACTATTAACTGCAGACGTCCTTGCATGCCTCCCTATCCTAAAGAGACATAATCTCACTTTGTTGCCCAGGCTAGAGTGAGTGCCGTGGTGTCAGCCTAGCTCACAGCAACCTCAAACTCCTGGGCTCAAGCGATCCTGCTGTCTCAGCCTCCCGAGTAGCTGGGACTACAGGCATGTGCCACCATGCCCGGCTGATTTTTTTCTATATATCTTAGTTGGCCAATTAATTTCTTTCTATTTATAGTAGAGACAGAGTTTTTCTATATATCTTAGTTGGCCAATTAATTCCTTTCTATTTATAGTAGAGATAGGGTCTCGCTCTTGCTCAGGCTGGTTTTGAACTCCTGACCCTGAGCAATCCACTCGTCTTGGACCCCCAGAGTGCTAGGATTACAGGTGTGAGCCACTGCGCCTAGCCGGTATTTTTAAATCTTTAAGAAATATTTCAAATAAATGGAATCATGCTTTAATGTGACCCTCTCAAAAAGCAACCACACGATCATTCATGTTTTGATTACGTTGCGCTGATTTAAGAAAGCTTAGTTGGCCCTGAGATCATGATTCCACAAGTTCCTTTTGACAAGCCCGAAAGATATTGCTTTAAATAGAATTTATTAAAACACCCATAGCTGCCAGCTTCATCCCTACCACATCCCGACCCAAAATTCCCAAAATTATTTTTAAGAGAGGTTTCCCATGAGAGACAGAGAGATCTTTCAAAACTGAAGTATTATTCTATCAATATACAGGAAGGTGACTACCAACAAGAGATGCTTTCTCTGCATTCTCAGAGCCCCACGCACTCCTTGCTTTGAGTCCCCTGTTGCCTGAAACAGTCTGGTGCTATGGCCTCCTTCGTCAGATTGCTGATGGCTTCAGGAAAGGAGCTATAACTTACTATTGCATTTCATACATACTCATATCTTCCTGCATCCCTACTGGAAAATGATCATATTGTAATTTGTTTACTCCAAGTTCACTCTCTACTTAAATATAATTCTTCATTGCACAAGTATTTGATGAATGTGTTTTATGTTGCAGACGCTATTATTATAACAAATAAAGAAATTGAATACCCCCATTGGGGGTAAGCATTGGGGGTAAGCAATACCCCCAATGAAATACAACAGAGTACGCATGCAGTGGGGCCAAGTGTCCCACCACCTGAGTCCATGACCCCTCTGCTATACATCCTCACTTAAAAGCACTGTAGGAAATGATCAGTTTTTGTAATATTACCCATGTTTTCCTTACAGATTCCTACTGTTCAGAAATTGGAAGTTTTGTCCATCTTCCAATACCTCTATGCATTTGTTAAGATCATCCTGATTTTTAAAAAATGACTGACTTCACCCAAAATACTTTCCACTTTCTTTTGGACATTCTTGTTTTCTTCTTCCTTCTTCTCTCATGTTTTCCTACTCTCCCCTTTTCTTTGATACTACATGAATGATTTTATATCTGAAAGCTATAAATTTGCTCCTCTTGATAAAAAGGTCAAATTTGGTTCCAATGACTGAAGTAAGATTATGTTTTTCTAACTATTCAGCATTCGTTATTTTTTTTCCCCAAAAAAGGCAAATTTCTGACTATTTCCGCTAAGAGCTGGTAGAGCCTTTCTAGCACTGGTGTTAGGGGATAAGCTTCTATCAAAGGACATTTCCTGGTATTTTGTGCAGCCATATGTAGATGAATATGTTTATGAATATGTACACGTATGTGAGCAAATATCTTCAACGACATATAAGTTCTCATGAACAGAGCTCTATAACTAACCAGCAGTGCAAACTCGATCGAGTTGTCTATATTCCTGGCTTCAAATTCACCAGCTGTCATTGAGAATTTTGGATTAATTGGTCTCTAAATCTATCCCAGTTTGAAGATCTCCCAGTTTGAAGATCTCCAGATGCTGGGACATGCATGATTTACGTGGTTTCATCTGAATAACTGGATAAAAGACTTAAAAGTTCAGATTATAAAAGGCATTTCATCCTTAATTCACATAGGATTTTTAAAGTTCTAAGAGAGCAATTACACTCTTTTCAATTCCTAGCTGCTGCTGTTTTTCACATTTGACTGGAGGGAGGAAACAGAACCTTTAATTTTGCTGTTCTAATTATTATGTTCCAAAGGCTTAAAATAGCTTTGCAGATTACTATAAACAACAATCTTTCTCTCCTTTTCAATGAAGTGAAAAGCACATTAGTAACTTGAATTTCCATTGTGTCTTTTCACTGAGAAGCTGAGAACATTTTCTTAATCTAGAGGCTTACAGGGCTGAGAGAGGACCAGTGAGAAGTGGGAGCAAAGGAATCGTGCCCACATTTACACATCGAGTCTGTGATGGAGACAAAAACAGACCCGTGCTGCTCCCAGCCGTAACGTGCTGCTTACGGCTTTCACGACACTTCCCTTGTTAAAGCCCCTGGTTCCGGCGTTGCTAATACACTCGGTGCCTGGGTACCAAACTCATGCTCATGTTATTTGTCACTCACATGCAGAATCACAAAACAGCTCATTAAAAAAAAAAAAAGCGTGTACCATTTAAAGTAATGATTTACTAAGATTAAGCTGAATGTAGCAGGTCACAAAATTAATTTGTGATCAATGGATTAGATTCTTTTTCTTGTGCTCTCTAAATCTGTCAACACAATGGAATATCCCAGCTGTTTGGTTTCAACACATTAATGACTTGCTAAAGCCCAAGGAGTCAGATTGCGTAAGCACATTCTCACTATCTCTATGCCTTACTATGGCTCTTAAAACATCAAGAGGCTATTTCAGGTGTGACATTCTGACAGATCACCACTTGACCGAAGCCAGTACAGGACAGTCAGCAGTTCCCAAGGGGTTTTAGGGCATATGTCGGAGCTGTGCCCTCTTTTTCCTAAAACTGGAAAACTTTTTATGGTGTTAGTTAGCAAAGCATCACCCCATGCTAACCCAAACCTTTTAATTATTGATCCATCCTCTTTCAGGATTTCATTCTCTACTAAACTGGGGAAGTGGACTTTCATGTGGCTACCTGTGTAACTCAAAGCCTGAAGTGAGAAAAAAGAAAAGAGGACAAAACTCATCAGAAACCACAGACTTTAAAATAATCTATTGCTTTACTTAATTCATAGTCAGTATGAAAACATATACTCGAAATAAAAATAACTCCTAGAAGCAGATCTAAGTTTTGAGTTTTATTTAACAAGTGCCTTAAATTTCTCCCATTTCTGAGGGAGATTTGTTATAATTACTTTACAAAAGCTGCTGATTAATATCCACATGGATTGACTTTCAGTTTCCTCCTTGCCTCACCCACTTCTTTTTACAGGGGAGACCTCCATGATCAATATCATGACCCGAGGCAAAAACAAATAAACAAGGCCCAAAGTGTATAACTCAGAGGATTCATCACAGTTGTCAAAATGTGAAAGCTGGAAGTATTTAAATAAGGTATGCTTTTAATATCCCAATGCACTCATATATAATCACAATATATTAATATATTTTGAGTGTAGTAGTGGACATACATACAGCATTTAACTTCAAAATGTTTCAATAGCAAAAATCTTTTGTAGGTGTTGGCATACGCCCATCATCCCTTAATCAAAACCTCGGGGGCAAGATGTGTTTCAAAATTTAGATTTTTTTTTTTCTTTTGAATTTTAGAAAGGTAATATGACGCATATACAATCAATCATCCGCCACAAAACAATGGTTTGGTCAATGATGGATTGCATGTATGACAGTGGTCCCAGAAGGTTATGACAGAGCTGAAAAATTCCCATAGTGTGACGTGTCCCACAGTGTCCCGTAGTGATGACGTCTGAGCTGCTCCAACCTCTCAGTGCCACACATCGCTCACATGTTTGTGGAGATGCTGGTGTGACCAAACCCACTGTGACCTTCCAGTGGGACACAATGTGGAGGTGAAAGGCCATGACATCAATGATCCTGACCCTGTGTCGGCCTAGGCTAATGCATGTGTTTGTGTCTTAGTTTTTAACAAAAATGCTCAAAAGTAAAAAAAAAAAAAAAAAATTAAAAATTTAACAATAGAAAAAAAATCTTAAAGGCTGGGTGCAGTGGCTCACACCTATAATCCCAGCACTTTGGGAAGCCAAGAAAGGAGGATCACTTGAGGTCAGGAGTTCAAGAACAGCCTGAGCAAGAGTGAGACCCCGTCTGTACAAAAGTAGGAATTTTAGCGAGGCGCAGTGGCACACGCCTGCAGTCCCAGCTACTCAGGGAGGCTGAGGCAGGAGGATCGCTTGAGCCCAGGAGTGAGAGGCTGCAGTGAGCTGTGAAGATGCCACAGCACTCTATCACAGGCAACAGAGCAAGACCCTGTCTACAAAAAAAAAAAAAAAGGAAAGAAATTCTTTATAGAATGAGGATATAAAAAAATATTTTTGTGCAGCTATACAATATGTTTATGTTTTAAGCTAAGGTTTACTGCAAAAAGTGTATACAGTCAATAAATTATGGCAAGCTAAGGTTTATTATTTAAAAAAGAAATTTTTTTTTGTAAATTTAGTGTAGCCTAAGTGTGCAGTGTTTAGAAAGTCTACAGTAGTGCACGGTAATGTCCTAGAACTTCACAGTCACTCACCACTCACTCACTGACTCGCCCAGAGCAACTTCCCGTCCTGTAAGCTCCAGGCATGGTAAGGTCCCTACACAGGTGTACCATTATTTTACTCTACCTTTCTCTGAGGCTAAGAGAAAGGTAGAGCTAAGAGGCTAGATCATCTAGGTTTGTGTAAGTGCACCTTGTGATGTTCACACAATGGCAAAATCACCTAAAAGATGCATTTCTGAGAACACATCCCCATTGCAATACACGGTTGTACTGAATATTACTAACACCTCAGGGGTGGTGAAGAAGGCATCCTGCAATCAAACCCGATTTATATTGACAGTAATACATACAAATAGTCAATCTAAGTAGGATAAAAAAACTTCCTGTCATAATAGTTTCGTGACAGTTTATTCCGTGTTTTACTGCCAAGTTAACTTATAAAATTTGTTTTGAGTTTCAGAAATTTTAGATTTCAGCAAGGGTTTGTGGATCTGTCACTGTGGGCCCATTTTACAATCATTGGAAACCAGAACTTACATAATCATAATTGCCTTTTAAATTTAGGGGTATGGAATATATCTAAATTTTCTTTAATGCCTATCATTGACAATATTTGAGAATATTAGCTAGCTAAAATAATTTGCAAAATCTTAAATATCTTTCCCTTTTTCATTGGGAGTGCAAGACAATTCTGTGACTTTTTAACAAGATGTATAATCAGGCCCCAACTCCAGAGATCCTGAGTATGATTTAGCAGAAGCAAATCCTGGGCATTGGGACCTTTGAAAGCTCTAATGTGACACCAATGAACATCATAGTTTGCAGGAACATTACCGTACAAGGTCCTCAGACAGGAGTTCTGCTCCCTGGAATTATTCTGCATCCTTTCATAAATTAATGTATGGAATGACACAATGACAAAAATTTTTCTTTTCCAATGCAAAGTGAACATAAAACACACACGAAAACGACAAAATGATGATGCTTCTATACCTCTTCAAAGTCATCTTTGGCTGAAGGCAGATCAGTAGCTAAACTAGAATCCCCCAGATGCTTCTCCATCCTCTCTCCTTGGACCATAGTTGTTTTAACAACTTTGCTGACTCTACGGCCTTCCACTGGTTCAGCCTGAAATTGTGACGGACTGGACAGAACGCTGGGCTCAGACAGAGTCACCTAATGAATGAAGGACACATGACAAAACAATTTCTGGCTGCCAAAAAGTAACTATGATGAGTTTTTTTCTATGTTAAAAAACAAAAAACAAGACTATAATGTTCTACACTGGCTTTCCAGAAAACACTATTTGGAATTAGAAAAAACAAAGTACAGTCGATTGGTAATATCTATCTATATCTCCACTATGCCAAATCAACTTGAATTACTCAAGTTCAATGAGTAATGAGTCAAGAGAATGACTCTGGTGAGTAAGAAGCTGACTGCTCAGAGCAGTGCAGACTTAATGGCCTGTGGATGAACTCTCTTTTTCCACATTTAAATGGTTTCTTTTGGTGTTATGAAAATATAATTAGCTTCTAAAGGAGGAACTCTACAAGCTATGAGAAAATGAAAAGCAGATTTCTAGAGAACTTCGTGTGTATAATATAAAATTTTGAGGCAATGAATGAATGGAAAATGGTAAGAATTTCACAAATTATTTCCAGAGAGAGTAAATATGTTCCTGAAAGAGGGAAATAAAACAGAAAGAAACAAATCAAGGAGTTTCTAGATCCTGATTTGAGTGACTCTGTAATGCAGAAGTTTGAACATTACATATTGATCGGAAGTGACCTTCAGAAGGATCACGTGCCAACCAGGCTCCAACACCACAATACACTCGACCATGGGCTCTTCATAACATACTGCTTGGCCAGCACGCAACATTTTATCCTTTTAAAATGTGACTTTTGGATTCCTGCTGTGGGCAACCAGGAATTAAATAAAAAACAGAAACAAAACGGACCAAAGAAATACAATAAGTATATTGGCCATAAATCTCCCTGATGGTAATTTTAAAATCACATAGAATCATGACAAAAAAAAAAAAAAATTGAATGAGCACGTGAAAGAAGACAGCCACATAAAAAGGGACAGGTGAGGCCAGGATGAATGAACAAGCTTGTCCATCTTGTTTGAGTTCTGTTTTGCTCTTCTCCGTAAAATACATTTTGGAGAGTTAGGCGGTCTCACCTCTGACTGTTCGATGTCACTCTTCAATACTACGCGCTTTATGACCTTGGAGTAGCCGTCCCCCTCCTCGATGCTGACAGGCTCCTGCGGCAGTCCCTGCATTATAATCTCTTCTTTCTCCGTGCCCTCAGAGGACACATACCGCCTAATGATTTTCCTAGTAATCTGAAATATATTTAATGCATGTATCTTAGTTTTGAGTTACAGCACCCCAGTATTGATAAATTCTAATCAGGAAGTTTGCAGTCAACTGTGTTAGGATACGATGGGCAATACCTTCTTCACCACGGTGTGTCCGTGCTCGTCAATGTATTCTTCCTCTGTGACTGTTTCCGGGGGAATGTCAGGCATGTCATCTCCCTGCACAGTCGGGGGGGAAAAGGGTCACTACAGAGTTTGGCACCATTGCAAGGAATTGCCCCCAGGTGCTTATAACATGAGGAGTGTTAGAAAAATCAAAGGCGATGTTCAGAAGCATTGCGGAGATACAAAATCCTGTCGAGTAGTTTGTTTAAAAGGAAAACAAAACAAAACAAAACAAAACAAAACAAAACAAAACAGGTGAGTAATAACATGCTTGGGATAATCTGACCAAAGTCAGGTGAAACTTAAACAAACAAACAAAATTAGATAAGCGAGAGGTGAGGGGCGTGGAATTAAAAAAGCCAGGTCTTGCTCTTGCTGGGTGGCTCTCTCGGAGGTCAGCTGCAAACGCCATTACCGCCGCATTTCTTTACAAACAGAACTTAGAAGAGTTAAGGGATCCGCTTTGTCATGGCCATGCACTACCTAAGGAGCATGCCAAGCCTTCACTGAACCAGGTCGATCACTCTGGAAAGATATGGGGACGGGACTGGCCCTGGCGTGCAGTAATGGAACAGCTGGTACCTGAATAATCACTCGCCGGCGGACGACCCTGGTAGTTACCATGGCCTCCTCATCTGAGCTGGCCTCCAGCTCCCCTAATTCCTCTGTTAGCTCCTGGTGGAAGCATGGAAGCATTGTTTTGTTTAACACGCTAAGGAATGACTTCACCACCTGTTTCTGCTTTAGGTTGCATTCTGAAAGTTTCACTCATGGAGGCTTTGATGGAAAAGTCAGCAGGGGTGAAAATAAAAATGCGTGCTGGTCTCAAACTTTAACAAGAATATAGTTATTTTGTTTAATGGATAAAAAAAAAAATATTCCGGAATTCTGAAAGCTATACGAGAGCCCATCTGTCAAAAGCAGTTCAAAGAAATGAGCAGCTTGCTCACATGACTTCTTATACTTAAACTCCTAAAAAAATAACTAAATGTAAGCATAGAACTTAACTTAAGCAGCACAATAAACACTTGTGAGCCATTGACATTTGGTCTTAGGCTTAGAATTATTAACCCAAAGACATAAAAATATCTCCTATTTGTAGAAGAGCTTTCTGCAGGAAGTTAAAATTTCCCATAGCCATTATCTAGCAAGTAGTGTATCTCCTGACATCAAAAGTGGCAGTCTATGAATAATATTACACTCATATTGCAGAGAAGTTGAGATGCAGAGGCCTATCAGATCTTATGGGTCTGGGTCAAAGCCAGAGATGGGACAAAAAACATATTAATGATTTTAAATTACAGCATACATCTTGGGAGTCACATTATCAAATCACTCCTTCCTAATGAAATGTTATTTTTTAAAAAAAAGAAAAATCAGCTAAATTCGCTTAATGTATCTAGAAATATGGTCAGCAAGAAAAGGGATTGAAATTGGATGCCCAAGTTAGGAAGAAGTGAAGGGTCAACATAGGAAGCTTAAGGGAGATAACTGGATAATCATCAAGAATAAGTGGAACAGTCCTGTATAAAGTATGTGGAATGCAGAATGACTTATCAAAGTTCATTTGTCTAGAATAGATTAAACATATGAATTATCCAGATAATTGTTTCAAGTCTGACTTCACTAAGCCTCTGAATTCTTAGGCTAACTTTGGTAACTTTTAAGCCCAGCTAGCACATATGAAACATTTTCATTAGTATTCATTTAAGCCCCAAATCTGAGAAATGAGTAATTCTGTGCAGAGTAAACTTGGAATAAAAATCTATTCATGAGATGAATTGTTTCAGATAACTGTCAAAATCAGGACATAGTTCTCATTTGCCTGGATCTTTCCTAATTTTAGCTATGATTTTTAGATAAATCCTGGTAGCAGATGTCACCATCAAGGTGACAAAACAAGTGTATATCTTAAGCCCAAAGTTACGTTGCATCACTTGACTTTCCCCCACAAATTTCAATTTTTTCATATAACTCATCTTTTACCACTCAGCCTTAATTAATGCTTTAAAAACACTTTGAAATATAAAATTTATATAAAAATTAAAGAAATATAAAATTTATATAAATTTATTAAATTTATAAAATGTAAAATTATAAAATGTATATTTTTCTAAAAGGAAAAAATATCTAATTTAACTTATATTAAATTAAGTTTAATTCTAACATGTCTCACACTTTCTTGTGTGTAAGAATCTTCCAGGGAGTTATGTAAGAGTGCAGATTCTTGCTCCTTCTCCCTCCTTCTCCCTCCCAGGGGTGGGATTCTGATTCCGACTCAGGACTTCTGAGGAGGGATCCCCAATTCATTGGGAGGCATGTGAACTATATAGACCATGTTTGGGGAACAAATGGTTTAAATGAATTTTTTAACATGGTCCCCACTCCTCTTCTCAACTTCACAAGTCAATGACAAAGGAAATGCAACGATGCATGCCACCGTCGGGCATTTGGACATTTAGAAACGGCAGTAAGTTCAGGCATGATGTTCTTCTTCTAAGTCATTCCTGAAATACATTTAATGAAGTCTAATTTGGAAATTATCCTTCTCTAATGAGAAAACGCATTTGGAGGGCTACACCTGACCCGACCCGACATGCACAGGTTGCGTGCTTGTCCCCTGGCGGCATCACCGGCACACCCGTGGCTGGCACTTGGGACTCTCTCAATCCCTACCTCTAGCTTTCATGCCTAAATTTACTAATTTTAAAAAGCTACGTCACATATATTGCGTCATCACAGTTTTCTTAGCAAAAGAGTTTCCGATGATAAAATGATGGCTTCTGGTCAAAGAGCCAGTCTGGGCACGGTGTACCATTTCTCCTGGATTCACTGGCGCTCAGATTTTTAAAAGGGATTGCGGGTTTCCATGGCTCAGATGAATAAATTTGGTAAAGTTTTTTTTTTTTGTCTTGAAATGAAAAAAGTAAACGACCCGAGAAATGGAAATTGAAAGGTTTGTAGCTTCGTTCCAGATGGGCAAGGACAGGGAGAGGAAAGAAGTCTTACCTTTTCAAAGGCCGTATTTTCCTGGAGTCTTTCCAAGGCCTGCGACTGGTCATCCGCAGACTCCACTATCACAAGGCTCGTCTTCTGCAGAGAACTCTCGTCCCCGCGCGCTGGGCGCTCTTCGGGCTCCTGCACGATGGGAGAGTCTCCCCGCTCGCTGGGTGCTGGCGTCTGGGGGTACAGCCTCTCCTCCTCAGGGGGGCTACCAACGTCCTCAGGTGTCTTGCTGGGAGAGCCAGGTACTGCCGTGGACTTTTGGGTCTCTGACACTTCTGGTCCTGGGGATGTCACACTGGAATGAAAAAGCCAGATGATGCAAATTTGGCCCAGAAAGGAAATTTGAAGAAAAATCATGCTGTAAGATATACTGCAGAGTTGTAGCTCATGGGTCTAGCAGTGACAGACGGTGATGTATTCGAAAGATAAAAATTATCCTAAGGTGTATTACAGTTACCTGACCTCTACAAATTGTGCATGTCACAATTTCGTCTTTTCCTTGATAACTCAATATTGAGGACTTCAGTTTTAGATAACAAAAATTTGTAGATAATAAGGTTTTTGAAACAAGAATCCAATTTGGCAAAATTAACTAAATCCCTAAATCCCCATGTCAATACAGTTGTCATAACTGTATATATATGGAAATTTCTATTGTACCTCTGAAAACCTATTTTACTTAGTAGAGGATCGGTTGATTCTGAAACATTTTCTATTGATATAGTTTGGAGTTATTCCAATAAAACCTCTAATAATCTCAATTACTAAATAAGAAAATTCTTTGCCTTTTCTTCCCCCCACTTTTTTTGGTAGTTAGTGCAATTTTCTGTCACTTTATGGATATCAAATGGCCAGCATGCCTCTCTGTTATCCCCTTTTGTCTCTCTTTCTCTTAGCTCTTCTCACCCCTGAAACCTGTAGATAGAGGGGAGACTGAAGGGTCAGGGGAAGAAGAGATGGTTTCATTACCCATTTCCCCTTCTTCTCATGTCAGTGACCCCAAAACAAAACTCACTAATGGCAAAGGCAATGCCATGGTGCAAACCCATGACACGCTCTTCTCAGATTCCAGGGTTGGGGACACGTTTGCCGTTCTCACGATCTGTTTTCTTTTTCCGGACAACCAGTGTCACTTAAACAACTCTTTCTCCTTTGCTTCCATAAATCGCTGAACTTAAATTTTGGATCAAATCGTGTTCCTCAACTTCCTTCAGCCAGAAACTCTCTAAAAGCCTTGTTTTTATTCCCACCCCAACTCCATCCCACCTCCTTTTATGGTCTTTTATTCTGTGAGAATAATTTGTATTATGTTCATATTTTTATAGTTAGCCACCTCAGAGCTGTGCTGAAACACGCCATGGGCTGCTGCACCTACACTGTCACTGCTCCTACTCCACACCAGCCGTGCACGTGGGCGTGACATTAAAACATTACAGAGCAGATATGTGCAAAGGCACTACAAACATCGCTGCTTCATCTACATGACATTTTACAGTTTAAGCAATGCTGCTACAGGCGTCTCTTTGACCTTTGACCCGTGAGATGAGTGAAGTGCATATTATTATCATAACATATAGGTGTAGAATGGAGATTCAAAACACTTAAGGGCTTGTCCAAAGTCACAGAACTGAAGTTGGCTCAAGCATGTCAATGCTATAAAATACGATCACAATTATGCCTTAAATGCCACATTTTTTTCCCCTGTAGCTCTGGCATTTGTTATTGGTGGTGTCATTTTAAAATCATTTAAAAATGAGTTATGCTTGTACATGTCTGGCATCCTGGCCCCACTGAACTAGTTCTTTAGGCGCACATGTGACAGGCTTTCTTTTGAAACTCACAAGTACTCCTGCTGGTGCTCAAGAGAGGACTCTTCGGGCAGGTCTTGCATTTTCCCTGAGAAATCCTGTAGCACTTGCTCCTTCTCAGTTTGGGGAATGAGTCCTGTTGCTGAGCTGTCCCCATCAGTTTTGGGGAGGGAATCCTGGAAGGTGGAATAACCAACAGAAATGTCTTCCTCGGACACGATGGGAGGGTGATCGCAAGGCTCGTTTCCTTTAGAGACAGCTCGCTCCTCTTTCTGCTTGTGCTGTGCGGTGGATAGCTCCTCTTGGAGGACTGAGAACCCTAAAGAACAATTTAAATTACGTATTTAATGAAGGCTCGCCTATATTAAATGGATATTCATCAAGTGACTACTACGTGCCATGTCCTGAGATCGGCCCATGGGCTACAAAGATGAACCAGACATTGCCTTCGAGAAGCTGATCGTGGCGGGGCCAGGCAAGGAAGAGCCCACCCAAATGCAGCTGCAGGTGCAGTCAGTGAATGCCAGAGCACCTAACTAGGGGTGAAAGAATTTGGAAAGGAAATGCAGAGGGGTGATATCTTAAGGAGACCTCATGGTAAGTAGGAGTCAGCTGTGATAGTCCAGGCATAGAATCTCCCGGGTAAGAGGAATCAAGATTAACAATAACGATAATAAATAATTGCTAATACATGCTGGATATTTACTCTGTCAGGCACTGTTCTAAGAGCTTTGCAATATTAATTTAATCCTCACTACAGTACCCTGAGGCCAGCATTCTTTTGATGTAGAGTCTCTTATGCCAGCAATTTCATTCTATCCAGGGCGATGAGAAGCCATTGGAAGAGATTTAGCAGAGGAGTGATTGACATTCATCTATTTAATCATTCATTTATTCCACAGATATATACTGAGCATCAACTATGCTGTTTAGATGCTAGATCTATAGCAGTGAACAAGATAGAAAACATTTCTGCCCTCACTGAACTTGTATTTCTGCATATATGTGGTAAATATTAAGAGAAAAGTAAACAAGGGTATAGAATGAATAGTGCTCTTATTTTAGATAGCCTTGTCGGGAACGGCTCCCCTCAGGAGGTGATATTTAAAGAGTGACCTGCACAAAGTGAGGGGAAAAGGTATCCAATGATCTGAGGGAGGAACACTTGAGGGTGGAAAGAATAGAGAGTGCAAGGGTCCCAATGGGGGCTCTGAGAACAGCAAGGAGGCCAGGTGTCAGGACTAGGGAGAGAGGGACAGGCAGGGACATGGGGACAAGCTATAAGGCTCTTACTTAACATTAACACACATCATCGTCGAAACCCAGGAGTAGTAAGACAACACAGAAAAGGAGCCTGAGGAGGAATAGCCCACAAAGTAGAAAACAAAAGGAGAGACAGGAGTGTCACCGAGAGTAAGGAAGACGTTTTAAGTAGAAGGGATTAATTATTTGTGCCAATATTACTAAGGAGTGAAGTTAAGCAGAAGCCTGAGAATTGCCCACTAGATTTGACAACGAGGAAACAATTTGTGAATTTTGCAAGATTGACTCACGTTGGTTTTTGGGGCCGTTTTTGGGGGGAGGGGAGGAGGCGGCCAAGGAAATTTTTTTTTTTTTAAGAGGTTTCCTATAAAATGATGGAGAAACAGCAGTAATACAGTGGGCATGTTATAGAGTGAAAGATGGTTATTTGCTTTGTTTTGTTCTTAAAGATTAAACCTATTTATTAAAGCATCTTTTAGTGCTGTTGTGTGTGGTCCAGTTGATGGAAGCCAGAATGGATGCTCTCAGCAGTGAAGTTCTTGACTAGGTAAAGGGGGATGAAATCTAGTACAAAGGAAGAGATGATGGCTTCAGCAAAGCAAGGACATTTCACCCATTGTAATAGGAGGGAAGGTAGAGAATGTGCAGGCATCAGAATGCACTCGAGATGGTAGATTTTATGGTGGAAGAGTAGAGACATTTGCTTGTGATTATTCTTATTTTTTCTAAGAAACATGAAGCTTGGTCCTCAGCTGTGAATAAATAAGGAGGGGTGATAATGTTGGAAGTTTGAAGGAAAAAGAGAACACGTGTAATAGAGATGAGAAACAGAGACAGAGAGTGACTGAGCTGCAAGGGAATGACAGTGGGTTAGAGAAACTTAAACGTGGAAAAGATGGCTGGAGGTCCCAGTGGGTTCGAAGGAGTGTTGGTGTAGAAGCAGAAAAGGAATTAAGTGCAATGCTTCAAGTTAGCACTTGGAGGCAGTACAGTCACTGGCAATGATACAGCATTGCTTGTGAGGATAGGAATGGGTGGTGAAAGCCGAGTAAAAAACACTAGCATAAGAGTGACCATCACGAAAGTGAGGAAATGGAATTGGATGGATCACCCAGGTTGATGGAGAAATAGCAAAGACTGAGCGGTAGGGGGTTGGCCAGGCACCAACAAAATGGGCAGGGAAGTCTCAGGGTAGCAAGGAAAAGAATGCATGATCACCAAAGCCCATGGTCTATCTTCCAAACCCAGAGATATATATAGCAAGTCCAGTGCCTGAACTAACTACACACACACACACACACACACACACACACACACACACACACACTTTGACCTTCGCTATGATCCAGTGTAATGGTCTGTTCAATTTCTGCATAGCTGTGACTGATGCGTTCCTGGAGAGGCTCCATGCTGGTCTCCATGAGATGAACAATATCCATTCGGTTGATCTTGGTGAGACATTCAATGAGGCTGGTATCTGAGACATTGGAGAAGAAGCATTTATTACATCTGAGAGGTACCCTTTTTAAAGTCTCTTTCATTTAGTCACCTTACTAACTTTTTGATATTTGTACAGGCAACAACAAAAACCTAATTAAGGGTCTTTGTAAAAAATACGCAGACAGACAAAAAAAGATATGCACAGTAAAAGGAGACATCTGGTGGACACAAGCCAGCCCTAAAAATAAAGTTGCCAGATAACACACAGCATGCCCAGTCATGCCTGAATTTCAGATTAAAAAAACAAATACTTTTTTAGAACAAGCATGTCCCAAATATTGCACAGACATACTTATACTAAAAATGTATTTGTCGACTATCTGAAACTTTAACTGGGCTCCCCTCTATTTTTATATGCTAAATTTAACAATATTACTTAGAGAATAAATGATACATGTAGGCTGGATACAGAGAGAGGTTCCCAGTTTCAAGGAGATATCATGAGAAGTGACAAATTGAGACCGGCTGAGGGATGAGGAGAAGCTCGGGGCTATATCTCTCCCCATTTTATCTGATGTGATCAGAGTATATCATATAAATTACTGCATAGAATATCTAGTTGACATTTTTTCCCCCACTTAGGTTTTTTAGGAATAAAGGAAGCAGGAACTGAAGGTAACACACTACCAATAAAACAATGCTAATTAAAGCAATTGTGTCCTCTTATCAATATTTAGAAAATATTAGGACTTGAATAACACTCCTGTTAGAAGCCAGTGCTGATACTATTTACCACTAGTTACCATTGTTCACAGGCATGCAGTGCAAGGATTTTTTTATGCAACAGGTATATTTTAGAAATGGCAATAGCTTGTTCTCATTTGCTTATAGTAGTTCAGTAAGTTTTCTCTTAACGTTGTGGAGAAGTTCTTGGAAACTGTGATTCTAAGCAAAATAATGCACAATGAAACCAATTTTGCCATCAGCTAATTGATATAAATGAAAATTAAGGTCCTATGACATATTTCCAGTCACAAAAACATAATCTTCTAAATAAAGATCCAAAATACTTCTAATGTTAAACATTAAAATAAAAGTGACCTATATGTGCATTTAATAAAGATCGATGAAAATAACTAAGGTAACTATGTACCCAAGTTTTAGTGAATCAGTGAGTGACAGCAATCAGAGTGGGGGTGAGTTCGATCAGGGAAAAAATGTTTCAAAGTGAACAGTGTAAGTAGCGCCCCCTCCTGCCACCCAGTTCAAAAACAATCCCAAACAGCACAAGCTCACCCAGTGCTTTTATACTGCACCTTTCATTGTCATGCGTTCGTATGATTATCAGATACTTTATGAATTTGTATTTGACAATAATGCATACTCATTCATTCATTCCTTTTCCAACCTGCTTATTCCATTTCAGGGTCACAGGTGGCTAAAGAATATCCCAGCAGCTCGGGGCACAAACTGAGAAACCATTTTGGACAGGACACTATCCCATAGCAGGGCGCAAACACACAAACACACACACATACACACACACACACACACACACCCTCAGACTGGGACAATGCAGACATGCCAGTTCATCTCATGTGCACACCTTTGGGATGTGGAAGGAAACCAGAGAACTTGGAAAAAACCCATGCAGACCTGGGGAAGACATGCAAGTGGCCTTACAGGGAATTTTATTTCTTTACTCATCAATAAAATGATATTGAACACAATGACGTTATTTGAGGACCCGCTGTACTCCAGAGCAATGGCATTTGTTGTTTCATTACTTCACTGAATTTGCAAGATGGAGTTGCTGAGCAAGTGGTCCCCCCGTTAGCCAGGCACGCATGCAGTCCCCACCTACCCGTAGCGTGTTTCCCGTCCCTTTCTAGCCAGTACTTCAAAAGTGCGTGACTCTGGTCTTGAAGGGAGTTGGGATTCTCAATTCGAATTTGGTGAATTTGTTCCTCGGTGAAATCCAGTTCTCTTGCTAATTCTAAAAGAAAAAATATTACTTTGTTAACATATTAACTTCGAGGTTTGAATTCCTACACCTCGCTTTGTGCTTTTGTAAATGATGTGTTCTTTATATTGGGGGGGTGAGTATTTGGGTTCTTTTATTATATTTCTACATATCAGAAGTAACTCACATATGCCTTTGTTCTTCTAGTATTAATTGTGGATTTTTCCAATAAAACGGGGTATAGTGAAAATATTTTCATAGTAAAAATATTAAGTGTGAGGCAGTGATATTAAAATATATATAATTCAGACCCATTTAATTCCAAAATGCAAATGAGACCTTTAATACTTGCTTATACTCTTAACCAAGATGAATGGCAAACAAATAACTGAAAACAGGAGAAAAAACATTTCTCTCTTTTAATTTCATAGGTGACGTTTTAAGTACTATAAATCCTGTTTCTGAGTTTTTGGTTGGATAAACTCCTTTCTCTGATTTGATGGCATGTGAATAAAAGGTCTAGGAAGCATTCAGTGATGTAGGGAAGAAGCCACAAAGTTTTCCTTTAAATTCTATCATTAATATTCCATATAGATGCATATGTGTTATGAGGTATATATGGGTGGGTAAAGCAGATGACCTCTTGGAGGGCAATTTGAAAATATCTTTCAAAATTAAAAATATATGTCTTCTACCCAGCAATTCTACTTTTAAGAATATGCCCTGTATATATACTTGCAAAAATATACCAGTGCACAAGGTTATTTACTATCATTAACAGGAAACAACCTAAAATCCAGCAACAAAGGCCATTAGATAAGATTATGGAACTTCCATACAGTAGAATTAAATAGCCCCTTAAAAGAATTAAATAGGCATGTCTGTCCTGATAGAATATTTATGAGGAATATTAAGTAAAATTTTGCTTACTTTTCAATAATAGGCATATATAAAGGTATTATATATATTTTTAAATACATGAGATAATGTTAGCAGTTACCCTCGAAGTATGGAGCTAGAAGAGCAGGCGTAGGTATGAGGGATATATTTACTTCTCATTTTTTATCGTTCTATATGGTTGTAGGGCTCGAATTTTCACCAAATATATACATATTACATTTAATATGTGTGTATGGATACATAGACATTTAAGGAATAAAATAATAATTCTGAATGTCACTTATCTAATAATACAATCAGGAATATTTTTATATCATTCCATCCCCTAAATCTCTCAATTAAATAAGTCTGATAAATACGTAACAATTACTTTAAAATTATTAAAAGGGACACAATAGCTGTTCCTCCTGATTCTAGTCATTTATTCTAAATTATCAATTATCTTTAAGAGTATTATAGACTCTTATTCATCATCAAATCTTTAAGAAATTAAAAGGAGAAGGATATTACCTTATACTGTTTGTCTCAATGAAGTAGTCAGTCACAAGTGATAGAAAAAAAAAACTTAAAAAACAAAAATAGAAAGCCAGACTGACAATCGTGTTTAATATGGTTAAGTCACAGGTAGATGAATGTGTATAGTTTTTAAAGCCTACAAATCATGATTTGTAAATAAACCAGATTGAATTTAGAATTCATTTTCCCTTAATAAATTATTTAACATATAATTTCTATACTTAAACACTTCCATTTCTCAAAAATTAGTGAAACAATCCATTTATGTGTGTTTCAACGTATAGCAAATGCGAATGTTGTTTATTATGAAGATATCTGACAAAAGGTATCTAAAAGAAGGAGCCTTAGTTCAATCTCAAATTAAATGTTATGAAAATTACACCTAATAATGGTTTTGAAACACAATAATCTCCCCCAAATTTAGATATCCAAACTGCCAGAGGAGGGTGATGAACGTTGGTGTATTCCCCAAAATCTTCAAATCTAAAGTTCTATTATTCTAAATAACAATGAAAGAGCCGATAAAATGTCTGCCCTATGCTATATACCATTAGCTAATGCAAAGCCTGGATGATCTAGGTCTTAGTTTATTATTCTTTTCATTGTTGCACATGTTCTCCCTCAAACAAAGAGGGGGAAAGATGGTTTTCGTCGTTTATGACGCTTGGCTGATGCATCTATGCCAGTTTTGTTGAGAAACTGGGCCGCGCTCATTTTACCTGTCCAGCTGAAGCCAAGGTGATCAGCAATATAAGCCAGCCTCTCCTCGATCCGTTCCTGCTCATCCTGTGCATCTACAGAAGGTCAAAAACAGAATGGCCAAAGGTTGTCTATGACAGGAGAGGAACCACAGTCCAGATTCATCCAAAGAAGGGAAATCACTTGTCCAAGTATTTGATAGTAGCACAAATTAGCCATTACGGTTTAGATCAGATTAAGGTTGCGTGTTTGTCTGATTTCTGGGGTGGAATGCGGAATAAATATGAATCATGAAAACCATCTGCTTCCATATCTCTTTAATCAAGACTAGATATTGGACATAATTATATAAGTTGCTGATTTCTAGTAATGTTAGGACTCTGTCTTTTAAATTATCTGAGAGAATACTGCCCACCAGAAAACAGCCACCCTGTTCATAAAGCACCAGAGAAATCATAAATGGGACACAGAAGTAGAGTAATGGGTAGGACCTCTTAGCATTGCCTATGGAGGTATAAATCACTTCTAGGTCATGTCTGAAAGAAATCACATCGGACCGGGCCTGGTGGCTCACACCTATAATCCTAGCACTCTGGGAGGCCGAGGCAGGAGAATCACTGGAGCTCAGGAGTTCAAAACCAGCCTGAGCAAGAATGAGACCCCATCTCTATTAACCCTTTGCACTCGGATGTCGATTGTGACTCAACACAGTTAGCAAAAATTATAGAGATTAAAATTACTCTTTAAATGTATCAGTAATTTGAAATATAAAAAAATCCAAATAAATTAGTTTGTATGAAAAGAAACTCCAGTTTTTTATTCTACTGCCACGCTTTGTGAAATCTAGGGTATTTAAAAAATTAAATCCCAAGTAGAATAAAGGAATCGAGAAAAAAGCAAGCGAGTGCAAAGGGTTAAAATTAGAAAAATTAGCTGGGCATGGTAGCACATGCCTGTAGTCCCAGCTACTTGGGAGGCTGAGGCAGGAAGATCCCTTGAGCTAGGAGTTCGAGGTTACAATGAGCTATGATGATGGCATTGCACTCAAGCCAGGGCAACAGAGCAAGACTCTGTCTAAAGAAAAAAGAAATCACATTGGAGATTTGCAAGAGATCTTGATCATAGGTTGATCCCACCATCCTGGATTTATCCAGTGTAGCCAGAAACTACATTCGTCTTGGTCTTGGTGACCTTGGAAGAAGAGAGGATAAATGTGCTTGTATCTGTATGTGTACATTGTATCAGTATGCATGTATGTCTTTTGGGCAAGGTTTCTGCCTTCTTACCAAGTAAGCTCATATATTACTCATTCTGACAAACTATAATTTTTCCATTCATTTTTAACTCCTGTTGATGGATGGGCAGCATTTTAGACCTTGGTATCCCAAAATTTTATATAACCCACATTAAGAATAATAGTCTTCATTGTAGAGATATTGGAAGACCAGAGGCTACTTTTCAAAGCCATCTATGGTTTCCTCTTTTATAATTCAAGGAGCCATCATCCCTTCACATTCAACTTAAATTGTGCAAAGTTTGAGTTTTTGTTGTCTGCTGCATCTAATTGGAGTACATGTGTCATTCATCTACCAAATAAATGAAAAGCATATTTTTACCTTAGGTTTGTTTGCTTAAAGTGTTTACCAATGGTATCTGAAATCCAACCTTTCTGAATCAAAAACAGATCCACAACAATTAGAATTTCATGATATTGAAAATCTTCTTAAGCAAATGCTTTCCTAATGATTACAAAATTGTAAGTACAAATTATTTAAAGTACCCAAAGGTAAGAAGAAAAAGCAATGAGTCCTCATACTACGAAACAAAAATCAATATATTCATGTACAAAAGCAAAAGTTCTTGATTTGAGGCTAAGCCTGGGACTTCAGAACAACAAAACTCAAGCTTGCATGGCCTTAACGTGCAGAGACTAAAGAAAAGGCAAGGTCGCTGTTGCCTGATCATTATGTTTATGTTTTCCATAAGCATTCTCATTACTCAATCTTGAGATTGTTTTCATAGACAAGAGTATACAGAGAAAGCACAAAACACAAAGGGCTTACACAAACACATTAACCACTACAGAAAGCTTAAAGAAAATGAGACACAAACCACCAAATAAAACAATCATACAAAAAAAAAAAAAACTATATCAAATTTATGACATGCGTAGCACAGGGAATCCCAGTGGCTGGCAAATACCTTCAGCATGGTCATGGCCATTGTCATCAGGGATGCGCTCAATCAGAGTCTCAATGGACTCATCCCAAATGGGCCGTGTGTCAAAGATGTCCTCAGGAACTGAGTGCTCGGTCTCAACAGGTGGCAGATTTTCAATTACTGAAACTTCCAGGGCACTACTACTTTCATCATCTGAAACTAACTCCTGTTCCCTTTCTGATTGTGTAAGTCTATCCACTAACTTGGAAGCCTCATCACTAATCTCCTCAAAGAATTCTATGGAGTTTCTGTATAGGTCAAAGAAATGTTCCTTACTTTCCTTTGTGGGACTCATGCTCCCCCTGCAGGAAGATGTGGTGCTTCTGCTCTTAACTGGCAATCGGGATGCAAATATCTTTGGTCTTGTGGCCCCTTCTTCGGATTCTAACTCAAACTCCTCTTCCCCCAGGCAGCTCTCTGTCTCTGTCTCAGTGTAACTTCTGGTTTTTACTGGGAATTTGGGTTTTGAGTCCAAAGAACTAGCATCAGATTCAGATTGGCTTCTATTATCTGGTGCTCTGCTCGTCATGTCCTGTCCCTGAGGAGCCATTGTCTCCTGGAGAGACGACTCTAGGTGTGAAAGCTGCTGCTCTACTCTTTGGACGGGTGCTTTGATGGGGATTTTGGACTTTGGTTTTGCTTCATCCTCTTTACTTTCCTCATCCAGACTGGATAGATCTTCAGAAAGTGAACTCTCATATTCTGCAGATGGAGGTGCTGGGGCTGAAGTGGGTATAGTCTTTACGGGGATTTTGGATTTGCTTTCGGTAGAAGGCACGTTCTCCATGGGTGCAGTAGGGATTTCAATCACTGATTTCTGTTCCTCTGGGGAAGAGTCGGGAGAATCCTCATCCCTATCTGAATATACAGACCTGGTGACTGTGGAAAAATCCAACTGGACTTTTACAACCGGTTCAGGGGAATCGGGGCAAGATGTCCCCTTCACAACAGACAGAGGAACTGTATCACCCACTTGCGTGGTAGGAAGGTCCTCAGCCCCTACAAAAATGGGCTCTTTTGTTGATGTTTCCTCCATGGAGGCTGAAATTCCCAACTGGGAGTTAAGTTGAGCATCTGAAGCAGATATTTCCTCTACTTCCTCACTCAGGTCATCTGGAAGTAACTCTGCTTCATCATCCACTGTTTCTTTTGATTCTGAAAGTGCTAGTGACTCAGCTGATGTCTCCGGCTGTGGAGGCTCTGCCCCAGTAGTCCTGTCTTTCATGTCTTCGGAGGGAATCTCTTCCCCGGATTCTTGACCAATTTGGAAAAAGTGGAAACTTTCATCTGCGTAAGACCTTTTGGTCATATCGATGGCACCGCTTCGAGTCATCTCAAATAATTTTCCTTCCTGAAAGAGAAATGGATTTTGTTCACTTGTTGGGGTCCCCTCTTCAGTTGGGGTCCTAGCGGGAGTGGTGTCAGGGGTGGTACCCTGTGATTGTCTGTCTACCATCAAACCAAATATCTTTTGTTCCTCCTCTTTCACTCGAGCCTCAAAAGCTTCATCATCTTCACGAATTTCACTCCAGGAATCAGAATCCACATCAGTTTTTGTGATGATGACTTTGCTTATTTGTTCACCAACAACTGCGGGTATATTTGGCATGGTGGGCTCTGAAGATGAAGGGGCTATATCTGATTGCATTTTCCATAAGGTACTATCTTGTTTGGATTCTATGTTCATGTTCTGGCCTTCAAAATTAGATTCTTTGCCTGAAACAGTTCCACTAGATGAGGTTGCCATTACTACATTTTCGACAGAGGATGTGCTGGTGACAGAATGCACTTCAGAAGACTGAAAACCTGTGGTGTGATTTGCATCTGTTTGAGTTTTGCTTTCTTCACTAGAGAAAAAAGATTGGGAAGGAACATTTTCATAAGGGCTTGTGATTTGAGGGCCATAGATTTCATCAGTCTCAGGTAGGTCAGACACGGGAACATCCATGGAAAATCGATCTGTTTGAGTAGTAACAGATGAATCCTGCGTGGAGCAGTCTTTTGGCAAGCTCTCAAGTGTTTCATCAGTTTTTGTAACCTCCATTTTTGTAGTAGGAGAGGTGGAGGCTATGCCTTCATCTAATTCTTTTCCTTCAGATACTGGACAATGAGGCAAAGAGGACAGAGATGAAGAGCTTTCACTGGGGCAATCTACTTGTGGAGATTTCACTCTAGAAACACCGAGCTCTTCTCCTTCTGTGTCTTCTTTCTGTGTGTTTTGGGGAGCTAATGGTTCTTTATGAGTGACTAGCTGTTCATTAACATCATCACCAGGTGAACTCTGGAGGCCTGAAGAGAAAGGAGGGGTTGAGCCACTAGGACTCGTGGCCTCACATCCATGACCGTCACAAATTTTTGGCTGATCAGTGTCCCTGTTTAGATCCTCATCAGATCTATCTGCGCCCCCAGTGAGAGCAGTATGACTGTCTTCAGCTAGGTGGGATTCACAGTCTTTGTCTTCTTCTGATTTACCTGTTTCTTCCCCAGTATCTTCATTCACCTTGAAAGTATATTGTTTGGAAACTATAGGCTGGAACTGTACTTCTTCTGGGCTAGAATTGGAGTCCATGCAGGATGGAAGTGGAGAAGGAGGCTGCACTCGAATAACTGGTTCTGACAAAAGGCCCGAGTCAGAACCTTTTTTCAGCTGTGTCAATTCAGGTTCACTTTCTGAGGAGGAAGAAGCCTTTCTGTTCTCTGAAGTCACCAAGATAGGGACATCACCTTCACCCTCCACTCTCCCCACAGGTTTTGGTTCATCTACATCTGCTGAACAGTCAGCATCTGGGTCAGAGGATGAAGACTCTTCTTGTTTAGGTTCTCTTTTGTAGTCCCTTTTCTGCTTTGCTTCTTGTTCCAGTTCATCGAACATTTTGATTTTGGTGACCATTTTAAACATTTCCTCTTCAGGAGTGAACCTCTTTTTCTCCCCATTTTCTGAATCATCCTCCTCTGCACACTCATGAATCACAGCTGGTTTTGGCATGCTGGCATCTGTGGCTTTGGGTGTGACCTCGTAGCTAACTTCTTCAGAGCTGGGGGTGTCAGGAGAAAGGGGGCTCTTCCCCGAGCTCTCCATGAGTGACGTCTGTTCAAGACTGTCATCCTCAGCACTGCCGTCAGGGTCCCGGAGTAGCCGGGACCGCATGGAGGCCATTTCCGTAAAAAGTTCTGTTTTGGCAACAGCTGTGGGAAGAGGAAAGTGACTTGGGAGAATTCCAGCCTTCATCTTTGGTTCAACAGGGCTGCTTTCAAGAGAGTCACGACAGGGGGATTCCTTCAGGGGACTTGGTTCCAGAGAATCTGGAGTTTTGTGTGAAGAGTTGTCTTCTAGCACAGGGCTGGCTTCCAGAGAGTCTTTGTGGCTTACTGCTAAGGATTCGTCAGCCACAGGGCTGAGGACTTCACTATCTCGACTCGGGAGTGCAAGTTCTAACCCTTGGGGACTTCTAATGGCTCCCTGAGGCTTTGGTTCTGCACCTGTGTCTGTCTTTACGGAAGCATCAGGCAGGGGGGAGGCCTTTGTCTCATTCGAGGGGGTTGTGGGTTCCTGAGCTGCACTAACAGTTTGTGTCTTGTGGGCTGAACTACCACATGCAGACTGACCTTCATCACAGATGGCTTCCCCAGTTGATGCCTTGGGGACTTCCTTTGCTAGTGACATGCTAGAGCTGCCAGGGCAATCGCCTTCTGGTTTGGGGCATGTGTCTGTGGAAGGGTCTGGAGCACTCTCTTTCTGCAAACCCTCAGGGGAGGGCTCTGAGCCCTCAGTGACTGCAGCGCCCTGCTCCTCAGAACCCTCAGGAACGTCTTTGGTTGTGGGAGGTTCTTTTTCTGAATGGATTTCTGTCAGAGCCTCTAACTTGGTGGTTTCCTTTGTTTCCACAATTTGCTCCTCACTTTTCTTGGGGGAGAAAGAAAGGCTTTCTGGGCTTGTCTCGGGGGTCTCGGCTAGGCCCTCGTGCTTATAGCTTTCTTCGGAACTAATCTGAGGGGTCCCCTCCATCAGGCTGCCGCAGGGAGAGCCTGCGACCCCTTCCTGCTTCAGACTTTCCAAACTGCCGTCCAGAGCGCCGCTCTGCAAAGACAGGGCGGGAAGGAACTCGTCCTTCATGTAATCCAGCGGAAATGTGGTGTTGAAAGGACTGGTGAGAACTTGGTCTAAGTGAAGCTGTGCCTTTTCGGTCTCCTCGCTCAGGCGGAATTGTTGGTATTTGTCATTGTCCTCCAACTCCTGCTTGATGACATCAGAGAAGTCAGTGGAGGTCTTCCTGTCAGGGCTGATCTGGAGATCCATGTCGCCCTGCTCATCCGCCATCTTCTCTTTGGGCATTTCGCCCTCTCTGTGGCTTTTTTCCTCAGGTGCTGGCTGAACAGGGTCAGGTATTTTGTGGCTGAGCAATTTCTCCTTTTCTCCAGCTGCATCTTCTCTCTTTAACCCGATGGAAGGAGCACGGAACCCTCTCTTGGATTCTGGAGCTCCCGTTACCACGAATCTCTGACTTCGTTTGATTGTCTGACTGTCTGTTTTCTGTGTTTCTTTTTGGGTTGCCACCTGCCCCCTTTCTTTTTCGACTCGAACTTTCCCCTTTTCTTGTGGCTGCTTTGGCTTTGCCGATTTGTGCTCGAAGAGTCCAGTTTTGTGTTTGGATGGGTCCTGCCCTGACTGGAAAGCTTTCATCAGCTCCCGAACAGACATGGTTTCCTCGATTCTTTCTGTTTTTGAGGTGGGGGATACAGGGGGGTGCTTCTCTGTTTTCCCAGAGGGTGACACAGGCAGGTGCTTCTCTGTTTTCCCAGATGGTGACACAGGCAAGTGCTTCTCGGTTTTCCCAGATGGTGACACAGGCAGGTGCTTCTCGGTTTTCCCAGATGGTGACACAGGCAGGTGCTTCTCGGTTTTCCCAGCGGTTGCTACAGGCGGATGTTTTTCTGTTCTTCCAGAAGGTGACACAGGCAAGCGTTTTTCTGTCCTCCCAGGTGATACCGGTGGATGTTTCTCTGTTCGCCCAGAGGGTGACACAGGGGGGCGTTTGTCTGTTTTGCCCGAGGGGGAAACAGGGGGGTGTCTCTCTGTTTTTGTAGATGACACAGGGGAGTGTCTTTCAGTTTTTGTCGAGGGTGATACAGGTGAGTGTTTCTCAGTCTTACTCGACGATGACACAGGCGAATGTCTCTCAGCTTTTGGAGAGGGTGACACGGGGGAGTGCCTCTCAGTTTTGCTGGATGGCGATACTGGGGGGTGCCTTTCAGATTTTGCAGAGGAGGAAAGGGAAGTGTGTCTTTCTGCCTTAGAGGAGGGCGACGCTGACTTCAGGGAGGGCGATGCCGGCGGGTGGGTCCTGGGGGTGGCCTTTTTGGGCGCGTCCTCTTTGCCTTTGACTCTGACGGGCAACTTGCTCCGTCCTTTCTGTTCATCTTCCACTTTCTTCTGAAGGGCCTTTACTTTGTCCTTTATGGAACCAATGGGAGTTTCTTCTATCAAAGGAGACGTGGCCTTCGCGGTGGGAAGAGGTTCGGGGGCTAAACCTGTGTCTTCATCTAATGACTCCTCTGAACTACATTTTTTAAGTTCTGGTTTTTCTGCATTTGCTTGGGCATTTTCCTCCTTTTGTTTCTGCTTTTCTTTTAATTTCCTTCTTACCGGCTTCTTTATTCCTAAGCTTGGTTTGAGTTGTTTCTGTGAACCCTGTGTCTCATCTGGGGGGAGATCTTTCCCTTTGTTTTCAGAGCTCCTGCCAACGGCCGGAGCCTCCCGCTTCCCCCCTGCCGAGTCTCGAACCTTCTGTGGCTGCTTTTCGTGAAGAGGCACGTAGGAATTCAGATCCTCAGTAAGGTAGTTCACTAGCCCTGTTGAGTCTGTCTCTGCTGTGACTCTGGTCTCTTTCTCTACCCTAACTTCTACGCATGGGTATTCGGTGACCTCTAAAGGTGCTTTCTGCTTAGCCTCTGCTATCTCCTCATCACTGACAATGACCCATTCCTCCTCCACTAATTCTCTCTCAGAGCGCGAGTGCTGGGCCCTGCCTTCATCCCTCGTGCAGGTTCCACTCCTCAGGATTTCATTCACCTTCTCTAAGTCCTCTTTAACTCTCTCAACAATCTCAAAAGGCTCTCCTGGCTCTTCCTCAGCAGCCTTCGCCAGCTCCTTGACCTTAATGGAACCTGCCTTATCTGCCACATCTGTGGTCAAGATGGCGGTCATTTTGATCAAATCTTGTTTCATCTCAGAAACTTCCGAGAGCAAGTCCGGACTTGCTAGGACAGGAACTTCATTAACCAGGTGACTTTTCAGGACAGATGTTTCTGTAGATTCTGTCTCATCATCTTTGATGTGAATGAAAAACATTGAAAGTAAAACGGAAATCAAAAAAGATATTGGCAAATGTAATCAGGACTGAAACGACACAGCCTCTTTTCCTGTCGTGGTGGGAGGGGCAACAGAATGGGCTGGGAATGGTGGATCCACAAGGCTTCAGGGCACAAGAGCAAAGCAAGGCTAACGAAAAAAAAACTGAAAAGGAAAAATGAGCAGGAAATAACTTGCTTAATTTTCTCACTTGTAGCACAACCACACAAACAACAAAGCTATAACAAAGAATCAAGACGCACACACACACAAAAAAACCACCACAAATCAAAACAAAGAAAGAACGCAGTGAAATTACACCGAGGTATCTCAAGATTGTTCAGATGTTACAGATCAATGTTGAAAAAAAAAACAACCAACCATGGGGAAATCATAAGAAAAAAGCATTAGAAATTGCAGAAAGTTGATTTCCTCTAGGAGAAAGCCAGCAGTAGCAAACTCAGAATAGCATCTAATGATGTCTATACATTTTTTAATAATATAAAAATCTGGAATTTGGTGCGGTTAGTTGTGCCGATAAACAATGATTGCATAAAATATATCTGAATCAGCTGCAAACCGGCATTTCATCTAAGGGAAACTCACACCTAACAATGAAACAAACAGTCTGGTGCTAAGAGGCATGGTCCTTTCCTTGGAGCAACCTCCTTGTTTAGACACATAGTGGACAGACCAAGGAGGGAAATAAAGGAAAGGGAGGAAAAACAACACGAACAATCACAATCACAATTGTGATTAAACTTATATGTGAGTCCAAAGTTAGAATGTGATGCATGGCAACCCAAATCAGAGACAGTCACACGGGACACACGCACAGTTTATGTAAGCCAAGTTATTTCCATGCAAAGCAAAGGTGAGTAAAACTGCTGGGGGAGTCGGCCTTGCTGAAACGCATGGGCAGGAGGATGGCAAGAAATTAGAACAAATATGTAAAACGTTACGGTGGTGAAGTGTACTGCTTTCCCTACAAGTCCACACAAGGAGATGCTGAGTATAGTATATTTGAGGCACAGGTTGTTAGGGCCTGTACCCATTAAAGGCAAGGAGGAAAACTTAGTCAAACTCTTTTAATATTTATTCATAAAAAGACATTAGGAAAGAGTTCCTTCAGCAGAGCCCTGCTTTAGAGATGATTTTATACCCGATGAAGATTATTTACTGATTGTCTTTAAAACAGAACCAAACATGAGTCTGGATTTGAAACCTTTAAAACATTCATGACATCTACGAGTCAACTGGGAGAACCCACTGCATTATAGCAACATGGTAATGGTTTTCTTTTCTTTTCTTTTTTTTTGAACAATTTAGCCAGATGGATGGATTAATCAATTCTTTCTAGCTTAAATCCAAGGATCAAAGTAAAAGGCCATTTAAATAAACAGAGTTCTGAAGAAGAAAGTGGGACAATAAAACAAAGTCACTTTAAAAAAAAGGAGGAATCAATGAAGGCAATGATAATATATAAGCAAAAGTGCCTTCTCTTGAGAGAATCTGTGTTTGTTGAGGAGACATAAAATGTGAACAAGTGTATATAAAATGTATTAAAATAAGTTATATCAGTACAGATTTGTTTAGTTACATAAGCCAATGAAACCATCCAGAATCTCTAACATTCCAGTCCTGAATATTGATTTAACATGAAGCTAAGTCTCAATTGAATCTAGTTCAATAACTTGGTTGTAAGTTACACTGTGCTACGACGTAAAGCCCTCAGGCCATTGTATAGGGCCAGATGACCATATGAAACATGGCTCTAAGTTCTCTCCTATTGGGGATGTTACTCTGAAATACAATAAATCAACATGAATCTTAAAATCAATAAACATTAAAAATGAGAATTTTTTTCTCTAAGAGCGTTTGGGCCATAAAAAGCCAAGAAACCTTTAACAAAATTCAACTTGAGTTTCCACCCAATAGACCAGAGATGTTGATTGACTATTACAAAACTGAAAGGAGTTCTACAATGGCTCTTTTAAGATCTGTAAAAAACTGTTCTCTTTGTACTAGATCAGGTTTGGGATTTGCATCATTATTTAAAATCAGTCCTATAATAACATGCTGCTGTGATTAGTAATTTCATCCAGGAAGTTTTAAATATTGCATTCTTGGCTGCTAGATTTTTTTTGAAAATTTTCAAAAATGTCTGTTAGAACTCAGCCCTGAAGATGTTAGTTACACTTCACCACAGTAAGGGGTGCGAGGCAGGGATGGGGGTCAGAGGTGTGGTGGGGAGTTAGCTTCGGCTAAGAACTATGAGACAGTATCACTTTTGCAGGTGTAGCCTACAAAAATAATGAGCTCTCCACAGAAGTCACTGTTGCTTTGTATAAAAAGTGATACTGTCATGTCAGTGCTTAAAGTATAATGAGATGACAATGTTATGCTAACAAAGGCACAAAACGGTAGGGTGGGTTTTTAAACAAGCATAACAGCAATATCGGGGTTAACGAGGATGTCAAAAGAAAGTGAATGCTTAGATGAATAATCATTGCATTTTACTGCTAATTAGCTCACAAATTAGATATATTTGTAATTGAACTGGCCAAGCTGCTTTTATAAATATATATTAATGATTAATACAGATAATATAAAAATATAATTATTACAGTGGTTAGTAATGGCAACTAGCTTTTATTTTAATTCATGCTTTTTTTTTTTAATTGTAGCCAGCTTTCAAACAAACTCAATTTTATTTAAAATCTTACTTTTTTCTGATGTCATATCGATCTGAAAGAAAACATACATACATTGAATGGTTACAAATAGCATCTTGGCTCATAGCCCCTGATGTGCACAGTAGCTGCTTCATACACATGGGGGTGACACAAAAGCTACAGGAAGGGCAGAGTAATTTGCTGCAGTTTTCCCTGAGAGTCTCCAAGATTCTTATCCTAACTTTGAACAAAAATATCTCTTGTTCTAGACACTATAGGCAGAAAATCCTTCCTAACATGTTATTCCTGGGAAGATATGACCCAGGCTGTGTTTGATGTTAGAAATACACACATATTAGGGAGAAAGTCAGGAAAGGGTGAAGTCAGTATTAAACAGTAGGTGTCAATTTTGTGGAGAAAAAGGAGAGAATGACAAACAGCATGCCAGGGTGATACATTCGACAGGCGTAGTTTCATTATCATTAATAACAAGCCAGCATTCCAAATCTTGAAATGAATAAAAACTGGCGATATGGCCAGGACTAGTTTTTGAAACTATTCAGTAGGAAAATCATCATCTAATAGAAAAAATTCATTTGTGAGCACGGTCAAGTTGGTTTCATCGTTTTATTGCTATTCCAAGCATGTGTGCAGGTATCATGTCTAACAGCTGTGGTCACAGGGTCACTGAATACAGGAAGGAAATTGAGTATGTGGGACAAAGAGTGACTGTGCAGTTGAGGGAAAAAATGACTTCAGTCTTGTCATCAGTTGTTTGTGTGCAGAGATATATGTGGCAGGACAGTGAGTTTATAATCACCCTGTTACTCTGTTCCACTGCCAAGGTATCAGAAAAAAAAGTGAATTTGGGGGAACTCTCTGAACTGATGAGTTCAGAGAATCTGGTGGGTACAAAGGTATTTATTATATTTTTCTTTATATTTTTGTATTTCAAATGCATCAAAATAACATTTAAAAACTAGTATATTTGAAAGCATTTACACATACCTAATAACAATTGCATTTGGCTATCTTAGAAATAGGAACTGACATATTAATAAGTAAATATAAAAAGTGTTCTAATGACTTTTCATTGATATTATAATATGTGGGCATTTTCAGGTCTTTATAAGGGAGACAAACACATATTTGCTTTACATATTGAAGCAGGTGTAATTCAAATCGTTATTACATCAACGTAATCTCTCTAAGACTTGTTTCCTTCTTCTATGATATAATGGTATATAACTCCTAAAGTGGTCATGAGGGATCAGTGTTGGGGTATGTGGAGCTCTTGGTAAAGACCTACCTTATAAAAATGTCCATCATTCTTACAGTTCTGCCTTATAATGTTATGATAGTCTAATGAATGAACTAAAGTTTTTTGGTCCCAGTGATTTTCCACCTCTTTGGTCTTAGGACCCCTTTACACTCCTAAAAATTACTGAGAAGCCCAAAGAACTTTTGTTGATGTGTAAGATGTATAAATAAGTATCTGTTTTACAAACTAAACCTGAGAAAATGCTAGAACCCAAGAATACACCAGCACACATTCCATTAACTGTCAAAGTTAATGGAATGTGATCACATGTAATATAGATCTGGAAAACTCGTCTGTAGCTTGTGAAGATGTAGGAGTTAAAAAAGCAAATACTGTCTTAGTACTGTTATAAAAAAAGTTTTGACCTGCAGACATCTTTAGGCTAACCTTTGAGAACTGGTGAGATAATGGTTTAGCCTTCAGTAGTTGGTAGATGGCAAAAATTTACAGGGAAACTTTATTCTCTGAAGTCAGTCCGTGACATGAGAAAACAGACGGTCAGAGAGGTTAAGTAAAATGGTGCCCCTTTATTTACTAAGAACAACTGCCTACCCCTTCTAAGAACATGGATTAACTATGTGCTCTTAGTAGTGATACAGCAATGACACAGCCATTAGCAAGTGACACTGTCATAAAATTACCTCTTCCTCCTGTTCTTGATCTGACTCTGATTCCTTGCCGCCCCAAGATGCCATGCAAGATGGGAAAAAAAAGAGAGAAGGAAGGGTAGAAAGTATTTAGAAGAAGAAAAAGAAGTAAATATTCCGCCAACAAGCTTCAACAGCCAAGCATACAGTCAGTACACTCTTATTTTTTCTTACTATCAGTTTACAGAAGACAGAAAATTTAACGAGTATTGATTGAAATGCAAAAGTATGTACCCTTCAAGAGACCAAAGAACCAAAATTATAAATATACTAATTTCAGATGCCAGGTCACCAGCAGTCTGAAAGTTTGACTTTTAGTGGATTTGATGGCATTTGTCTATAGAAATAGTGATGATGATATTCTAGTCATTACAGATATTGGTTGAAAATATTAAATGTTACAAATAAGTATATGGTAAAATTACTTTTAATACCCAGACAATACTTATAAGTTTTATTATAATAAAGATCTACTAAATTCTGAAGTATATCTTAAATGTTTGGCATTTTTTTCTTTTTGCTTTGAATTACTAAATAGAAAATTATCCTGGACTGTAGCAACATTAATAGCTGTGTCTGATATGTCTTGACTTAGAAATAAAATGTAATAATAAAATAAAGGCATTCTTTTATAGCACATTGAAAGTTCACTGAAGTCAGATAAAGCTCATTCACCATTTTCTATCACAGCAGTACATATTTCCTTGTGGTTCTTATTTGGCATTCTGCCTCTAGTCACTCACTATTTATTGAACAGCGTTTACAAACCCCAAAATACATTCTGCACCATCGGAGTACAATTAGAGTAAACTAATTTGGTTGATATACCCATTGCTATATTCTAATTCTTGGAATAATATGTATATTTATATATAGATAATATTTCACGTCTTTTAGTAAGAATTTATTAATACAGTGTCAAACTTGATGCTATAAGCTTTTTGCTGGGTGACTGATCCCTATTTGTAAGAATAATTAAGCAAATCTACAATTTGACAACTGTGGTGGGGAACAAGAAGTATAGGAAATGTTTTGTTTTGTGGAGTCAAGCTGTAGGATTTTAAATATATCCCTATATCCCTACTTCTTCTCCAGATTTTCCTATTCTAAAGGGACGTTGGTTAAAAAACAAAACAAAACCCTTTAAAATAATGAAAAAGAAGCTATCCACAACATTCACTTAATTTAGTTGTCTTTAATTTAATCAGAGCATTCAAGGAATTACATCATGGGGAGAAGTTTGAAAAGAAAGTCATGCCTGTAGGTAGACACTGAGTCAAGAATTAATAAATTTTTTCCTTCTCAACAAGGTTTTAACTATACTCCTTGAAACAGGGAAGTATTTTTTACATTAATCATGTTAAAAAAATTGAAAGATTAATTTTTATACGCCTAAAATAATGATGTTATAAGACGAACAGGTAATTATTTAGCAAAAAGATAAAACATCCTGAAGTGGTTCTGAATTTAGTAACACATAATCCACCTGTGAACTGGTAGTAAGCAAAAGCTAATGGACTCTGATATTTTGGTAGAGCCAAATGCACAACAAGTATGGTCTCAGGAGAGCTCATAAAAACAAAAATGAAGACAAAGCCAATTATTTTTAAAATTAAGCTCAAAAAGTTAAATCTTAAACTCAAGTTTTCTCTCTTCCATGTCTAATCTATATCAGTAGAATTTTTCCCATCAAAATGCATTTGATGCAAAATAAGGTGGAATTACTTTTTTTCTTTACTTAAATGGAAAATTGTAAATTTAACGGGGAATCAAAAGTGAGTGTTATATGTGCTTGCATTCGGTGTCTTTGTTTTTATTCATTTTAAAAATCAATTCCTACACTGCCCGAATTGTACTACAGCAGATTTTACGATACCTTTGTATAAATCGGCAGGGTGATGTTTAGGTTGCAAATAGCTTGATGCACCAGGCCTCTCGTGGATTTTGGCTCCTTCATAAATGATAGTCGTCCGCATGGTTCCTGAGTTGTATCACGTACCTTGAACAAAAATGACAAACATGCTTCACCCATATTTGAAATGTACTATTTAATTAGATGGTACTTGAAAAAAGAAAATAAATTCATTTATTACTCCTAGGTAAGAATTCAGAGGGCTTCCCTTTTCTCCCTCCCTATTACCATTTAGAATGACTTTCTAAAAAATAGAGGTTAGTGGGCTGGGAAAAGAGGGGAATAGGAAATTATTGTTTAATGGGTACAGTTTTTATTTGGACAATAAAACTAATTTGGAAATTAGTTTTATTGCAAGTTGTTTATAGCAAGTTGTTGAAGCAACAACTAATTTGGAAATTAGTTGTTGAAGCAATACTAAAAGAAAAAAAAAACTGATGTAGACCAGTCTGTACCTTGAAAAGAATGAGATTTAGGACCTCTAAATCAGTGAAATAAATTTTTAAAAACAGGAAATAAGAAGAGTGGCTGGAAAATAGAGTAGAGTAAAACTATTACTTCCCTTTTATTTCATGAATCTCTCATTCCTTCATTTGTGGTCCTCTTTGAATTGGAATCTAGAATGAAACTTGCATACATCACTGCAAATCCCTAACTTGGATTAATGTTCCTAAGTAGAGACAACAAACAGCTGGTGCATTGAAGTGTCTCCATAATGTTTGTTGAATGAATTTATGAGAATATATCAAGTCTATAACTCTACCTGGGATAATTTTTTAATAGCTTAAGTGAGATGCTGGGTCTTTTGAGAGATTTCATTACAAAAAGTTGTCACTTAGAACCCTTTTGCTATCCACATTTGTGAAATTCACATGTATTTTAAACATCTAAGTATAAGTATGTAAAAGTAATGATAGTAAAATGGACTTTCCTTCAAAGTTGGAAGAGTAGCTAGTGTTTCTACTTAATAAATTGTTTAATATTTGGCCTGGTCTCATTCTTAAAAATAGTCTATAAGTAAAAATTAAGGCTGACTTTGAGCTTCAAAAATAGAAATGGCTGGCTTTCCAGGACTGTAAAACTTTACAGATGTGGTGGAAAAAAATCCCTAGAAATTGAAAAGGAAATATTCCCTACTACTAAGGAAATCAAATCCTACCTTTATCTTGAGTAAAATGCATTTAAAAATTCCATGTATAAATTACCTTGACAAAGAGAGGAAGTCTGTTTTCTTTGAAGGCAAAAAAACTGAATATATGATGTTGGCCACTCTTGGTTAATGGCACCAGGTTGCCAAAACAATCAACATAGATGGGTTTTCCTTCTAATACCTAGGTGAACACAGAGACAAATAACAGAATAAAATACCTGCAATTATAACCTACTATTTACACAAAGAAGAAGTTGTGGTACTACTTGGAACTTAAAATATACATAAAACAGTCTTAAAATTGCCAACTGACATTTTGCCTTATCTCTGGCAAAGTATATACAAGCACTCGGTCTTCTTACTAGTAATGGGAATATTCAATGCATGGTGACATTTAATGTTCTCACTTCTAAGACTGAACCACATTACCCCAGAAAACCAATATATATTAAATCCTAAATTTATTTATTTATTTATTTTGAGACAGAGTCTCTCTCTGTTCCCCAGGCTAGAGTGCCATGGCATCAGCCTAGCTCACAGCAACCTCAAACTCCCAGGCTTAAGTGATCCTCCTATCTCAGCCTCCCACGCAGTTGGGATTATAGGTGCACACTACCATGCCTAGCTATTTTTTTTTCTATTTTTAGTCACCCTGCTCATTTTTTCTGTTTTTTTAGTAGAGACTGGGTTTCACTCTTGCTCAGGCTGGTCTCGAACTCCTGCCCTCAAGCAATCCTCCTGCCTTGACCTCCCAGAGTGCTAGGATTACATGAGTGTGAGCCACTGCACCTGGCCTAAATCCTAAATTTAAATTTCTGATTGGGTAACTTTTGACATAACAACCAGTCGGGTTACAGGACTTTAATAACCAAAGATGTATGCGGATGGAAAATTCTGAAATAAGAAAAAGTACTACAGAAAAGCCTGGATATCCTCCCTTCAATGTTTATGCAAAAGGATGTATTTCCTAGACTTTTTTTTCACTATTGAAAAATAAGAACAACAAGGAAAGCCAAAAACACCTAAAATTCTATAGTCACTTACTCACTTTGAATTTATCAATAACTCATCATTTTTCCCCAAATAACCTTTAAAGGAGTCTTTTTACCTCCCTCCTCCCGTATGTTGAGATCATTCCTACAGGATAGGTCCAAATGGACTTACACTGGCAGATTTGGGACCTTAACCTTCTCACTGATCAAGTGAGACTGGTCTTTCATTTTTTATGATTCCATCTATTTAATTCTATTTGAAATATAATCTATTAATACAGGTATAACAAAATGGCATAGTTTTTTTTTAAATGCAGTACCTCCACATCCCTGCTTCTGGCCACCTCAGCAAAGTTCTCTTGCTGCTCGAGGGTCTTATCCACTTTATCGTCAGTCATACAGAAACATCTCAACCTGGCTTCGATGGGGTCATGCGATTTGGCAAACACCACAAATTTGGCCATATAAGGTACACAGATAATTTCTCTATACACTTGTGAGGCAAAGGTAACGGATTCTTGGATCTGTCGACAATCTATCAGCCAGAACCTATAAAAAGAGATAAGGCCAGTTAGCTAAAGTTTAAAGCAAACCACAGGAAAAAACACCAGTTCCTTCAGAGTGAGCCAAGTCATCATCAAACACTTCTCAGGAAAAGAAGAACGTGAGAGAGGCAGATGATGAAGAAAGTTAAAGGAAAGGGAGAGCAAGACAGGGACGAGGACGGATGGGGAGGCAGAAGGGAGTGAGGGCAAGAGAGAAAGACATGGCGGGTTCTAGAGCAACGATCAATTGTTGTATTTGTAAGTTTCTTCTTTGGAAACTCTCCTGAGCATTCAGTCTCCTGGAATGTATGGTCCGTGTCTTCGAATCCTTTAGATCAAAACTGAGGATCTCACTGTGTGAGTTTTGACGCCTCCTCTTCTTCATGCCATTTCCTGAAATCTACCCAGCTATTCCCCATTTCCTCGTTCTTTTCCAAGATACTCCCCAATTACCAAGGTTGGATCAACTCAACCATTTAAAAAATCTGCATCTAGAAATCCTAAATGTTGCTGAATGTAATTCACAGAAGAAATCGTTGGCTCCATGACATTGTGACCACCAGCAGCAGCTTCGTCTGCGACATGGCTGGGCAAGTGTGTGCTTAGATGCCATTTTATTCCATACAGTAACGTTGCTGAAACTGCAGGACACTCCTCGAGCTCCCTCCTCACCCCAGGTTCTAGGAAAGATAGCCACATGGAGAAAGTACAGGCCAGCATGTGGACACTTCTTCAATTTGTGTTTTGTACACTTCCGAGGGTTTATTCCCTAAGACCTTGCTTTGGAACCTTTCCCAGTCATTACTCTCCTTCCTCATCGTCATTTTCCATAATTTCTAAACATTCTTGCGATTTCTTTCTCCTTTTAGCATCTCTTTCTTTCAAGTTCCTGATCCGTCTCTCTTCTTTTTCTCTTATTGTGCTAAAATATACATAACATTTTAACCATTTTTAAGTGCACGATTCAGTCGCATGAAATGCATTCACAGTGTTGTGGAATTATCGCCACTATGGATTTCCAGAACTTTTCATCATCCCAGAGACTCTGTACCCATTAAACAATAACCCTTCGTTTTCCTCCTCACTCCGGCCCCTACCAACTTCTATTCTATCTCCTGTCTGTATGAATTTGCCTACTCCAGGCACCTCCTATAAGTGGAATAATGCCATATTTGTCCTTTTGTGTCTGGTGTGGTTCAATAAGCATGATGTTTTTAAGATTCAGTGTAGTTCCTGGCTCATGTCAGGCAGGCAATAATACTTTCCTCTTTCTGCCTATTCTCTGTTTCTTTAATTGTCTGGGAGTTAAATTATTAGTACACAACATAATAACTCTTTTTTTTTTTTGGTATTTTAATTGGTTTTATTTATTTATTTAATATTTTTTGTAGAGACAGAGTCTCGAACTCCTGGCCTCCAGTGATCCTTCCTCCTCAGCCTCCCAAACTGGGGCTATAAGGCATGAGCTACTGTCCCTGGCTCACTTATTTATTTTTTACATTTTCCTCCAAAATAGCAGAATTTTTTTTTTTTACTGCAGCTCCTTTTATTATTTGTAGTATTTTTATTTTCATGTAGTTCTGGAAGCTTTTAAAATAATCTTTTAATACACAAATAAAAATTATATGTATTTATGGTGACTTCTAATTTCTTTATTTTTTTTTTTTTATTTTTTTTTTTTCCCCAATTCCAACTGAACTCCAGACTTCTAATTTCTTGATCTACCCTACAGGGCCTTCTGTAAACGGTGTTGCTAACCAACATTCCAGCATTATTTTTGAGTGATGGATTACACGGATCATTATTTCTATCCCCCATTAAACCTTCTGGAATTAATCTTTGCTTCTTCGTTGCTCATGTTATTCTGTTTTCCATTTGTATCTTTCTTCTGGGTTCCAACATAAGTTCCAAGAGTCGCCTCTTCTCAGACATCATCTTTATTCCAATGCGAAGAGCATCTTCCTCTGAATTCTTTCAGTACCTCTGGTCTAAACCTCTCATTCAGAACATGTTATCTTCTGGCGTTAGAGTGTAGATACATAATTGGCGGAATACATTGAAGCACAGAAGTATAGACTCAATAGTTGAGTTTGGAACTACAAACATGTGCCACCAAGCCCAGCTACCGCTGTGCAGTTATATTTAACTATTCATGCATTTTTATCTTTTCTTCCCCCTTACCTCCCAAATAGGAATTTAAGTTTTAATCACGCTCAACTTTAGTTTTCTCATCTGTAAAACGGACACAATGCATCTTGCCCTACGTTTAAGTCACAAAGTTGTCAAATCAAATTAAAGTAACGTAAAAGTGTTTAGCAATCAAAGACCAAACAGGAACTAATTAATAAATCGAGTTAATGTATGCATAAGAAATAAAACTAGATACCTTCAGCTTCTTGAAAATGTGTAATATATATGTGGGATATGTGTATGTGTTTTGGTGTGTATGAGCGCCTGTGACCTCTCTACGCTTTTTGCGCACCCTGTGGTGGTTTTTGTTTTTTTTTTTTTTTTGTTTTGGAAGCGGTTTTGGGTCTTTTTTTTTGACCGGGGGATTTTCTCTTTCGCGAGCTTTTTGGGTGGGGAAATCTGCGGTGTGTGTTCTAGCGTGTGTGTGAGTCTCACAGCCCCAGCGGTGTCTCTTTTTTTTTTATTTTTTTCTCTCTGTTGTTGTTTTTTGTTTTTGTTGTGTCTGTTTTGCTTTTTGTGGTGTGTCTTTTTTAATATGCAAGTGTATGTGTGTTCTATTTTTATTTTCACACAAATATCTCTCTCAGAGTATAGAGACACGATAAAACAAAAGACAGGTTTTTGGAGGGGGAGGGGACAATATCACAGCGTACCTGGCTGACACATTGGTTGTAAAGGAAACACATTCATTGACAAATGTTAATGGCGTAGTTCCTGTGATGTCTTCCCACTGAGCCGGGGTGGTTCCACCTGAAATAATATGATTGTTGGGGAAAAAATTAGGCAAAATTCCAAACTCTGGATTCTAAAATAAAGTTTTTGTGGCTCTGTGTTCACGAGTCCAATCCCACCCATCCCTCAAAATGACACACTGGAAACAAAATGACTAAAAACTACATGCTGAAAAATGACACACTGAAAACAAATAGCAGACACTACTCAAGGAACTAAATTTAAGGAAGTTATTTGAATAACTGTTTACCAAGCATTCTATTCTCTGCCTGACATTCTGAAGCTTTCATGGTAATTGCTAAGCTCTGAAGATAATTTTGAATTGTATACAGTTGATTATTTTAAAAGAGCCTTTGGCCAACTAACGAGGTGAATACTTCATTAAAATAATAAACAAACTAAATGTTCTTTTGTTCCTGAGCTTCATATTTTATGCAGTTATTTCCAAAAAACTAAATTTCTTCTCAATTTACAATTGATTGGCCAAAAAAAAGGTTTCGAAAACATTAAGGGCTCAATAAATAATGCAGAGTGAATGAAAAAAATTAGTGCATGCCAAAGGATGGAACATAGAAACATCACTGCACATAGAAACATCACTATGAAGGCTGATGATGACTGCCTATCTCTCATTTCCACCGAGAAATTAAGTTGACATAGATAAGGACAATATTTTAGTCAAAGTGCTGTAAGAAGAATATATGTTTGAAATGAAAATAATCTTGACTCTGAAGTTTCTTAAAGAAGGGAATGATTTATCAATGAAAGGTTAAGAAAGTTTATTCTAGTAGGCCGTTAAAATATATATTCTTTTTTTTTTTTTTGAGACAAAGTCTCACTCTGTTGCCTGGGCTAGAGTATTGTGGTGTCAGCCTAGCTCACAGCAACCTCAAACTCCTGGGCTCATGCAATCCTGCTGCCTCAGTCTCTCAAGTAGCTGGGACTACAGGCACACGCCACCATGCTCAGCTAATTCTTTCTATTTTTTAATTCTCCAGCGATTATCTTTTTATTTTTAGTAGAGACAGGGTCTCGCTCTTGCTCTGGCTGGTCTTGAACTCTTGACCTTGAGCGATCCTCCTGCCTCAGCCTCCCAACATGCTAGAATTACAGGCGTGAGCCACCACACCTGGCCTAAAATATATATTCTTAGCATAACTATATAACATAGCAAAATACAAAACCCCAAATACCTAAGTATTTTTTAAACTAATACATGCAAGTACTTATTAATTAAAAATAATTTTAATTATATTTAAGAAACTGTTTAGTAGAAACCTGTCTTAAGAATACGTAGATTAGATGGTGTCTAAGCCCATATAGTACCTTTGTTTGATTGTTACAGAGGCAGGGGGTGCTACAGACATTCTAGAGTCTCACCTGTTTCACATCCATGCCATTATGTTGCACATTATAGAAGATGAATCATATACCCATGGAGCAAAAATTATGGGAAAGAAACCCAAAAATCATAGGTAATAATCAGAAATGACCAATTGGGAAAGAGATCATTAAGTGAAACATGTATATGATTTCTCTCTATACTCATTATCATCTATATATTTAAAAATTTTGTCTAATTATTAAACTTATGAGATAATCTCCATGGTTCGCTATAATAAGTACAGAAAATACACTACTAAGAGGAAATTAGGGAGAAAAAACAAAATAAAGGTGAACATTTCTGCCAATATGAAGGAAAATGGGGAAAAAAAGGTCTAACAGTACCAAAACAACCAGGGATGGTTACTGTTCCTATGAACGAAGTATTAATATTTACTGAATGCCAGCACCATGTAATTATTGATAAATAGGAAAATTATCGGTTAAATTTTGTAGCCCTAAAACAGATTATTTGTGCAGATTTTTTGGCCTCTCACCATTCGTAGTGATATTGTTATGAACTTTTCATATTTACAATGTTCTGGGAATATCTTTTGAGGGTTTGGCAGTTGTCTGAAAGCTACTACAACTACCAATTGAAAAGACCAAAAATTAGTTACTCATTAAAAACTTTTTCTTTGTTTTCCCAGGGTTAGTTCCATAGATCAATGATAAAGACAGAATCAATTCCTAGACAGAACAGTTTGGCTGGAACTATTGGGTACAATTATCTAAAGTGCTATTTTTTTTTTCCCAGTAGATATAGGTGATGTCTTCAAGAAGGCTTGAAAGCCAGGCTTTAGAGATAATATAGGCTTGGGTCTGAATCCCAGTTCTGCCAAACATCTATAATATAATGTGGGCAAGTTATAGAACTTCTTTCAACCTTGCTTTCCTTTTCAGCAAAAATGGGGTTAAAGTTTCTTCATAGGGTTACTGTGAAACTGAGTTTAGTTTGGCATAAGACTTTATTTAGTGAATATTAGTTCCTTTTCTTTCACATCCTTCATTTCTCTAGGTAATTAAAATGCTTGCCTTGAATTAATGTATCTAACCCTGCAGGCATCTTACGACAAAGGTAATTTAGCATTTACAACAATCCAAGTTTCTTTACTGAGAACTCTGCTAACACTGTCCTTATATGATTCACCTGTGATGCTGCATAGTAATCTCAAGGTTGGTGCGTCGCCCCCAAACCCATTCAACATGACATCACTTGAAGCTTTGGGGACAGGGATGGTCATGGTAATTGGCTTGTGGAATTTTCTTCTTCTAGGTTCCAAAGTGACGATGGGGCTGAAGGTCGCTTTGTTGCCTAAGATCTTCTTCACCAGTTCACTGTGCATAGGTTGAGCCTTTTCAAAGTAAAGAAAAATATTCAAATAAACAATATAGCATCAAATTTAATGCCAAATTTGTTCCCCAAAGCGCAGCTATTTGTCTTACAAATCAATTTGGTAAACATAAAACATGGCAATCATGTTTTGTACTGTCATTAAGCACTCATATAAAACTTCGTGAGACCTGTGACGTCCAATGGCAGATTTTGCTCACCCAGGAATAATGTGATTCTTTTTTTTTTTTTTTTTATCTTTTTTACATGAGCTCCTAGTTTCTAATTAATGTGATTCTTTAACACAATTTATTTCTCATTTGATAAGGTAGTTTTTAATCACTGGAATAAAATGCACGTTAGAATAATTTGCACCTAACGTGGGCATACCTGTAGGCCCACGCGGATCCGCTTGGTTAGGGCCCCCTCCGGGAAGACGGCCTGCACCTGGGGCACCACCGTGCTGCTCAGCACGCCTCCCTCCGGGCCGATCAGGTTGCTGTCCTGTTTGATGCGCGACACCACCGCGAAGTACTGCGGGAAGTCTCGGGTGATGATCCGGCAAATGCGCTTCTTTTCTAGGTCTTCGGGGCTATCCAGCACTGAAGACAAGAAATGACCCACCTTCATTCATACAGCAAGGACTCCCTTCTGAAAGCAGTCTAGCAAACTCATCAGCATGGTTAATAGTGAACAGAGGTGGCAGCAAAACTCTTAAAAAAAAAAAAAGCAATACAAAGATTGAAAAAGCAGGGCTAACCTAACAACATCTGAAAAAGAAAGAAAAACTGTAATCTTTCAAGACCTGCCAGCATTTAGCTTGCATTTTTTTTTTCCCTTTTATGAAAAGCAGGACCTTCCAGGGCTCTGTGAAAGAAAAGCATCTCATTCCAGATGCCATACTGCAGGGCCAGCTTTGTAAATGAGAGGGCACGAGGACAAACAGGGAATGAAAATGAACCTGCTCTATTCTTGGCTCATGTGATGGAGAGGAAGTTGTTCATGAACTCCTTTTCTTTGCAAATTTCAAAGTTAGCCCCAAAAGGCCAGTTATTGTGGTTTAAAGAAGTTAATATGGACCTTTGGGTTCTCAGGGGAGTAGTGCAGAAATAAAATCTGTCTTGGAGGGAAAGGTTCATGTTTATATGTTTACCTCGGTGTGATGGTTGTCTGAAATAGTCACTGTGGACATAAAAAAAGATCAGTGACTACGTATTCAGGGTTTTAATATTCCCCTGATGACATCAGGAAGATGGGACCATGAGTTCTTTATCAATTGCATTAGTGTAGATATTTAAGGCAACACAAAAAATCAGACTGGTTTAAAATGTAGAAATTGGAACTAAGGGGATCATGGAATTTTAAAGAATTAGGGAAAGTTGTCTATTTTTATAAATCATTTATAATTCATGATAGAGGCACGAGCAATAATTACGTTTCTCTTGACAGCTAGGTACAAATAGATTGTCAAAGTGAGAAGTCCCAGGATCTGATCATCCATAATTGAAGATGTATGTACTAGCAAATACTAGCATCTACTTATAAAAGAATATATTTCCAAATTTACAAACATAAACAAATCTGATTCTTTGTTTTAAAATGAGCTTTTTACATATGTAGGAAGTTAGGAGTGGACAAGATATTAATTAATGTTTATTAGCAATGTCATTGACAGGTAGATATCTCTGAAGAAAATATCCTAAACCTAAATGATAGGGAAAGAAATGGTTCCCAAGAAGTAGAAGCAGCTAAATATTGCAGGTAACAAGCTTTATCAATAAAAATCCTGATCTTTTTTTTTTTTAACTTGCTTAGAAAGTACTGACCTACACAGCTAGAGGGCATAATTTCTTCTTCCTTCCACATGCCCTATTTGTGTAGTTACTTAAGTGGAATGTGCCTCCCCCTATTAGGACTAGGGCCTTTTCTCTGAGCAACCTTTGGCGGGCTGAGAATGAGCTAACGTACTCTAGTCAAACCGAAATCTTACAAACCTGTGGTTTAAAGCCCCAAACAGATTCAGGATTTACAGAGATTAAAGTTCTAATGAAAAACCAAGTCGCTCAATTAGATACGTATGCGTGCGTGTGCAATTCAACCCTGGCTAACTCCCTATTCGAATTATAGGCAGAAGATTGAATGAACTTAATTTTCCCTAATAATAGTTAAGAAGAAATTATATTATCCTATATTAGTTATGTGAAGATGTAAGTTCCATAAACAGAATAGCTTAGCATGTTTTATAAGTATCTTAAATATCTAAAAACCATGGATTTATCCAGTATTAGTTCATTTTGCAATGAAACAACAATATTTATTCTGTCTCTTAGGTTCAAAAAAGTTTACATTAAAGATGGAAGCATGTTGTATCACCTTATAAAAATGAGGTGTTTGCTATCTCAAAGGGTTTTATTTGTCTGACTGTAACAGAAGTAAGGTTAAGTGAAAGCGTTGTGCCTTCCTGCTCATCACTGCGGGAGCACAGCAGGTACCTGCTGTAGGAAAGTCACACAAGGGCCACACACACTCTCCTCCTAGGTCACAGAAAAGAAATGCACCATGCTCATGCTTCCACTTTACATTTCTCTTAAAACCTTTAATCTGAAGGTACCTTCATCCATGCCGTTGAGAATTTCATTCAGTTCATCTTCCGTGTATTCGCAGAAATGCTCTTTCCAGCTGTCCCCATTCTCACTGCGCAGGACCACGAGCTCCCTCTCCTTTCCTCGAAGGGCCGCGAAGTGAGGGATCTCAACGATGACCGGCCTGACACAGCAATGCAGAACGTTTAGTGTGGACGGGAGCTAACCAGCAGCAAGACAAGCACCTCCACTCTGTCTGTTGCAAAGTGACCTGGAATTCTCCTCTCTCTGGGGACAGGGACAGAGCGGGCCATCCTCTGGAGCCCACTGGCTAGCAGATGGTCACACAGTAGCACTCCACCTCAGGGGCACCAGTCCTCAGGTACATGCTGCTACCTTAAGCCAAATGATGTTTCCCTGTGAGTGCATGTGGCATTCTGGAACTTCTCCTTTGATAAATGTAAGTAGAACACATTTAACCAAAAGAAATGTGCATGCATATCTATGAGATGTGCCAATCTCCTAAAACATTTTCTACAAGGTGCGAATGACAAAATGGTTTAAGAGAGAAAATGGCTTAAACGTTGCATAATTGGATGTGTCGTAAATGAGGAGATGTCAGAAAAGTTGACTACGTGTGAACTAAGGAGCCATGCACTCACGGTTTTTGCTTAAATTTTCCTCATTCAAGGAAACAATAGGCATGTGTACACAGCGTGGCCCTAACCGAGCCCTTCGGCTGACAGCCGATTGTGCCCAATGCCTATTATAGTCAGGATCCAGAACATGCACTGTCCTACGACGAGGTTTAGGTCACATTCATCCTCGAAATATACAGAGACTTTAGATTTTTGAGTCCAGGTTGCTTTGGTAACAGACTCCAAATTCATCATAGCAACATCGTAACTAGCACATGGTACAACTAGGCAGATCTCATGCTTCAACGAAAATGAAGGTCACAGCACTTTAAGGGGAAAAGATATAAAAGAACATCACTCAAAAAGAAAAGTCACATACCACAAGGGTCAGAAATGGTCCACTAAAGATAGGTCATACAGAATTTAAATCATAGAGAGAGGGACATGTCATGGGCACAATGACAAAAAGAGAAATCATATTGCAGAAGAAGGAGAAGAATGGGGGCCCAGCAGCCATCAATTTGTTTTAAGTCACTCCTACCCAAGGAATTTGGTTCCAGGAGGCCCCAGCTGAAGGATGCGGCTGACCAAGCTTTCTCCCTCATTAAGTGGGGGAGGAGCCGTTGGCAGGTGAAGTTTACTGAGTACATCCAAAGCAGCAGTGAAAGAAAGAACATAAGTAAGCTTCAGGTATGGTTTTCCGCAGAACCCCAGCAGCGCCGGCTGATCCACAGGGTGAACTCTGGTTTCACACTGCGTTTGGTTCTGATCACTCCATTGGTCACAGAGAGCAAGGGACCGAGACCCAAAGTGGACAATGGAGGCTCATCTGGGCGAGGGGAGCACCAGCTGTCGGGTCGGTCCCTGTAGGTTCACCGCCAGGGCACTAGCCAAAAAAAAAGGGGGGGAGGGAAGGCTCCACGGGAAAGACAAGCTGTTGGGAATATGGTAAAAACTCTGCTCTGTACAGAGACCAGATGTTTTCATGGATATTCCCCAACAGATTGGAAGATTATTTAAAAAGGCTAAAACTACCTGAGCATCGGGGAAAAAGGGTCTGATACACTGAATATAAAGAGGATCACCCGGGAATTACTCTAAACATAATAGCATGTTCTGATGCAACCCAGAACTTCACAGCTCCTTCTAAAACTCTGTCTGAGAGGAGCACATGAGAGGTGATTTGTATAATTGGGAACTATAAACACACCCTGTTCAGGTGTGAATATAATTTGGAGCAACCTGCTAATAGTTTGCTCCAAATTACAAAGCTTTAGAACATTTCTTGGGTTCTAAAGCAAGAAAACCGCCCCCCCCATATGATATTGACAAAGTAAGAGTTCACAAAGTTTAGGATTTTTTTCCCCCCAGTTTTTCAAGCACCAAGACTTGATATGACAAGACTTAAATACAATTGATCTGTTTCAAAGTGTTTTGAAACTTGTCCCCCTCCACAACTTCATCCTGCCGTTAGTGTTCAGCAGTAGCCCGTCATTTCTTGGCACATTGAGATGCCACTTGAATGTAACTGCAGCCGTACAAACAAACAGAAGAAGGAAGAAGTGCTAATTTCTGCTCGAAATTGCTAAAACAGGCATGGCCGAAGTTAATCTTGATGTTTTTGTCTTAATGCACACTGCGGCTAACTAGGCGGCCAGTGTAATTATAAGGCTCAGGGTAGCAATTTTGATAGCAGAAAAAAAAAAAAAAACAAATCACACAGACTAAGTTTTTAGGTACTCTGCTTGAAAAGCAGCCCTGCTTTCCAAAAGGGAAGATAATGATTCTGTTTTGTAACTACGTGAGACTTTCAATTTAGGTTTGGAATACAGCAGCATTTTTTTCTTTAGGACTTTACCACTTAAAAGTTCTCCGATGAGAAAAAAAAAAAAATTACCTACCTTTGGCTAAAACATAGTTATTCACATTGGGAGTCTGGCAGGTACTATAATGTCCAAAGAGAAAGGATAATAATCAACCCGCATGTTGAACTCCTGAATGCCTTCAAATAACAGGCACGTGAGTGGAGTCAAACACGGAGGTGCTACTTCCAATTTTTAAAAATTTCACAGGAGCCAGTCTTCTTTCAAAACGGGTTGACATACCTTTTTCCATTCCATCCCAGTGAGCCCGCGTGCGGGACGCAAGCTCGTCGGTGACTAAGTGGGGGCTTATCAGAAACCCTTACCCAAGGAACTGAGCACCAGAGGGTCCAACTTCAATCAGGCGACTGGCCAGTCCTTCTCCTTCCACCATGGGCGGCATCGTGGCCAGTCGGTGGCGTTTGACCAGCCGGCAGGTGACTCGCGTCGGGGCGGTGCATTTCCGAGGCGGAATAATGATCCGGAGCCCGTTGTGTCTGCACCCCCGCATGGCGCCCCCTCGGGCGTCCACCATGAAACTAACCAGAAAACTAAAAACCAAAATAGAAGGGCAGATACATTTTGAAAAAAATCAGAGGCAGATAAGCAAGCTTTGTCCAGTAAATTTTTCTCTGTAATGCTTTGTTCTCAAAACATCTCTCTTTGAATTATTCTTTAAGTGCACGGTGGTGTGACATTTGTTTTTAAAAATGATTTTACTTCCTAGCAAGGACTTGATTTTATTTTTGTGCTATTTTAATCTACCACTAAAGGAAAGTTCTGGCTTTTGTTGACAATGGTGACATTAAGTATAAACTGTAAATTAAAAATAGGTCCAGTTGATTTTGAAAGAAAATGGAATGAAATTAGATAAAGAATATCGAGAAGTTTCCTTTGGTTATAAATACAAAGACTTCTGCTTCCTTGTATGTATGTGCTGGAAAATCCACGTCGAAATAATGTTAAGGACACAGCAGAGAGGAAACACCAAATTGTGGTTTTTCTGCATCCTGCTCCAACCTCATCTTACCCAGGATGCAGGTTTTTAACTGATGACATTCTAAAGAGGAAGAAAGTAAAATAACTAAATGTTTGGGATGGAACCAATTTGCTGGTTAAAATATATTTTTTCACTTCTTAAATAGGAATTTCTCTGCCATCCCATTCTAACTGAGACAGAGGGGCTGGGCAGGGAAGAATTAAGTGTTCATGGAAAGAACTATAATCCAAGGTGACTTGGTTTGTTTATTTAAGTGTACCAAGCGAAGAGGTTTGTCTTGACTTTGAAGCTGTTTGCTTTGGGATGCTCTTGAAAGATCCTAATCCAGCTTAACTTGAATGCTTGTCACTGTGTTAGTCACAATAGTCGTTACTTTTTCTCAGGCACTCATTCTGTCAAGGAGCAAACATTAAACATCGCAGCAGTCTAACCGTTGTGCACACGTACACAAAGATACAAACACTCTTGCACAAATTACATTAGCGCCTTTCCCCATTTTTGTTGCATTTGCAAGATCTTTCCACCAAAATCGAGGTGCATCATGGATCTACTTATAACTTAACCAGCACAGAATCCTACCGTAATAGCTTCTCCACACCTAGACATTGTCTCCATGATAACATTTAAAACATTTGAAGGGTATTTCATCAGAGTTAATATATGGGATATAAACACAACATTTATGTTATTTTTAGACAAATGAAGGGAAAATATCTTAGTATCGTCTTCATGGTAGAACACAGAACTCACTAAACATGCTATTAAACAGGAATCCTGTTGCTAGTGATAAAAACGGGTGCAAGGAGCTCAGAGCGTCTGTCGGAAGCAGGTCATGCAGTATGAGACCAGGAGAGGGGCGGGACTGCATCCTCTCACATGCAGGAAGTCGAGCCAGGCTGGGCCCACCATTCACACCTGCCCTTCCAGTGTTCAGGAAGGGGTGAAAACTGGAAAGTACAATCGACAGTTCGGTACTGAAGTGCTGATGTTTCTGGTCTTTGTCCAAATGTAATGAGAAAAAATGCTGCTTTTCTTATTACTAGTCTTTACATATGAATTCTTTAAAAATTTCTTTTTTACTTGACTTCGAAATGTTCTATCACGCACAAAAAAAAATGAAAAAAATAACCTGATAATGCTTCTAGATAGATATAAAGATTTTCTTTCCATTGTGTTATTCTTATTAGGTATGATATTATATAGAATTGTGTAAACAAGTAGAAAAAATGACTAAAGTTTCAACTAGTACTGCTTCTAAAAATTTACTGCACTATTTCTGACTCATTGAGAATTAAGATTAATGTTTCCTTTGATTTTTTTTCATCTTTTGGTTATTACCTCCATTGATGCTCCTAACAGGAGCTCAAATTAGTAAGGAATTATTATTATACATCTGCTTAATGTTATTGATCCTCAATACTATTTGTACCTTTTGAAGGCATTGGGAAGTTTCCACACTTTATTTATTCCAGGGATGGTTTATGGCCTATATAATATCAAGTCTCCATCTAGAAGAATAGATACAATATCTTCTGGTGGTTCATTCCCTAAAGAGTGAATTGAGGTAGCTGTGTCCTTGACTCTAACAACGTTTAAATACCTACGTGTTAGATTACTTTCCCTGATTTTGTGTCACTGACTGTTCTTCTTGAAACCCTCTTTTTGTTCTCACTTGGATCCTAATGTCTATGCTCTTTTTTTCTTGCAACATTTGTCACCTTCCTATGAAGTGCCAGGTGCCCTGCTAGGAACTGAGGGTACAGCAAGTAAGGACACAGCGGCTGCTGCCACAGTCTAAGTCCCAGATGTCCCGTGATGGTTTGATCATTGCTTAGAACTGCTTACTCTCCTGGTCAATGAGCAATTACCATATAAGTCCCCATGTTGGAGCCATATTAAGTGCCCTAAGCAGTGACTATGTTCTCTGTATTTCTTCCTGTGTTCCCTGGTGCCTAGCACAGTGTAGATGGAGCACATAGTAAGTAGGTAGCCAATAAATAACTATTGAATAAGCAAATGAATGGAAGAGTGAAAAGGGCAAGTTGTATATATTTATGTCTGACAAAGAAGGCTAACATACAAGGTAAATTAATTCGTTGGTCTCTGGATAATCAGAGCAGTCAGAATTCATTCAAATCACCACACTCAGAGGTAGCAAAGTGGTTAGGAAGGACTATCCATAATGTTAATTATTCTCCAGGCCTATTCTTGCTCCAAAATGAGAGACCTGATATATTTATTTCTCTTGATAGAGGATTAATAGGAAGTGAGAGTAAACAAAAACAAAGAGTGTGAATCTAACACAATAAATAATTTCATTAGGAATGAAAATTTTATGAAGAAAGACCAAAGATGGAGAAATCAAAATAAAAGTACTTAAAGACTTCAGCTGCTATTAGATAAATTTACCTACAAGTATCTCTGTGTCATTATAGATCTAGAAAATAATATTTAAGTATTGTACCAAAATGCAAAATGAATTGGAAAAATTAAGGTGCCAATACGCATAATTCAGAGAAAAATATTAAATTCCTCAAGAAGACAAGGCTTTATGTTTTTGTCAAGTAACTAAAAGTCACAGACTAAAAAAAGCCAACAAGTTTTAGTGACAGAATTTTCTTTAGACAGGAAAAGCAAAGAGAGAAAAGAAAGTGAAACAGAAAGATGACAAGAGATAAACAAAAAGATTGGGAGACACAAAAGAGCTAAATATCAATAGTGAAAAATGAGTAAAAAGGTTTGTATATCTAGCAAATAAAACTCTAAGCAAATTAGACTCAAATGATCTGATTGCCAAATAAATAACTAATAAATGCTGAATTTATGGAACTGCATAATAAAAGAAATCTTTTCTTTAAATAAGTAGAAATAGGAAAAAGAATGACTCAAATTTGTATCTAGGTGCTGATAAAAAGTCTATTGATAAGAGTCAATATGCTAGTCAATTAATCTCAATAGTTAATAGTATAAAATTTTGTAAGCATTTGAGCGTTTTCATTAAAAATATCAGAATATCAAAAAGTGCCACTACTTTGACAGGTAAGAGAATTAGAGGATAGTCAAGGATAGTTATTCTGCAATGTACAAAATAATTGCAAAAAAAGCACATTGTAAGAGACCATTTACGTTTATGTATCAGGAAAAAGCGAAAGGTTGGAAGCTGTGAGTCATGAGATGAATGAATTCACAAATCAGAGACGATTGAATAAACGTGATTTTTCTCACGTTTGCAAGACATTAGAAACGAGACAATATAATGCATATAAACATTTGAGATGGAAAGAATTAAAGTAAAAATGTAGGATTAAATATGTGCAGGAAAGGTGGTACATGGATTGCAGCTCAGCTTTGTGGTCTATAAACCTTAGGACTGAAGCCTCACCTGTCAATGAAAGATAATCCTATTACCACTTAAGGTTGTGGTGAGAATTAAGTCACGTGTGGGTAAAGAATATAGAATTCAATCAATGCTTGTTCTCATCATTTTCTTTTCTCTACACCCATAGGATTTTTTATATTTTGAATATCTTAAGAAAGGTAACATAATATAAAAATAAATGGAGAAACTAACATTTATTGAATACCTAGAATGAATCTGCAACTATGCTAAATAGTTTAATGGGATGGTGCAATTTTTATTAGTTTATGACATTTACTACTTAAATAAGATATAAAAATACTATCATCACAGAAGGTGAGTGCCATATTCTTTCGCCAGTCTAGATATATCTGCCTTGAATTAATGTAACCTCAGGAAAGTCACTTAACATCTTTGGGTTTCAGTTTTCTTATCCATAAAAGGAGAGACTTCAATTAAAACTCGAAGTTGCCTTTCAGTATTAAAATTCTATGTACCATTTACTGTTAACTAGGTTGGGAAACCTAATTAAATGTTCCATTTCAGATGCTCTGAAAAAATTCCTCATTGGAAAAGAAACCACTATGACTTCAAGAAATATATATTATATTTGCTCTCTGCTTAAAACAGCTACTTTGCAGAAAACGTGTACACATACCGCACTAAACATTGACTTAAGACTGTACCGACAGAAAAATATCACGTGACACACTCAGCTTTAATTGCATATCTCACTCTCCAAATGGAATTTCCCAATCATGCAAAGTAGAAACTCGGATTGAAGTTTTCCAAATTGTGAGATGCAATGTTATCACAATTTAAAAGGAATGAAAGCAGAAGCAATCAACCGTTATTATGCAATGACTTGCCTGCAAATACGCAATTTGATTAGCTAAACAGGTACATGCTTCAGAGGAGGGGGCAGTAAACAATGATTCGGTCTTTTGAGGACTACCATCCTCCACCCCAAAAGTTATTAATCCTTAGTTTGTCTTTTAATTCATTCAGGACGATGGGATGGGGACGGGGACGGGAGGAGGAGACTGCAGCATTCAGAGTGAGTTAGTAGGTGAAAGAACGGGAAGAAAACATCCCCAGGGTGCTTCAGTGATCCACACACACATAGCAAGAGGGCCTCGTGTTCAGTCTCAGTCTGGAGGTCCCAGGAGGAAATCGCACCTTGAGTTCTTTCTCCTCTGTAATTCCACTAATCCCTTCCTAACCCCCCAAATTCCATAAACTGAAAAACTGATGGAAAATGGCTTTGAAAAAAGTGGTTTCAAAATGGTAAAATCACCAATTATTTATCAATCACTGCATTCATGTATAGAAAGATAATATTCAGTGTGTGTTTGAGAAGATTAAGGATGGAGATAAAAGTTTTCAAAAACAGAAATATGAAACTGTCTTTTTTGTAGACAGACAACGTGTAGTATCAGATGCCTATATACTAAAACGACTATAATTAGCAGTCTGATAGGACACCTTTAAAAATAAGTTTATCAAGACAACCGAATAATGAGTATTTTTAGAGCACTGACTAAGCCATTCTAGAGTACGATTTTCAAAATATCAAAAGGTTGCATTTGAAGCAGCACTAGCTAGGAAATGTGCTATTAATAAAACTTTCAGCCTTTGGCTCGCCTAGAATATAGTATTTAAAAAAAAAACTGAAAAAATAAGGTGCAAAAAAAACTCTTGTAAGTGCCACTTAAAATCATAACCTTTCATAACACTGTCTCTTGGGCCAGGTATCTTCACACTAAAGCATCCTGAGGCAGGGGGTGAGCGGAAGGAGATGGAGGAAGGGGGAGAGGACTAGGCGGCATGGGCAGAGGAGAAGTATGCAGAAGTTCACCTGCTGTTGTCACGATCAAGACATGGAGAGGAGCGGCTGCAACAGAATAGATACTTTAGCACAGAGAAGGAATGGATAAAGTGAAATATAAAAAAGGAACTCAGAAGAAACTTTCAACTGAAATCTATTATTTATATACCGATACAGTATTCATCGAAAAAAACTGAAAATCCAAACGAGACATAGCTCTCCGCAAATGCTGAGAGAAGAGCAAGGGATGGGGGCTTTGGGGTGACTCCCAGTTTCGGGAACTGGGGGTGTTATAAAATCACTGGAAATGGGATTTGTTGCCTCATTCAACATGGGCTCGTGAGGGCACTTAAAGTCTAAGTGTCCATTACGCTGCAAAACGTCAAGGGGTACCATAATGAAAAACAACAAGTCTTTGGTTTGATGGACTCAGTTTTGATGCAAAAGCTTTTCATTCATACCTGTAATACTTTTTAAAAAATAATGAAAATGCCCTTTAGGGCTGCCACAGAATAAACGCAAACAGAAAGGCACAATCTAAAGTATAGCTTCAAGGACAAACAGTAGCGTAAGCCATGAGGCAGAGTAGGTGACATTAATTACCTACTAGAAGGGAACAAAAAACTATGCAAGCAAAGTCTTGGTGCTTTTGTCAAGACTTTGTCCCCAACTTTGGGGACTGCTGTCTTCCTCATGGGTCACAGTGTCTAATCCCTCCAAGTTTTGCCTGCCACTCTTCTTCTAGGTACAGGTCTGCTCTTCCTTAAAACCCTCTGTATGTCTCACATGGTTCTCTTATGTTCCCAACACTGGCTGATGTACAAAAGAATATATGTCTATTGGACAGAAATCTAATTTTACAAAACAGTTATTTTGCTATTTATTATAAACAATTTTCTTCATCTATCTTCATGTGTCTAAAAAAAAACCCTTAGTGTTATGAAATACATGAGCAACTCCATTAACTTAATGTCACAAATTGACATGTAATTGTTAGCACTTGCTGTCATTACAGCACTACAAAACTGTGACCTTTGGAATAACAATATTTAAGATGAGTTATAAAGCTGGCTTTTGCTGGGAATTGTGCCTTACATCTTCTAATTCATTATGCACTTAGGAAATGAAGAATTGTAAAATTCAAATTCTTGCCCAAGCTTGTGTTGGTAAGATCATGAGTGGGATGCTAGAAATAACTGCTGGTTACAGTCATTGTGAATCATTAGGCAACTCTTTAAATAACACAAAAATATTACTATTAGTCTTTCTTTCGCCAGATATTGGCTGTATCTAGTGACAGAACAGATTTTTTAAAAATCATTCATACCTCTTCTTCTCTAGTTATGGGCATTAGTCATTGGAAACAGAGACTAGAGGTAAAATAAAATCGCCAATACTGCTTATTGGTAGAAGCTGTGTCTTCTATTAATCTGAAATCTCTTTATTAAATTTAATAGAACATTATACACACAAATTAGTGGCACGTGCATAAAAAGCTAACTTTATTATCCCCCGTCAAAATGTCATTTTTTCTTGCATTTTGGGCAAAGTTTGAAGTGCCTTAAGAATTCACATAATTAATGAAAAAGGAAACTTAGTTGCTCAAAAAAATATAAAAAAGGTACTATTCAGAAACCTGGTATATGATGAATAAAATTGCAAGAAATCATTGTTACATGACATGGTACGAGGAATGTTATTATACATACTAATGTCAGGGCAGCTTTCAAATACCATGAAACTCAGAATCATGGCGTTTTCAGTGATAATTACCCATGTGTTTAGAGTCATCTGTTGCATTGTGTTTGTTCAAATGCTAGAGCCACTAATAGATGATAATTTACCTGATAAAACTAACAGAAAGTCAAACACTACCATCACGTGTTGAACCACGTTGGTTTTGTCACATAGAGGATTCGGGATACATTCTGCTTAACTGATTTGCAATTTGTGAAAGGTTTGGAACATGTGTACGGGGATCGTATAAATACTAATGGCTATAATCTACTGAGTACTTATTCTTTCCAGGAAAGTGCTAATTACTTAAAACACATTTAATCTTTAAATCTCCGCTATGGGATCAATGATATAACTCTCATTCTGCAGATAAGTAAACTGAAACTCAGAGATTTTACGTAACTTGTGCCTAGTGTCAGTGTCAAGATCTGAATCCTGGTAGGTTCGACTCCAAAGCACACATTTAACCACCCTGCTTCTCTCTCTTTCACAAATCAGGTGTCTTCCAACTTTAAATCACAACATACAGGTGCGTTTCCTAAAGGCAGGAGCTGGACCTTACTTATCTATTTTCCTTAGTGCCTGGCATAATTTCTGGTGCTTTGTGGGAATTAGATAAATGTGTGAAGAATGAACACATATGTGAATGGAGCAGATAAGGAACATTTGATAGAACTAGCTATACATTAATTAACTAGGGTTCCCTAATAACCAAAGCTTTACTAAGCAAAGTTTTCCCCTTCTAATGGTTTATATAAAACATCTAGACTATTGGCTCTTGTAGAAAACACCAATGACAGAGCCCCCAAAACAGAGATTCTGATGAAATTGGTCTCAATTGAGGTCTGGGCTGAGGCCAGGGCACCAGTATTTTTGAAAGCTCCTAAGTGGTTGTAGTGTACAGCTAAAGTTGAGGATTATTTAGAGTCAATATTAAATGTTTGACATTGACAGAAAAATTGCGTTATTGGAGGCTATGGTTTTAAGGATTCTTACCTTAATAATTAATCTTTAGCCATTGGATGTTGTTGGTTAATTAGGAGAAATCAACCATAATTACTTACAGGTGTATCTAGTTTTACACAATTGGTGTTTAATTGATGTACTTAAACTGAGTATTTTATTGCCCTTCAGTAATTAAAAAACTTCTTTAAAAAGTTCCTTTTTAATGTAAATGATTTATTTTAAAAATCCAAGAATTACCACACCAGTGACTCCTTTGTAGATTCAGTTATTAATAGTCAATTACATTTTACCTAAAATAATCTCATCACTTTGTAGGCTGGATATGGTCTTTAAATACTTCACCATGGGTTTGAAATTCTTATCTATTATCCTTCGATGTCCAGCCTTCATTTCCTTCTCACTCACCATTGTTGAGAGATTTAACAGCAGAATGCAATGTTATGTTTTTTGAATAATTTATAGGTGTGAGATTTTAATTCTATTTTTTTGCTTAGAAATATGTAAGTGAATTTCAATGGGATTTAATTTGTCTGTTTTTTTTAATTCCCCTGAATAATTCTTGCATAAGGAACTAGCTTTCACTTATTTCAAAAGGAAAAGAGTATTACTGATTGCTTTCAATATCTACATAACTAATTTTTTTCTTCTAGGAACCTTTAGTTCCTTTAGTTTTCTTCTAGGAACCTTTAGTTCCTTCTAGAACCTTTAGTTTAGTAGAAGATTTGACCAAGAAGTCCAAGATGTTCGACTAAAATATCTTGGAACAATTTCCTGAAAGGAGAATATTTTAGAATGATAAAAACAAGAAAGGGTGTACTTCTCATAATAATTATGGGATTTTAAACAAGGAGTTTGGGATAATAAGTAAAACCAAAGTATTGCATTTTGTTATATAAAATATGAGTAGGGCTTTTAAAAAAGTAATTATATTTAGAAAATGAGAATTTTATATGTATTTATTATATTACTGTATTATTTCAAACTACTAAAAATGTAAGGAAGAAACCACTTGGAAGAGTATCACAGTTTAAAACTCCTTAAGGAATTTTCATTCCACATAATTGAACACCTTAAGAACAATGTTAAGTATGTCTGAAAGTATGACTCGAAGTCCTACTTTTTAATGAGTTCATATAAACAGGAAGCATTGCTGAAACAGTGGTGTCTGTACTCTCCGAATGACTGTAAGGCGACAACTTTAACAGAACCTGACCGGTTACCTTCAAATTTCTCTTTTCATTTGTATCCCTACTTCAAACAGCATATAAACTCCTCTACACACTCGTGTAATTCAAACTTCTGTAAATATTATTTTAAATGCATTAATATGTGAGAAAGGCATTCATTTCCAAAACCAATTCATCGATCTTGGTAAATAGAAAGTTTCTAGAAATCAAATGATTCAGCCCCCTTTTTAAAAAGATGTCTTAAAGACAACAGGTGAACAATAGGGAGGCCACCTGTATGTTCTGGTTAGAGAGCAAGCTGTTTGACGCAATTCTACCAGTTATTTAAAAACAATAGTCAGTTTTTTTAATGCTGAAATCAACTCTTTTTGCTGGTTGGTTTGTGTAGATAGAGTCCATGTTGGATAAAGCAATGTTATTTGCAAGTTTAAACAAAGATCCCCTCCCCTGTAAGCTAGCCATCAGCTAAAGCCACTGGACAAAGCTGTTATTTTCACACCCATCTCTTTTTCCTCTTGATCTGGATACATAATATTGATTTACTCACCCTGAATGAATAGGGCTGGAAGAAAGAGCCACGTTGTCTAAGTTCTCAGTGCCCCAGCTTAGACGATAAGAATTCCTTTCAGACTCCTTGGCTAGAGTTGACACCTAAACACAAAGAACACTGGATTTAATAAAAATACTTCGCTTCCATTAAAGTAAAACAGAATGAAATCTAAAAAGTAGCATCCCAGGGAAGGGGTATCACCTGAAAAAAACTTTCATTCAAAAATACAGGACCAGTGCATTTAAAATAAATCTTTTGAACGCATTCCCTTTTAAATTATAACACTGATACAAGATTACATTAGAGGAATTGTTTTTGAAGAAGAGTAGGTGTCCATCTATTTCCTTATACCAATCCCCCAAACTGATAAAATCATAACTAAAATTAAAATATTCCAGAATAAACTGTAAGTCTTTCCCCATAACTAACCATTTCAAATATTGAAAGATATATATTCTAACCTGTACCATTCATCTCATACCTCATCTCATGCACCCTACCTCACTTCTTCCTTTCATAGAAATTTTATTTTAAAAAACTAATCTATACATACACTCTCTACAGGAGAATTCGGTATATTTGAAGAAACAAGCAGTATAGTTTTTTTCAGAAAAACTCTGTTCATTAAAAAATGTAGAGAACATTTTTCACGTTTTAGGAAAACCCTTTTATTCTAGCTTGTCGACTAAATTAAGAAGGATTTTTTTTTTTTAAGATTGAAAACTTTCTCAGGACATTTGTAATTTAAGAAGGTAATTTAAAAAAGCTCTCCAGAATGCACAGAGATGTCACTTACCTGGTGACTGGGGATGACAACCGAGTCGTCAATCATGGCACTGTCCCGCAGGTAGGAGGCATGGCTCAGGGTGTGAGACCTGTCGGAACTGAAGGACCGAAGGCTGGAAGGTTGGCAGGAGGCCATGGTCATATACCAACAGCAGTGGGATGGTTGGGAGGATAGAATGACGAGCCAAGCAGGAGAGTGAAGAAAGCGTGCTATTAGCCAACAGTGCAACTTCCAGGGGGGCCTGGGTCTCTGTGCTGCCCTCCCTCACTGCCTAACAGCTAAACTAGCACATCCTTTGACAGGTTCCTGCCACTCAACGGCAAGGGCACAAGGGAATCCAGAAGTTAAAATGTGATACTCCTAATCTGATGCATTTTCTTCCCCAGAAATGTTTGAAACCAGCAACTGTAGTTGACTTACTGCCAGGACGAGAAACTCACACAGGAAATAATTCTAGGATAGGTTGCTTACATCTGTGTTAAATTGTCAATCTCCCTGCAACCAGGAAAAATATTAGGAGGCATGTAGACAGCCCTCAGACAGAAGGACAAAGTGAAAGCCCAGGTTTCACTTTCGCTCACTGGTGTCCATTCTCTCCCCACGCCTCTTCCTCCTCCTCTCTAAACTGGAATGACTGACTGTCCCTGCTCTCCCCTGGAAGGTACACAGTGAAATGAACTGTGACCAGATGCATGCTTCCTGCGGAAGTGCAGTTCCTCTTGTTTGTCTCTGGTCACTCCAACAACGCTATTATCTCAAACGAGAGCACTGTCCCTTTTGCAGGAACTGTGTGTGTGGCCAGGGGAGCCCCAAAGAGTGTTGGTTGCCGTGGCGATGAGATGCAAGAGCACAAGGCACCGTTTCTAAGCACCAGCCCAGAACACACACATCTGCCAGCACAAAGACAAATTGCCAATGGGCACTGACCAAAAATAAGGTTCGGCTTCGAAATGGGATTTAGGCCTTGACAATCAGTGCTTTACATTTTTGACGAATCTGAATTTCCGAGTTCTGAATGACATGCTCAAATGTGATAGGTAAAAACTGACAATGGCAGAAATGCAATTTCATTCCTTCTTAATCAATTTGTAAAATCAAATGGCAAATAGATGGTTATCTCAAATAAGCTATATTTTATACAAATGAGCATAAGAATTAAAGATCTGTATTCAAAATATTAGCCCAAAGCCCATAGGGGGAAAAAAGATATTCAAGCTTTCACAATATTTATAGATGCAAACTTTCATTTACTTTTAGCTAGTATTTGGCCAGTGAAGCACTGTAGAATTATGGACTAAATGTCAAGTTAGCATACTTATTAATAGAAACAATTTTCATTTTGTAAATACATGTAATTTTTTTAAGTCGTGTACTATCATCTTTATGAGGTGTCAATATAGCCAATTTTAATTGTCTTTGAGGGAAACATTACTTTGTAGATAATTTGTGCAGATAATCCAGGGACTCCTCCCTTCTTTTTGCAAGTAGATTTATGCAAAAAAAAAAAAAAAGACCTCAAGTCTTAGAGCATAAGTGACACGAATCAGAAGAGTTGATTGTCTGATCCTCTGTGTTTACATCTATCTAAATCTGTGTGTTTATGATAAAATGAAATATAAATGCCACTCGAAAATTAGCTATTTTATGTTATATAGGCTCTTGCAGAAGATTGGTGCTCCTGACAGAGCTGGGGCAGGAAGAGGCTAGATGCCTTAGTCCAGGGGTCCCTAACCTATGGTGATAGGAATAATTATTTTATTATATTAATATATAATGTAATATAATAATAATATATTATAATATACTAATAATAGAAATAAAGTGCACAATAAATGTAATGCACTTGAATCATCCCAAAACCATCCTCTCCACCCTCCAGTCCTTGGAAAAATTGTCTTCCATGAAAATGGTCCCTGGTACCGAAAAGGTGGGGGACCACTGCAGCAGATGCATCACCAGGGCCCAGCAACTGGAGGCAGCTGATGATACTACGGCTGGTTTTACAGTCATGCAGCAGTTGGCTCCTGATGTTGGCCTTCATCAACTAGCTGCAGGCTGCTGTGATGACTCTTGACCTGACCTTGAATCTGAGGCTCGGATGGGGATTAAATTATTGGGAAAATGGTCTTTTTTTTTTTTTTTTTTGAGACAGAGTCTCACTTGTTGCCCAGGCTAGAGTGAGTGCCGTGGCGTCAGCCTAGCTCACAGCAACCTCAAACTCCTGGGCTCAAGCAATCCTACTGCCTCAGCCTCCCGAGTAGCTGGGACTACAGGCATGCGCCACCATGCCCAGCTAATTTTTTCTCTATATATTAGTTGGCCAATTAATTTCTTTCTATTTATAGTAGAGACGAGGTCTCTCTCGCTCTTGCTCAGGCTGGTTTCAAACTCCTGACCTTGAGCAATCTGCCCATCTAGGCCTCCCAGAGAGCTAGGATTACAGGAGGCGGGAGCCACCACACCTTGCCGGAAAATGTTCTTTCTTCTCTGCAAAAGCCTATCTCAATTAATGGAATGAATCATTTTTTTTCCTGCTTTAAACCACAAAGACAGCTAAGATCCACTTGGATGTGTTTTGTACCAGGCAGCACTAGATCAGCAGCTCTTGAATCCCATACTCCTTTATTTTGGTTCGAATTGGGTCAAAAATAGGAAAATAGTAGATGGGCCAATCTATTAAAATGATAAACTGATACAGCTTGCTTATGGGCTCAACCATCTCCCCCCTCCAGTGGTTTCTATTGGACTCAGATTTGTTAATTACATAATCTCCACCCATGGATTTACAATTCAAAGGTCTAGACCAGGGGTTCTCAAACTACGGCCTGAGGGCCACATGTGGCCCACCGAGGACATTTATCTGGCCTGCCAGGTGTTTTTGCCGCGGCTGCTGGTACTGCTTAGCAGCTGACTCATCCTGGGCCCACAGTGCGCATGTGTGGAATGTGCACTGCACTCTCCAACGGCCCTCCAACGGTCTGAGGGACAGTGAACTGGCCCCCTGTTTAAAAAGTTTGAGGACCCCTGCTCTTGACTATGACTTCTCACCTTTAAAGGTGCTACATTCATATGACTCAACAGTGCAAAAGTAGCAAGAGGCACTGTGATACAGGGCTAGTGCTGTTGCTGCCAGCATTGTAAATGTCCAAACTTTAAAAGAAGGCATCTGGCCCCAACTGCGACTCTCAAGGAGTGACGATGACCAGGTTGACAAGTCTGTCTGTTTCAGGAATGTTGCATTAAAGAGCCCATTTGGCTGTGAATGTAAAGCCACATTCTGAAATCAGTATATTAGCGATAAGAGTGGAATTTTGTCACCTACCTAACTCATACCGGGGTCTATTTCAATTGGTTTTGAACTGTGAGGGGTAGAGAGGTGTTGGTGTTAGTATTATTTTTTTCTTTCCTAAAATCCCAACGTGAAACAAATATAGAGGAAGAAGAAAGGAAAGAAAGAAACAAAGTGACATACAACCACAAAAAGGTGATTAAAGAGAGAAAGAGATTAGGATATGTAGACAGAGAGTGAAAAAAGTTGGACAGAGAGGGGAGGGAGAATGAATATGTCTAATCTCTCTTTGGATTTTATTCTAATCCACTCTATTTACTGCTTTTTGAAATGCTAACTGGTTATTTAATCAATGTGTATAGTTTCTAATGGCCCTGTTTTTCTGTGACATCATAGAATCTACTTAAATGAAATAAAGGTAGAATATTCTAACAGAAGAGAAAATTGTTCTCTCTAAAGAAATAAAAACCAGCACAACAAAGCTCTGGAACAATTTAAGTCTCTGAATCAGGAATTGTCCACCTGATTTAAGACATTACCAACAAGTTTAAATATTTTTCAATTGGGCTGCTAATTTTTCATTAAGTCAGAGGTCCTGCTGTTCAGTTAATACACGTATAACAACACATATCCATAGAATTATAAAGTTTTACTTGTTCGACTAGGGGATATGCCAAGAGTTTTGTTATGCACTTAATTTATACTTTAAAAAAAACAACTATGGTACAACTGCCTTATGGACACATTAGTTAGTATGAAAGTATAATTTCATTAAAAAGTATAATAATTACTATCTCGGTAAACTGCAATATTTATTAGACAGCCAATTAATGGAGTTGCAAACCCTACTGAACAAATAAATATCCAAAGATTTCAATGTGTTTTCTTTAAAATACGAAGAAGCTTCTGCAGTTCATTGTTATTTCATATTTTGTATTGAATTTGCACAGCATTTTTAATTTATAAGCAATAATAAGCAATAAAAAGGGCACAAAAATCCAACTAATCTGAACTTGGTTGTGTTTATATTTAATGTTCATTAAATTGCTTGTATTTTTATTCTTCTACATCTATTTTTATTTTAGGCATCTGAATCTTCTGTCTTCTCCAACTATGCATAGGCTAATTAGGGTTGTTTGGGGGAAGCTTTGCTAATATATTATCAACCACAAGGTGGAGCTGTGAAAGTCAAAACAAAGACTTTCAATGTAGTAATATATTCATTCACCTCTTCTGGCGCAAATAGTTATTCAATTTAACACATAAAAACCCTAATTTGAGAATAAATCCATAATTCTAGAATATAAGCACCTCCACGAACACACATACACATTGAGCAGTAAGCAGGGAGATGTGGATGTTTCCAGGAAGGGCATGTTTTTATGCTATGTTAATACCTACCTGGGCATGGTACTATTGCAAGCAGTTCAAATAAAGAAATAATGGAAAGGAAAAATGGTCACCGAAAAAAGGTAACATACTGAATTGCCTAAACAAAGTGAAAAAATAAAATAAAACAAGGAAACCATGAAAATAAGATGCTCCCTGTAATTCCAATTCCAAGATCATGAATACATCTGGTGCTCTAGAAATGCAAGTGTGGACCTGGAGAACAGATCATGTCTTGTTTGTTTCATGCCCCCTGTCCTTACACGCTGATAAGTATGCAATTTAAGTAGAGGCATCAAACCAGCCATCTTGTTTTATAGAAAGTATTATTCTAAATTATTTCTTGACCAAAGTACTTTGAAAGAACGGAAAAGGACCAAATCGAGCACTTATTCTTACTAAGAGACCATGCTTAAAATAAAGGCCCTTTGGCTGGCAGTAATCATTATTCATAAATTATTATGAATTCGTGCAAAGCCATAAATATTGTATTTGATTAAAATTTGAGGTCATTTAAGAATCTCAAAATGTAAGGTCCAAATCGATCAATGTATCAAAACTCAGTATCTGTACAGGGATCCTGGCTCCAGTCCATCCGACTGCCACTTCCAGAAGGGTTCTTCCTTCTGTATCCTGAGCTGGAGGATGACTCTGCATGACCGCCACCAAGGTTAGCGTGCAAGGTTAGCGCTCCTCTAAAATTCATCCTCCATCTCACTGGCCGACGGATCCATCGAACATTCGAGTATGATCTCGCACCCTCCACGCTGACACCCGGCAACACAGCACACTCTATGTCTTGCACACACCACGAGCCTTTGCCCAGGACCGTGCTAAGCCTTCGGATGCCCTCCCTCCTCATCTCTCCTCGTCATCTTTCACGGTCAGTTTAGCTTCATTTCCCCCAGGAAGCTGGGGCCTCGGAGCTCCAGTGACACTCTGTGCACGCCACCAGCTGGGTCCTCTCCCGCCCCACAAGGCCATGAATTTGGTAAGCGCATCTTGTCTCCAGCACTTACCACAAAGCCCAGCACAGAAAGGCACTTATATCCACATTGAATTATTAAATATATATATATATATATATTTTGCTAATTATCCACTTAGAATTGATTACTCAAAATATTTATTTCTTAGACCCTAAATTATGCTGAATATTCATAAAACAGCTTGCAATGCAGCCAACTTTAAAACCCAAGATTGGTGATTAGCAAAAGACATTACACTACACGGACAATTACAAGCTTGACCTAAATTAGCGATCACACTTCTGATGAGGGACCAGAGAATGTCTTACTTAGCTTGTCTCAAAAATTAAAAAGCACCAGTTGTATTAGGTGATAATAACCAAAAAATAGCATTGATCATACATTTCAGAATATTATATAAACCTCCCAGACTCGCCTATAGCAGCCCAAGCTCTCTCTGATTTCGCTCAGATCAATTCTTATACCCAGGCTCGTGTGGGGTTCTGTTCTGATTCCTTTTTCACACAAAAAAAGCCAGTTCCAGGCACAGTTTTCTTCTAAATTCATTTCTTTTTGATTCTGCCTCACAACATACTTTTATTCACAGAAATTACGATACTGACAAAAAAGCAGGGAGAACCAGAAGTGACATCACTCAGTAAGTGTCTATAAGGCCAAACTGTCCTTTTAATTTGCCTAGAGAAAAAAGTGGCAGGACATTAAAAACATCATACTTGAAGGCAGAGTGCTCTTACTTATCATGGTTTTACATCTTACTGGATGTTTGATTTTACCAAGTTATTTAGTTGGCCTAGGCCTCAGTTTCCTGTTCTTTAAAATGGGTACTTCCTAGAGTTGTTAGAGAATGGAATAAGAAAACATGCTAACTGCTGAGAGTGGTACCAATTAAGCGGTCAATGATCGCATCTGCTTTTTTACTGTCACCTCGACAACGTGTTGCCGACACCCCCGGCTGACATCAAGTGTACGCTTTGCGTGATACCTGTCGGATCGGCCTCCCTCCAAGCTGTAGCGCAGGTAATTCATACCATCCAGGAACTGGCTGCTGGGCAGCGAGTCATCACCCAGTTCTTTTAGATCCTCGGGCCTAAGGTATTCTCCCCCATCACCTGTCATCGTGTCGTCACCTTGAAACAATCAGAGGAAGATGGAGAGTTATTTGCTGAATGCAATATTAACTACGCAGCATGATCCTGATCCTGAAACGTGTCAACACGTCAACACGATGGCCCTGACGTTAGTGCAACTCCGCACTCCAGAAGAACACAGAACACAGGCAACTGCAAAGTACTAAAACCTAGAGAAACAATATCTGGGTTTTTTTTTTTTTATTACTTACCAAGAAGAAATAATTACCTGATTATAATTCTTTTAATATTAAGTTGGGACACCTTCCCCCCCTTTGTTTATTTATGGGAGAAAAAAATGCTAAGATGAATTCTAACTATAGATTTACCAAAACACAGGCAAGTCTTGCTTTGGGGATAAGCCAAAATTATTTTCAGGAAAATAGATGAGAGTTTTGTTTTATTAATGTTTGAGAGGACTAAGTCTGTTCCTGTTTATGAAGACGTGGAGGGGGAGGTTCAGTACAGGATCTGCTGTGTAATCCATGCAGACTCCAGCTATGCATTATGGGTCCCTTGAGCAAGAGGCCAAAAAAGATTATTTAAAAACCAAAATGTCTGCGTGAATTCTCTCTCTCTCTCTCTCTCTCTCTCTCTCTCTCTCTCTCTCTCTCTCTCTCTCCCCCACTCTACCACCCTACCCTGACCTCCAAGAATCCAACATAGCTGAGCTTTGCCTCCTGGCTCCAAGAGCCTACCACTACCCAGGTTAGGGCACCCTGTCCTGCTCAGAGTCGATTTGTTTTCGCATCTCATCTCCTCCGCATGTGCCTGTTCTCACGACAGTCTCTCCTCAGCCAAGATCCCCACAGTGAACAAACACAACTCAAAGGCAGCTTTAATGTCTTGGTCTTGAAAATTCCTCAAAACTCCTTGATAAAACAGGGCCCACATTTTAAGTGCCCTTATGCCTCCCACCTCTCTTTCCCTCTTGTTAGACCTCGGGAGGCAGAAGAGGCCTAAGGGTGAAGGAAAGAAAAGGCGACAAAGGGAAGAGAAGGCGGTCTAGCTGGCTGGACCCCAGGTCTGGAGGAACAGGGCCTGGTGTTTACCACGCAGAAGGCGCCGATGGGCTACGTGGGCCTGCCCTCCCTGCTACGTGTACAGGATCTTGCTGAAAGACTGAATAGAGCCATTTGGAAAGCACGTTTCTAATCAAATCTATCAAACGTTTGTGACTCTTAGGACGAGTTGAGCCACCATTTACAAACCACTGACTGTGAGTTCTGAGAGAGTGGGGGTCCTTCTGGGGGTCCTTCCTTCACACGCTCCCTTGCGACAGCTGCTGGGCTCAGTGCTGCTGAAAGAGACGGTTCAGAGTGTGAGGGCCCCCTGTGGTTGGTGGCCTTGGATATAGATCTTGATGTCTTGATGACGTCTCTCAGAGAGAAACGGCCCAAAGAAGCAAACCCCCAACTTCTGGACTCAGTGTCTAGAACCTAACCCGATGCTGGCATTAGCTGGAAAGACCCCTGTCTGGGGACGAACCTTGCCAGTGCTATATGCGATTTCTCTCTAAGACACCTGTGCACGAAGCATGCGACTTGGCAGTACACGTCAGCGGTGAGAGACAGATAGTGACTGCCAGCAGAAATTAGCAGAATGTAAAAAATCAGTTTTTTGGGGAAAAAAATTACCCAAGCTGATGCATCATTACAAATTTCTGCATATGGCTCACAGCTTTAAACGTTTTTAATGTGCCCCCCAAATACGACAATCATATTCTTGCCTCCCTTGGTAGGGGAGGAGGCTTCTGCCTGTCTAAGGCTAGCTCGTCCCTGTCTCCAGGTCCGCGTCCCACCCATCTTCTTAGAGACCGTGTCTGCTAGGTCCTCAGCTTCAGCTTCCCCTAGTCTGTCACAGTCTGTGGGAATCCTTCCCCTTCTGCAAAGCACCCTGCTTCTGCCATCTTTGACATACGGTAACTTCTTCCCCCAACTCTTCTCTATTTCATACTCTGACTCCTTTTCTTTTCACAGTCAAACCTATTAAACAGATGCTTGCTAGTGTTTAGCAATTTATCAATGGCCAAGAGTTGATTTCTTCTTTGGAAAACTACTCTCCTTGATTTCTCTGACACGAAGCTCTCCTGGTCTTCCTCCCATCTCTTTGAGTCTTTCTTTCTAGCCTCTGCTTCCGTTAGATATTGACATGGCCCAACTGCCCTTTCTTCTCATTTCACATATTATCATGTGGACTGCAAGTGCCACTGTTTACTAACTACACACAAATCTGTATCATCCCAGAACTCTCTCGCAAACTCAACTTCCACATTTCAGTAGCCTCCTGGACTTCTCCTGAATTTCCTACGAGCATCTCAAGTTTAGCATTTCCAGAATAGAACTCATCTTCTTCACCCATCCCCTGCCCACCTGCTTCTCTCTGTAAACTGCCTACATGAGCAAGTAGTACGACTACTTCCTTGCCCACGTCAAGTGGGGAAATCAGATGAGGGTCTGTTTTAATATTATATTTTGGATTAAAATCTTTAGCTCATATTTGGTTGAGTAGAGAACTTTCCATACAATTAACATCACGTTCACTCTTTGTTAGTTGGATTCATGAGTGGATGTTGCTGATTGTTTTAATATGTGTATAGCAAGTTAGCCTGAAAAGACATCTCTACTGGGTTTGAATACTCTGTTGGGGTATTGATATACTGTTACTACTGTTAAAATAGTAGATGCTATAGAAAAAACAGAGATTGGCTAATAATTTCCAAACATCTGTGGCTGCACTCTGTCCACGTGGATGAAAGCAGGTTCCAAGAAGACATTTTAACTGCACAAAATACAAAAGGATTGGCTATGTCAACCAGCCGACTTCCTTTATACTAATTCTTTACATGAAAAAGTTACTTAACAATACTCAAATAGATTCTTTACATGAAAAATATTCAACTTGAATTTCCTTCTGAGAAAAAAATGTTATTAAGTTTTTGGCTATTTCTAAAAATGGAAAACTCTTACTACAAAAAATATTCTTGGTCATTTGCCAATATTTCTCAAATCAAGAGTTCTTATCACCAATAACTTTTAATATATAACAGTTTTAGTAATAAAATTACAGAATGTTATAACTAATCTCATTTTATGCGATAGGCCAAGTCTGAGAGTCTGTTTAATATAAATGGAATTTCTTTAAACCAAATAATAATTACTTTAAGTACATTAGCTAATGGAATTCTTTAACAATTGTATAAATAAACAGCTGTTGTTAAATTATATAATCACTGTCTAATTTATCTGACTTATAAATTTAGATTTTCTTGTCATAAGGCTGCTCAAAGTGGTACCACATGTACTTTGGAAACTTCTTGCTAGATAAAATGTCTTATTATTAATTTTTTCCCTAAATGATTTTTGAAGGTTACTTTATTTCTATTCTTAGTTACCTTAAAAAATTGCATTATAACTTTTAATTTATTTTTTACTACATTTAAAATATATCATCAACCAAGAAGAATGATATGAACTGCATTCATTTCCAGCAGTCTAACTTAGTTATTAACATGTTCATACTAGTTCAGCGTCAACCTATCAAAGTATTACTTTTTCTCTAAATTTATATTCTAAGAAAAGATATTAGCTGTGGAAAATACTTATATAATGTTCATCAGGTAATGTACTTATGTTAGTAGTTCTGAATAATAGTTGCAAAATCATTAATAGTATAAACAATTCATGGCTTTAAACTTCTAAGTTAATAAAATCCACACGTTCAAATGCACACATATACATTCCACTCACATTACACATGCTATTTCAAAAGAAACAGATTAGTACTAGAAATACAAATTTAAATATTACACAATTTGCTGCTATCCAGTTAAAAAAAATTAAAAGCAAAGAAAAGCTTTCACTCCAACAACCTCCTCTAATGGTACCTGAGTCACTAAGTGCTTCCCCATCAATAAAGTGGTCACCAAACTGTTTAAAGGCTGTTCAACATACAAGTAAAAGATAAGAAAGATGATCCCACAAAACGAAACAAAAATGGTGTGCATATGCTGAAAATTAGTTGGCGAGTATTAGGACAGAACACAAAATTATAATAAATACTTGGAACTGCTGGCTTTCACAATACCTTTTAATTTACACATAATAATGCACTGATCCAGAATCTGTCCATTCTTGTCATAAATTCTTATAAAAGCTGAGACTACTCAATGCCTACTGCCAACAGATGATTAAACAAATTGGTTACAAATAAGGACATCTCAACGTGAAGTTTTATCTTATGATTTTATTTTGAAGAACCTAAACAAATACCCTTAATATATCTCCATAAAAGCAATTAGTATCAGGCCTAGTACCATCCTTTATGGCAATAATTTTTCAATCAAGTACATTGGACCAAAGTTGCACTATTGAAACTTGGTTGCATATTTTATGGGCTGCTTTCATGATTTTTAGCAACAGATAAAATATAAAATGAAGAAAAGTCAACTATTGTAGTTGAAGAAGAGGTCAGGAGCCAGAAACCCTAATGGCCCGATCTCCAGCATGATGCCCCACAGACCCCAGGCAGGCCCTAGTTCTTTCCAGAAACTTCTCAGGACTTTCATATCCCCTGCCTGGGATCATTTATTATCAACAAACTTATAAGGGGCATATTTTCTGACTTAAAGAATTACGTTCTTATGTTGAATTTGTCCCACTTGCTGTTGTGCCATTTTTCATCCTACTCCAGGGATATTTCCCTCCGGATTTAAAACATATTCTGCACATTTGAACCATGCAGAATGCAGAAATTTCTCCATTGAGATTTCTCAATTGATGGAGGGTACTCATTGATGAAGGTCTTTAAGGTATTTGAATACAAAAATATTTTTTAATATAAGTAAAACACATTTTAATAGTAATTGTATTATCAGTAGCTATTTTCTAGTTTCCTTCCCTTCCTCCAGTCCTGTTATTTAATAGAACAGGATATTTATTAAAGATAACACCAGGAGAAAACACACTAATCAGAGCCTCCCTTTCAGTCCCTGCTGCCATGGCAAAAATAAATACATTGAAACAAAGGTGAAGAAGTGACTTTAAATGTTAAGATGTTGTCATCCACGGCACCAGCTTGGTCCCTGAAAAAAAGGATGACTTGCTCTTGTGCCAGAACGTGACAGTTGTCACAGAAGATGGAATAAAAGTCTTACCCTCTTCATCGGAAACATCGAGAACCTCAGTCATTGTCTCAGGAACATTTAGCTTGTGTTTCTCTGTGATAGTCTGGAAAAACAAAAGTCATTAATGCTCAAGTCGAAAACAAAACCAAAAGATGTGAGGCAGCACACCCTAGGAGACCATACTTAAGAGCAGCAGGCAGCCCAGAACATTCCATCTTTCCCACATGTATATTTTGGGAGGTTACGCTCTTTCACGGAACTCGTTTGTTCTTTCTGAAGATAAGTGACCATTTACTGCAGCGAAGTCGTACGAGAGACAGTTTGTTATTCTTGAGTTCTCATTTTAAAAATAAATTCCTTAGCAATGACATTAGTAATTAGTCATACATATCAATAAAGCAGATTAATGTTCTCAGGGCTTCCCTCAGATGCACGATGTGATGTTTCCAGGAAAGTTTTAAAAAGCAGCGATGAACATATGCCATTTATTAAAGCAAAGCCATCAGAAAAGAAGCTGTAAACAATGTGAAAGACATGAACTATTTGGGCAGGAAATGTGACACATCTCTTCTGGGATCGGAAGACCAAGAGTAGAGACTCAGTCATGTTTATAATATTTCACTGGGCGACAGCTCTGGTTTGTTGCTTATTTTCCTTCCACCCTAGCACTCCAAGTTGTCGAATCCACTCTTTCCTTCCTGATGTACAGTGTTAGGTTAAGAGAAAAGAATCTGGAGTCGAGCTGCCTGGGTTCAATTTCTAACTTTGCCACTTATTCACTGTGAGGTCTTAAAAAGTCCCCTAACCTCTCTATGTCTCAATTTCCTCAACTATTCAATTTCCTCAACAAAGATAGTTCAGTACTTCATAAAATTGATATGGATATTAAATGATGTAATGTACTCCAGAGCTCCAAGAACAGCCCGTGGCAGGTTAGTAGTCACTCAATAAACACTAGTGAGGATAATTCATTATTAGTGTTGTAATTCAATATTAAATTCATCTTTAAAATGGAAGGTTTCTGAATTTTTTAGTCATTCATGCACTCAAGAAACATTTTTGAATGCCTACTGTATACCACAGTGATCTAAAAAATGACACATAAGCCAGGCACAGAAAGACAAATTCGGCATGGTCTCTCTTATAGATGGACTCTAAAACAGGTAACTCACAGAAGCAGAGAGGAGAATGTTGTGGGAGAACGAAGGAGAACGAAGTGGGAGGTGGTGACTCAGTTAATAACAATGTATTGTATATTTGAAAATGGCTAAGAGAGTTGATTTAAGTGTTCCCACCACAAAAAAAGGATTAAGTACCTTAGGTAATGAATATGTTATTTAGCTTGATTCAGCCATTCCATAATTCATGCATATATCAAAACATCATGTTGTACACCATAAACATTAACATGTACAATTTTGATTTGCCAATCTAAATAAGTAAGGAGACACATGTACCAAAAATAAATGAATAAAAATCACAAAGCTATGCCTTTAAATACCACCTAAAGACTATTGAGTCTTAGTTCATGCCTCCAGTTTCTGTTTTGAAAATGTACTAAGTGCACCAATTGGCACCGTCATAGGAACTTAAAAAAAAAAACTAATCCCTTAAAGTAAGGGTAAATTCTTCAACTGAAGCTACCAAAGTACAATACAAAGGTTGTCTAGTTTTTTAAGCTTTGCCACCGAGGTATTAGAGATGTGTTCGAATGGCTATAATGACCCTATCGCTGATTCCTTTTCTTTCCAGAAGCGATGGAGAACTTCAGAGATGTTGACAAAGAAATTCAACTGGTCTGTTCATTAAATTCAGTGGAGTAATTATGAACATATATGTGTGTAATATCTGTGTGTCAACAGGGAGCAACTATAAGGTGATAGATATGTTATGCGCCTCTCCATTGTCTTCAGAACAGACTAAACAGCCCGGCCCAGCCCTGGTGCTGTAGACAGAGGGCAAGGGGGAGAGTGAAGGTCAAGGTCAAGGCTTCCTCTCTTTCACTCCCTGCTACATCTGTGTGCAGCTGCTTTAATCCTCTGGACCGGTCATGCTCTCTCGTGCCTCTGAGTTCCTCCACATATATATTCCTTCGTCTACCAGAAATCTTTCCTCTCTTTTCCTGGCTCCTATGAGATGTGACTTCCTTGGAGAAACTCCTTGACCTCCCAGTGAATGTCTTTGTCTAGCACTGTTGATCTGCTGCCGTGCCCTCCTGCAGTCCCACACACGCCAGCGACTGTCCCTTGTCTGCCCACCCCCATGTGAGAGTGTGAGTCACTGAGGAGGAAGGTCTTTTCCCTAGAGCAATCTTCTATGAAACATAGTAAGGCCGGGCACGGTGGCTCACGCTTGTAATCCTGGTACACATGGGCATCCAATATTCTCTGTTACTCTCATTCACTATAATTTTATGTCTTAAAATAGAAAACTTAAAAAATTAGGCCAGGCCAGGCGCGGTGGCTCACGCTTGTAATCCTAGTACTCTGGGAGGCCGAGACAGGAGGATCGCTCAAGATCAGGAGTTCGAAACCAGCCTGAGCAAGAGCGAGACCCATCTCTACTAAAAATAGAAAGAAATTAATTGGCCAATTAATTTTATATGTATATAGCTAGAAAAAATTAGCTGGGCATGGTGGCGCATGCCTGTAGTCCCAGCTACTCGAGAGGCTGAGACAGAAGGATCGCTTGAGCCCAGGAGTTTGAGGTTACCGTGAGCTAGGCTGAGGCCACAACACTCTAGTTGGGGCAACAGAGTGAGACTCTGTCTCAAAAAAAAAAAAAAAAAGAAAGAAACATGAGCTTCCCAAAAATACATATTGAAAAACTGATGATATAAAATTATGCAAAAGACATTTAATTATAGCCCTGGCTCAAGCATTAGAAAAGTGATCCATGTAAACAAAAAACATTTGTACCCTGTAATATTTTGAGATTAAAAAAAATCCACATGACTACATAGATTTTTCTCTCAGGTGAAGTTTCAGTTAAACAAAACAGAAAGAAATAGAGAACGCAAAGAAAGTCTCCCACTATTTACATGAAGGCATAGTTGGAGACTAGGGTGGCAATGCAGCCTGTCCCAGGTTTCTTGTGCTGTTTACATAATTGTGTAGTGTCTTACTCACTGAGAGCAAACCAAATGCTGCAGGAAATACAAAAGCAAACACCCAAAAATCTGGAGAATATTATTAGGTGGTTGACAGACATTTGCTGAAGGAACAAACTCAAAAAGACTATTACAACATACCATGTCATTATTATTTTAATACTGTAAATTTTAATTTATAAATTTAACACAGATTAATTATAACCTATTTCTACATCAGTGGTATTCAGCTCTAGTTAGTATATAATTTCAGTATGTTATTATTATTATTATTTTTATTTTTTGAGATACAGTCTCACTCTCTTGCCTAGGCTAGAGTGCCGTGACATCAGCCTAGCTCACAACAACCTCAAACTCCTGGGCTCAAGTGATCCTCCTGCCTCAGCCTCCCGAGTAGCTGGGACTATAGGTGTGCACCACCATGCCCGGCTAATTTTTTTCTATTTTTAGTAGAGACGGGGTCTCACTCTTGCTCATTGCCTGAGTTCAAGCAATGATCTTGCTTCAGCCTCCCAGAGTGCTAGGATTACAGGCGTGAGCCACTGCACCCGGCCAAATTCCAGTATATTAGAATTATTATAGGAATTTTTGAAACATTGTTGTTTAGGTCTCCTCACAGGCCAATTAAACCAAAATCCAATCTGTGGGGATGGGGCCCAGCCAAAATAAGCCCAGGTGTTTTTTTTTAAGTTCCTCAGGCGCCAGTCTATTGTGTAGCTCAATTTGAGATTCATTTTCCTGTATTAGGGAAAGTATATAAATTGTGGAAAAGTGATTTGCATTTAAAATATAAGATGGAGACCACCCTACTATGATACCCTCTTAAGCCTTTTTTGAAACTTATTTTGTAAGTATCTAAGGGTAAATAAAATGATTCAAAAGTGTGAAATGATGTCTACCTTACTACACCAGGAAGTCCAATTTTTGCAGAAATATTTTAGAGTATTTGGCCTTCACAGTAAGCATCTCCGTAAGAGGATGATTCTCTGTTAGAAAATAACCGATGGAGATACTTTCTAAATGATTAAGTTATGTTCCCTGATAGGCTAAGTTTCTATTTCCAGACGCTAATAGTGGGACTGTATTTTCTTTGTACTTGTGAGAGTGGAAATAACTAATGCTTTAGTTTGGTCTCTGAATGCTATCGAGTCGTTATTAGCAAACATGTCGCAACAGAAAAAGTAATACATAGTGATTATATCAGTCATGGATATTTTTCTGTGTAGACAGTAAAAGTGGCCTCTATATGCAATGTAGTAAATATAGTATTCATTTATATATGATGTGTGTTTGACCCTTGGAAAACCATTAGTAAAGATTTGTTGAATGGATGACAAATAAGTTTTCCTATTCATGAGTAATGTAGTAAGAAATGAATACATAATTTTTTCCTTTTAAACAAAGTATCATTTGAAAACTTGATTATTGAAACATAAATATGGTTTTATGCAACTGGATTTGAATAATACATAAAAATCAAGGCTACAATTAAATGGTCATGGGCATCTCTTTCTGCTTTAGAATCTAAGATGCTATCTATGGTCAAGATTAGAAACTGCTTTAAAACTTAAAATGAGTAGTATACTATGTACAAATTTAATGGGATATAATTAAATCTGATAATATGTTGAAATAAATAGAATATGACAGATAGAAGGAAGACTTAATAATGAGTTTTATTACTTATGATATGGAAAAATGTAGAAAATAAAGCAAGAGTCCTTAATATGCTGTTTTATAAATGGTGGGTAATATTTGGTTTGTTCTCTGCAAAAGAAAAAGTATACTTAACTGTCCCTCACTTAGCCAACCTCTGCTTAGTCAATCCTGCTGGTCACCAATTTCCTTTATACTACATGCTCACCACACCTGTACAGCATGGATGATCACGGATAGCACACCACCTTTTAATGCTCACGCCCATGGCCACCATCGCTGGAGTTTTAGGCTAACCTTGCTTTTGTTTCCAAATCTACTTATACCAATCATACATGTTAATATAACTTAGATAATTAAATATTACGTAAATACTATTTTTTTCCTGTAAAAACTATGGTAAATGCTTTAGAAGGTCTCAACAAAAGTGAGCCACCAATACCAGCACCTAATTAGATGTGGTTGAGGCAATTATAACTGACTGAAAAAAAAAGTCAAAAGTTTAAAAAGGTTCTGCACTCAGTATAATGCCTCTTTAAGATGATAATACACAGGATCTATAAATACTATACAGATATAGACGTTTTAGGATATACACACACAAATAGTATAGGATGTACTGATGTTCTTTGTGCAAAAATGACAATTTAGCTTCTAATCAACAGACCTATATTCACAGAAAAGATCTTGGCTCCATCTCCAAATGTATCAAATGATTCCAAGGATTTATTGCATTGTCATTTTTATGATTTTCATTTGTAATTTTTTTTTAAATTTTTATGGATACACAATAGTTGTACCTATCTATGGGGTATCTGTGATATTTTGATACAAGCATACAGTGTGTAATGATCAAATTAGGATAACTTGGATATTCATCACCTCCAACGACTATCATTTCTTTGTGCTGGAAACATTCCAGATCCAATCCTCTGGTGATTTTAAATTATACAATGCATTTTTTACTATAGCTGTCCTGTTGTGCTCCCAAATACAAGAGTTTATTCCTTCTACCTAACTGTATTTTTGTACCCATTAAACAACTCCTCTTCATCCCCCTCCCCAGATGCCCATTTTAACTGACTCATGACATCTGATAAGATTTAGGACTTAGACTATTTACATTTTCTTAACTGTTTGTTTACATATTCCCCAATGTTTAAATGATAATATCATTTTTTATTTTAATAATTTATTCAGTAATTTGTAGTCTACATATCAATGATTATATAGACCATATAAGACATGATCACTTTAAAATTATGCAAATAATAAAAATAACTGACGATGGCCGATCAATAAGTGGAGGGTTGAGTCATACCACACAGTCCTTCCAAGCTGCATTTAGTAGATCAGGCTTGTTGGCTGCTGCTGGTGGCAGAAAAGTGTCCCCACCAGTCTGATGTCTGTTCTGGCAAACGCAGAGTGATTGTAATATCCCCCCTTCCCCAGAGTGCTAAACTGTCTCATCTCCCCTGCTGCGTCTTAGAAGTTAGAAAAGCAAAGGTTAAGGAAACAAGCCACGATTCCAAAATGTCTCAGAAACTTCTACAGCAGTGACTTTCCTTTACAAACTGCTGCCTCCCTACACAATGATGTTATTCATACTTTGGAGAACTCTAAAGGAGGAATAGCAAAGAAAACTTTCTTTGATCAAAAAGAAATCACATAGCTGCCCAAATGGCACAGCGTATGAATCCAATTGGTGTGAAATTAATGTCTGTTGTGTAGCTGTGATTCAGCTGTTAACATTTAAATGGTAACAACATTACATTTAATTTTATTAATTTTACATAATTACTATGTTGTCTCTTGTGCTATTTGCTATCACCAGTTAGTAGTTCCAAATTATTGGTGGTGAGTCTGTAGACTTCAGAAAATGATATTGAATATGATGCTTCCACAAAAATCAATAAAGGGCGCTCTTTAAATGGGGTTTTTTTGGTGTTAAAATTAGGTGAAAAGGGTTCTTTCACAAAATACCTGTTAAGCTACTTTCAGCAAAATCAAGGTCAGTTACGTCAGAGCGGTTAAGAACATGGGCTTTGGAGTCTAACAACCCAAATTTGAGTCCTACATCTGCCCTCCATGCCTGGCATATTTTTATTCCTAAATATTAATTATTATTTTTGATAAAATTAATAATGCATTATGTGGAAAAAGAATGATTGAAAATCTCTTCACAGAGAAGGAAGTATAATGTAAGAAGACTCCCATAATAGACAAGAATAAATTCATATTTCATTCCTGCCCCCCAAATTCCATTTCACAAAACAAACTCACAGTTCAAAGCAGAGCAGACAGTAAAGTGAAAGCAGCATTAAAATAAGTAGCCACCAAAACTACCTATGTAGATGAAAGCGGTATATCTGTGGTTAACGTGGACAACAGTTTCTTATTGCCCCAACTGAAAGCAAAAACGTTGCTATGTTTTGTGTTTTTTATTGACTTTTCACCTAGAAACTTGAATTCTAACTGCAGTGATTTTTGTTGGAGCAATACTCAGCTGGAGAGTGCGGAGAATAGTAGATTAGTAGATAATGGAAAAAAAAAACCAAAAAGCTCACAGAGGGTTAGAAACGGGGTTCTCATCCCACTTAGGGCTAGATGTGGTGGAGAGAGGACCTTATGTCTGATTTCTGACAAAGTATTTGGGAGCTTATTTAAAGACAGCAGTTAAGAGTATTTAGAGACAAATTAGAGAAAGCGAATTGCTCCTCTTTTTAAATACAGATCTTTATGTTCAAAGTCATACCCTCTGAATAATATTTATGAACCTGAGATCTCTTTGCAACTGGACACATTAAGTTCCATAGTTTTGTTGCTGCAAAAGACAAATTTAGTTCCTTACAAAGCCTGCAGCTCATTCTCCACGCCCACTACAATAAAGTCGCTTACGGGGAAGGAATAAGGGTTTAGCCACTGATGAGTCTTTAGCATTCAGCACAGAACTCAGCGCATAGTTTATATCCGATAAATAATGAAGGAATGAATTCGTTAACGAAATGAATGGAAGAAAAGCAGGTCGCAGATAAGCAAGAGGTGCAAGCTTGCCACCTAGTGGCCACATGGTAAAAATGCACACACATGACTCCCGGAGCACAGAAAAGATGATCCAGTTGAGAGAAAACACATCCAAGAACAGATGTGTTTGGCCAATCTTGCCACTAAAAGTTCTATTCATTGTGATGTACATATTGTTTTAAAGATGCCAAATGAAATGGTACACAGGTGTAGGGCCTTAAGAGGAAGATTTTCTAGGTATAAGAAGTTGTATCACATAAAAAACAAAACAAAACATTAAGATTCAGCCATACAGAGACCCACAGGGATGGTGTTGGGCAGTGGAAAGACCTTTCTCCTATATAATTTATTAAAGCTATACTTTAAATCTTTAAAAATGTTGTAGTATACTGGCCAAAGGTTTTATAATTCTGTCTGGGGAAACAAGCAGTACTATTCTCTCCCATCTAAATTCAGCCTGTGTCTTGCAGTTCATTAATAAATCATACTCCACTCTATTTAAAATTGCACATTAAACCAACTGTATTCCATCACTTCAATGTATGTCAACAGAGACTCACTGTCAGCCTAAAGAACAAATTCCTTTCTTTTTCCTCACATCTATCAAAAGAACCAAGTGTTCCGAACCTCCATAAGCATCATTCCTAGCTTGGGGCATTTACTAGAACCTCATTCAGAATTCTTTTATTTGTTGATTTGTGGTCTTATTGTCTCTGAAGAACATCAAATGTTTTACTCTTGTTCTACTTTACAAAGATAAATTAAAGAGCCATTATTCTTAGAGTTTGTACTTTAAGTAAAAAGTTAATAAATCAATAAATGCAAATATAATAGCATTTCCACTTGCAACTAGAAGACCCCCCCCACTTGGGAGGCTTTCTTTAAACTTTTGTTCCCACTGGATTCACTATTATCAAGGTCTTTCCTCCTACAGTGTTTCTGTAGCAAAGACAGTCATAATTTTAATCACTGTTCTCTCCTAAAGAACCAGCAGTTGTACTCAAAAGAGAAAAAAATTAAAAATGTAAATACATACTCAAGGAAAAGGGCAGAGGAGCCAGAGAAAAAGGAGCTAGCCACAGAGAAAGGAACTAAATATTCTAAAACTGGATTCGCATATTTTATATGGATTTATGTTGAGTAAAAGAAGCGAAAAGCCCTGCACTCCTCGTGTCCATTCACGAATTCTGCACACTTCCACGCGTGCTCTACGAGGCCTTCCACAAAAGAAGTTCAAAAGTAAAAGCTCCCAACGTCCTGTGAGTGGACAGCACTGTGTGTCTCTGTGGCTTGCGAGCCGAGGCGGCAGGGCACAAGCGAGTGGGTCCCTGGTACTCACCGTGGTGGTGGTGGTGACCTCCTCTGTCACAACCTTCAGAGTGTCCACCACCGAAATGTAGCCCAGACGCTTCGCGATCGCCAAGGCGGTGTTGCCATTCTGCAGACAGAGGGGAAAGAAAGAGAGTGAGAAGTGAGAGGGAGGACTGCGAGGAGAGCCAATGAGATCACCCGGGCTCCGCATGAGCCAGCATTTCCTTCCAAAACAAGGCACCGCTCAGGAAAATCACTAGTTTTTACCATTACGTCTAAATCTGTCTTTGTAACTTCTTTAGACTATGGCCCAGGTCGCCATGGTAACACAACAAGCTTGCATCTGCCTGCTCTTTTTAATAAGAAGCACTTGCCGCTTTAACCCTAAGGTGGTCCGGTATCTTCCACGAACACTGTGCTAGGCGTAGAAAAGTACCTCTTGATGCCTCCAAAAACTATTTGCAAGCACCAGGCACACTTATTCCTCAGCTGAGGTCAGGTAAGATGTCGCCATGGGGAATACAGCAACATATTTAGCTACAGCTGTTGCAGAAGTTCACCATGCAGCAAAACAGCAGGGGCGAGCAAGTCAGGCTGCACCCAGCCCAGGCCCCTGGGGAGACCAGGGCTTGTTGAATTGCACGGCTTAGTTTACATTTCAATGGCTCCACAACCCAAAGAGCTTTGTCTAAGCCCGCAGCACCCTTAAAGAAGGCAGCTTGCCATAGCAGGCGGGAGGGAGCGGTGGATTTGTGCTCACATCTGAGAGCAAGCTGGAAGCAGAGCACAGCACAGCAATCCCCAAGCAGAGAGAGAGAGAGAGAGAGAGAGAGAGAGAGAGAAAGTGAGAGAGCCAACCGAGTCAGGCCGGCTGCCCTCCCTCCCTCCTGGGGCAAGCACTCCGGGAAGTCACACTGACTTCTGGAAAGGCTTTTCCAAAACCTGGAGCTTTCCAAAGTCCAGCTTTCCAAAGTCAGATGCGTCCAAAGGACGATGCATCTGAACTCAGCTGAGACAAGAGGCCACCAGGGCGAGGGAGGGAGAAGAAGGAAGCGAGGTGGGGACAGCCGCGTCGCCTTACCGCGGTGGTGGCGTTGGGCTTGGCCCCGTGCTGGAGCAGGACGTTGATGATGTGCGTGTGGCCCTGCTGGGCGGCCTGGTGCAGCGGTGTGTAGCCGTTCTGTGGGCGACAGTGGCCGCGGGCAGAGGGAGAGGAACGTCAGATTATTAGCCTGCGCTTCGAATTTCTTAGTCATATTTACAGCAAAACCGTCCCAAATGCTTTGTTTATTTGGAGCCCAAGATTCCCAGCAACCCATTTCACAGCAGCAAACACTCCCTCACACCTTATGGTCTGCCACAGGAGGGAAAGAGACCAGTTTATGAAACAGCAAGACCAGCAGGCTCCAAGTGCTATTATTATATTTCAACCAATTAGCATTTAAAACATGGGTATGCTGAAAGGAGATTTTCCATGAGAAAGGGCATTGCCACCATGACTTCTTCCCTAAGAAACAAAGAAGAGTCAAATTGCTTTTAACTGATGGCTTTGGAGAGACACACAAACCACTGCTTGTCCATCATAACTTTCCCAATAATTAACCTTTGGCTTGGCTTTAGGGACTCTAAATCAATGAAAGTAAACTACGCCTTACATTGCTTTCAGAGGAGAGCTTTGGTCAAGACAGGCACATGTACGCTTAAGAAAGTGGACGACTTCATTGGAAGCCAAGTGGCCACACTCAATAAAGAAAATATCTTTAAAAACTAGATTTTGAACATTCTGTTCTAATACTTCCATGCAGATGAAAGCTCTGCAGGCCATGGCTTGTAGGAAACTGCTGGTGAAGTTAACACAAGGCCAGTCTTGCTCAGAACTGTGGTGGGTGGTAGGTGTGATACAGGTTGGTCGCACAGTGACATTAATTTTAAAAATTGCACTTGAACTCTTGGAAGCACAACAAAAGAGTAATAGCAATCATTCGTTCAGCATTCATTTTGTACCACATACTGGACCTTAGAGTTACAGTCTCTTCATCACAATTCTGAAAATGAAGGTACTTGGTACACAGTAGGTGTTTCATAAATGATGGCTGACTCAATGAGCAATGAACAAATGATTGAATAAATAAATATTTTTCTCCTTTTTTCAGACACAATGAAACTGAAAATAACAAAGTGGAGCAATGTCTCTAGAATGATCCCAGATTTAGTTCCTGTGTAGAAGACCATGACAGCCAGTGGCTTTCAGAACTACTTTTTACAAAATGCACTGGCCCCTCCCTTGATGACATTTTGTTTATGTATTTCAGACCCACTTGTCCTGGGCTCTAAGTCTGAGTGGCCATTCGTGCCCTAAGCTTTTAGGAGTACACATGTGTAATAGCCCTTTTGTCCAATGGTCACTCTGCCTCATGCCCAAGATACAGTTTGCTTAACTTGTCCACATGGCATGTCTGTCTATACCTGTGGGTCCCACGTGATTCTTTCTATACAATCACTGCAGCCTTTCTGTCCATAGGAATGTACCCATGTGAGTGAGGTCCATCTGTCTGGGTGTCCCTAAGTCTGGCAAATCCCCAGCTCTGCCATGTCAGGATCCTTACTTCTGCTACACACCCCTGCGGTGGAACAACCCCGGAAATCTGGAAATACAAACCAATCCCAGGGACTCTGAGAAACCTACAGCTATTGGGAAGACTCCGATTCACATCATGGACATTTGAGGAACATACAGTAAGTGATGTTTCTTTTCCCACAAATTCTTCCTCTCCATTGTGTTTACAACGTCCTACCAACCGACTCTACTTCATCCCTTCCGTATCTGTCCAGTTAATTCATTCCACAAGCATTTCCTAACCACGTGCTATGTGCTACATAATTTAGCATATAAATTAATAAAATTATATAATAAATGTTAACATATATTAATATGATATAAATGATCTCTAAATAGATATAAATTAATAATGCCCAAATAACAATCCTGTCTTCCATAGATCACACTGTGGCCAGAAAAATGTCCCCTAGGCCTGACTTAACCTCACCTTTTCCTGAAATCTCTGGCGAGGGAAAATGCTTCTCAAAATCTTTTACACAAACATTGGGTTGAATCTTAATTCACTGTCCCAAGCCTATCTGGCTAGAAGGTCTAGACCCAGCTTTTCTACCAACTATTCGCAAATCCCTAAACTTCTTTAAACTCCAATTTTCTCATTTGAAAATGGGAACGCCAAGATTTCAAGTTAGGTGAAGGATCAAATCAGTTGGCTGTGAAAATGTTTTTTAGCTTTGAAAATTATAGCAAACATTTTTGGTCGTTTATTTTTCCCCCCTCTGATTGAAGAGCTCTATAATTTTTGCAGTACATTTCATAAAGAAAATTTCCTTTTTCATGCTATAGTTCTAAACCCTCTTTACAAGTTAAACATATAATTAACCACGTCTGGTTTGCCTCAAGCTGTTGTGACAGGGTTTCATTCTAATTTTAAGCAACTAATAGTTTCACAAAATAAGTTCACTTTTCCAAATCTTTTGTGCCAAGTCATGAATGTTTGAGGAGTAGAGTTAATACATATGTTTACATTTTTCAAGGCAATGAAACAATTTTTAGTAACTATGGTTACACATAAGATGTGAGAAAGAAAATGTAATTTCTTCTCTAGAGATGTCATTTCCTATGAAAAAATTCTGAAGGGTTTATTGAAAGACTGTCTTTTGAGATATGTATCTATCTACTCCTCTGAAGACACATGGTTTCAAATAGAATAGTGAAAGCTGCACAGTTCATTTAAAAAAAATAAAACTAAAATGTTAAAATGAGATTTTTCTCTGAATCACATGTTCATCTGACAGACATAACACTCCAGGGAGGTCACTGCTATTCCCTTGACAATATATAGTGTTTGGCTTCTAAATATTATAACCATTTCAACAATCAAACACTAAATGGAAAAGTATAATAAACATTTTCAAGGTCTACTGTATCTCATTGCCTCTTGCATTTGTGCATTTGAAGATAAGACCTGGATTCCAACAAGAATATCTTTCCTGGAGTGCTTATATGTGAGCTGGCTAAGCAAAAATGGTGTTAGGAGCCAATGCTTGAGAATTATTATATTAGTGCTTTTAAATAAGCGCCAAAGTACAACTTCATGAGAACTCTAGCATCAGTCAGAAACTAGGCAACTCTTGCTAGAATAAGATTGTAAATTTGAATCTCACATGTGAATAGTATTATATATAATTTAAAAAATAATTTTATGTTAAATGGGCTTATAAATACATTTATATATAGAAATGATTTTGTTTCTGCTTCCAAGAGAATATAAAAAGGGAGATTGAGTCACAAAACTTCTATATATTTTTAATTAGTCCATCTTGAGTGATGTCTTTGAAAACTCCTGAATGTACCCACACTAATTTATTAATACTTGAGCCAACTCACAGAGCTGCAATTAGAAATTCTGATATATAAACTTAAGAAAAACATGCAAATAAATATTTCTTTGAACCACAGAACCTGGAAGTGCAAATTACATTATGCATAACAGCTATAGTCATATTGCTCATTTCTCTTCCCCTTGAACCAATTTGAGTGTGCTGAAGTACTGTGTGATGTTCCCACCTTGCTTTGCGGAATAGGATACTTCAGATGTTAGTAGGAAAAACCACTGGGATCAAACCAGCTCTGCAATATTCCTGAGAACTTCCCACACAAGCTGTTGCCTCACTGAGCATGGCCCCGTGAAGTTCTCAATGTGGCAGAGTTCATTCAAAATGAAAGGCTCGCAGTCTACGCTGCCTGTGTATTTCCTCATGAGGGGACGAGGGGCTGGGGAAAAGGGACCAAGGCCCCGAAACAATGTGAAGGATCTTCCAGAACATCAAGAGGTTCTAGCAGGCATCTCTTGTATCCTGCAGTAAACTGTGAAATTGATGTCAGCTACTTTACCTTAATAATAGAAGTAGTTCTGAGGCTAACCTACATGGGCTAAGCTACATGGCTGTCCAAGGTTATTATTAGAACAAACAATCACAAAACTACATCGCCTCTTCAAAATCACTTTGGAAGAAATAAAAAGAAAAAAATAATACACTTGTAGCTCTGGTAAGGCAGTGAAGTGTCCAGATGACTGGACCTTTTTTGCTTATAGGAAATGAAAATGACCTCGAGTATTTTACCTTGGTTTTTGCGTTAACATTTGCTCCCTGCTTCAGAAGAAAGTTGACCATTTTCACGTTTCCATAGTGACAAGCCACAATTAAAGGAGTGTAACCAAGCTGTAAATAATAATAAAGAAAATTACAAATTAATAAATAAAATAGAAATTTTACTACTCTAGTGGTTCATACACTAGGGTAGAATGATCAAGTAGTTTCAGTTACCATAAGATGGGTAGAAATTCATCTTGATTGTACAAGCATTATTTAGCAAATTGTATGTATATATTCCTGGCCACAGGCAATTTAATACCAGCAAGAGAGATCAGACACGTATATAACTTAATCTGACAAAGAACTAAGAAAGGCACAAATAATATGATCTGAAAACAGCAAAAAGAGATTGACTCTGATAGGATCAGGAAGAGATACAGGAAAGATGTAGCTATAGTGGGTTAAGGAATGGGTAAGACTTTAATGGCATAAAGAGCAAGACCCATTTCCAGACCATGAGTGTGGAGGCAGGCAAGTGCAGGAAGAAAGCAGCAGGTCATCTGGACCAGCCAAAGCAACATGGGAGAGGGCAGACCCACGCCTGGGAAATTGGAGTCTTCACTTGATGGTGCTGACACCAAACCATCCATTCAGACTTGATTCCCATAGAAAATGGGGAGCCACTATAGATGTGTGAGCAGGTGGGGCTATAATTAGTTTGTACTTCAGAATGGACATTTGAATGACACAGGGTGACCCGAATTGGGGCTACTGCTTTACCTTTGTGTGAGCATCCTTGTCAGCCCCGTGCTTGGTGAGAATCTCTGCGACGTTCACTTTGTCTTCCTGGGCTGCGAGGTGTAAGGACGTGAGTCCACTCTATGGAAAGAATGGAACCAGAGGGGTACGTTTGAAGAAGAAAACACATCGCGTCATCTATAATGTCATGTCTTGAAAAGAATCCTCGAAAACTCAGAGCCTCTCTGTAGAAACTGCATCTTTTGATATCTAACATAAACACTCTTAAGTTAATGACTTCTCATCCAAGACATATGCGCCAAGTTAATCAACACTTTCAGCAAATGACATTTTCTATATTCTATATTAGGTACTTCTGCCAGGATGTTAGCCTTTAAAATAACTCAGGTGATAACCTACCAGACAACCTTCTTTTCAAACCCATTTGGGCCTCCTACTGAATCTATTTGTTTACTTAAATAATTGATTAACCAACTATTGCTTCTACTTTATATTTATAACAATAGTCTGTATTTTATCAATAAAATATCACTTCAATGTAAAAAAGATGCACAGAGTTACAGGAAATGAGTTCAGAATAGTTTTCTCTAGCACCCAAAGAAAGTATGTTTTCTCGGTCATTCCCAGTAAATGCTAAATTTTTAAAAAAGTAATCCCATCCCAGCCCTGTTCGCCATCGCTTTGCAGCCTGCTGTCCTGCATCAGCACACAGGCTCAGAGAGCTAAGCCATGTTCTTCGACATTCATGGTCTCCAGCCATGGTGTTACTTCCAGAAATCAAACAATGCATTGACTTTTAAAAAACTGTAACTGAAAGCTACAGAGAGAAAAACATTCTACATGCTTGAGAGGGGGCCTTTCGCTGGAGGGCCTGGGGCTTTTTAATACTTAAAGCTCTGTGTGAGGTCAGCTTTGAGTTTCATACAACAACAGGGCAAGATACTAGACATATGCTTCTGAATTACAATTTCACCACTTCCAAACAAATATTATTTAATCACAATGTACGAAAAATCTGAGTACTGGGACAAAACAAATGATTCTCACTCATCTTGATTTTCTCCATATCAAAATAGAAAACATAAAAATATTTCTCTTTATAGATACTGTTGGCTTGTTTAAAAATATGTCACTGAAATGATCATTAAATGAAGTGATCATCAAATCTCAAAGACATTGCAATGGAATTTCAAATGCACGTGCCCTTTTCTACACTATTTGCAGAATGGATTTTCTACAATGTAAGACTGCAAACTAACAACCAGTATGAAAATTGCTATAGTTTACTATGGTAAACTTGTATATCCAAATCAAATTATGTAAGCCTTTTTAATAAATCAAGAAAATAGAAGATGTTGAAGGAGTTCTTTTCCAAAAAAGTAATTTACTTCCTAAGATACACTGGTAAACTCAACAAATGGTTTTATTTTATGGTGATTAGCTAAGGAATGTAATATCATTTCTATATTATAGTTCTTACTGAGAAATAATCATTTGGAAAGTATGAAATTATAGATTTCAGTTGCTTTAAAAATAGAAAAAAGTATGTATTCTTTTCAAAAGCAATAGAGAAATTTATTAGTTTTGCTTCTTGAGATATTTCTACAGTTGCATTATCTTATTATATAATACGAACTGAAAGGCAAAGTTATATTTTTTATATATAGATTTATATAGTATATTATTATTCAGGTAAACCTGAACACATTTCCCAAAGTTTTACTTTGGGGACAAATACATCATGCCTTTGTCTTTAGGACACTACTCAAAGATAATATTGAAATCATTGTTATAAAGATAACATAATTACTTTGTGATTCAAAATTGAATATTTTTTTTCACTGCTGGGTGTGCAAGTCAAATATACTCATTAAATATTTGCTGACTGACTGCTAAAACTCTCGCAAAGAAAGTAATGTATTTAGAAGAATACCAAAGAAAGTAATGTATTTAGAAGAATACCATTAACAGAGGACATAGTGAAACTGATTCCAAATATGTATCTATCATTTTTATAAATTAAAAATAACCCCATCAGAAGCCTTGTAAGATCAGGTTCATAAACTGTCTAGAATTTTAATCCTACATAAAATTTTGCTGAATCTTTTTATGGATTTCTCTTGCTTACTTTCAAATGAAGATTTATTTCTTTCTAATAGGCAGTAAATATACACCGCCTTCATATACTAATATGAAATAAAATAATCTATATTTCATGACCAGAATATCCCCAATAGGACGAATGACCACCTTAATGACAGGACTTGAATAGCCAAAAGGAAGTCCATGCCTCAAACTTCAATGAGTTGAAGTCTGATCCACTGAATTTCATTATCAATCTGAAGGCTGATAACACTGAATTTCACCATAAGGCTTTATGATGTTCATTCTTGTTACAATCCACATATCTTTCTGAAGACTAACTCTACAATTAGCTCTCAACACACTTCAAAAAAGGATCTGCAAGGACTTTTAATAAAGGCTAGAGGCATGCATAAGGGACGTACTGGAACATTCTGTGTGGTGAAGAAACAGGACTCTAGCAGCATTCAAGACAATCTGCCTGTCTCCTATCTCTTCCTAAGGGATGCATGCTACACAACCTATTTCCAAATGTTATTAAGAGCAATTTATAATTTATATGTCAAAAGCACTAACTCAACCGTGAGATGTAGAAAGCACAGTATTTGCAGATTTGCAGAAAATCCTAAGAGACTTAATTTTCACTAACGCCACACAACATGTTACAAAAAGCATCAAGCGATCCAAATGACAAACTAATTTATAAATACAGCTTCCAATTTTGAGTTTCTCAGCAGCTGGCTATAGAGGAGTATATATAAGATAGAAAGATAGATAAGTAGATCTACAGATTTACATATGGATGGATAAATTGGTAGATAGAAAGGTATGTGCTTGTAAAATCTAAATATTTAATATTTGAATAACATCTTTTCCCCTTATATCCTTGACTGTCATTCTGTTCTGATTAATATGGAGGTCACACAAAGGCCATTCTGTGGAGAAAGGCTGACATGACTGAGCTGCTTTATTAAAACACTGATATTCTGACCACCAGGCCCACAACCACCCAAGCTAGCCTGAAGTTGGCTCAAAAAAAAGCTCTGTTTTACTGAGTTTCCTGCCCCCTACCCAGAGGCACCCCTGACTTGGGTGGTGGACATGGACCGCCATGGCTCTGAGGCAGTTGTTGGAGCTACACCCCAGATGGAACCACTCTCTCTCTCTTTCTCTCTCTGAAATTTGGAATTAGGACCAGAAGACACTAGAGCAATCTGGTCTAACTGCTTGAATTACAGTGACGTTAGCTCTTTGGAGCCAGAGGGTAGCGTCTTCGGTCAACGCACAGAGAAGCAGAAAAGGCAGACCTACAGGGAGAGATGAATGAAGCTGGCTTGGGGAGAAAAGGCAAGACGCAAAGATGTAGTCATATGAGCAAAGAGTCTGTGAGACAGTCTCTCTTGCTCCCTCATAGGCTTCTAGTCCTGTCGTTGGACTCTAACATATCCCTGTTTCCTTCTAACGCGCCTCTCTTTTTTTATTGCAAGTTATCTCTGATTGGTTTCTGTTGACATTCATCCAAAAGACTCTTTTTTTTTAGAGACAGAGTCTCGCTCTGTCACCCGGGCTAGAGTGCCATACCATCAGCCTAGCTCACAGCAGCCTTAAACTCCTGGGCTCAAGCGATCCTGCTGCCTCAGCCTCCCGAGTAGCTGGGACTACAGGCATGCGCCACCATGCCCAGCTAACTTTTTTCTATATATTTTTAGTTGGCCGATTAATTTCTTTCTATTTTTTTAGTAGAGATGGGTCTCGCTCTTGCTCAGGCTGGTTCTGAACTCCTGACCTTAAGTGATCCTCCCGCCTTGGCCTCCCAGAGTGCTAGGATTACAGGCATGAGCCACTGCACCCGGCCCAAAAGACTCTTAATGGAAGCAAGAGGTAAGAACAGGATACCTTGGTTGACATATGGATATTGGCTCCCTTTTCCAGAAGCAAAGTGACCATATCTGTGTGGCCCTCCTGCGAGGCCAAGTGGAGTGGAGTCACTCCTTGCTTAGTCACGATGTTAGTCTCTGCTCCGTAGTTTAGGAGTGTGGAAGCTATCTGCATTTGGTTCTTCTTGGCAGCAATATGTAAAGGAGTATAGCCATTCTAAAACAAAAAAAAAAAGCACACATGCACATACATACATTAACATATAACATATAGTAACCTTACCAATTGCTCTAATATGTATTTCAAGGAAATTAGAATCTCTAATTAACAGAAAAGTTAAAAGTGAGCTCACAAGTAATCTAAACTCTTACCCATCACAAGTTTCTATCCAACAGTACTCAAATTGGTTATTTGATATACCCAATAACCAAAGTCACAAGACACCCAATTCTACCATAAGACAAATATAGACACCAAAGCCCCAAAGCTGAAAAGCCCCTCCTTTATGATTTAGGTTCTCTTCTGACCAATGACATGGAATAAATAAGCCAGGCTCCTCTTCTACATGATTGTCCTTTAAATACCGGGGGGCGGTTTTCCTATCTGCCATCGGTCTTCTCCTTTGCAGGCTAGAATTCGCTACCCCTCCAACTTTGCTTGCTAAAAGCACCGCGTCTAGATCCTTCTCCATAAGGATGACCTGTTTTGAACTGATTTCTAGTTTGTTAATATTGCTCTGGAATTGGGCTCCTGGAACAGAATGTTGTATCTCGGATTTGGTTTTAGTAGTACAGAAAGAAAAGGAATTATTTCTGTGATCTTGTTACAATACGCTTACTACTATGTTTCTCCTTGGATTGTAATTTTAACTCATGCAACAAATATTACTGAGTCTCTAGCACGTGCCAGGCAGTGCACTAGGTGCAGGAATACAGAGGTGAACATGACACCAGCCCTGTCGTGAAGGGGTTGCTTTCTAATAGCAACAGAATGATGGCTCATATTAACCCTGTGGTCTATTCAAACACTGGACTTTTCTCTTCTCTCTACAATCTGCTGCCTCAAAAACAGAAACATGAGGCTATGAGTTTTACGTGGGAGTTGCAGAGTGGACCAGGTTAATGTATACTTTGCTCACAAGGGACAAACTCTAAACCCCATACTTACTTAAAATAAAAAAATAAAACAAAAGCAAACAAACAAACAAAATCTGGGGAACCTGTGTATGTCTGGACTATGCATTGTTTTCTTTCCTTTTCTTTATCCAATCTGGTAGAATTTTCCATTAAAAAAATGTGTGATAGAAATTAAAAACAGCGGCTTTGTCATTTTCTGTGACATGCGGAAGGGAAAGACAGTGTCATGAGCAAGGGCTTCTTGTGAGACTACCATAAGAGGTATCTTGAGGTCATGCTATTTCCTTACATCTATCCGTAAAGTGTACCAAAAAATGAAAAGCAGTTTTGAGAAGTTAAATGTCTTTCTGTGCCATCATCACATCTTAATCCTCAAATGACCCTATAGTATCTACTCTATCCCTGTTTCTCCAAGCAAAAATAAGTATGTTTCAGTTTTTGACAAATAATACTACTCTTTAAGCAGCTGAAGGAAATGCAGCAGCTCTCCTGGGAAGCCTTTGCATGGTCTAATCATAGCCCCCAGCTGCTCCAGTTGCTTTAGAATATCATACATGGGTCTATGGGCTCTTTTGAATAAAAGGGTGCACAGAGTGGACCATATATCTTTAGGCGGTTCCTTTTTGCTATAATGTGTTTCTTTAGTCCCAACTCCCTCCATTGCTAGGGCATAGGCTCTACCAAGGTTAGATGAGGTATCAGGGCATTTGTTAGTGAAACTTACGTGGAGAGAGACAGGGATTTTAGCAAAACAACACAAGAGACATGAAAGAGGGTCAACTTTGGCAATGGAAGAGGTCTGTGTGGTAGATACTCAATCTGCAACTACCCTACACAGAACAAACATTTTTGGAATCCAATGACTGAAGCAATACCAGTGAAAACTAAGAGAAGATTCTGGACTTTGTTAGGAAGAATTAAAGAAGTTCCAGGGGCCAAAGGACTATGTGTGTTGGGAGGAGGGGAAATTGCAGTGAACAGAAAAAGAGTTGAAAGTGGAGATGGAAGTAGAAAGCTGGAAGCTTCTTGGAGTGGCCCCAGAGCTGGGGATTCGGCTTTTTAACATGATGGGGCAGATGAGTGGAAAGTACTAGAAGACCCTACCAAGAACAGCAGCCCTCCTGTGGGCTCCGGGGCACAGCATGGCTTTGCTTTAGCTTCTGGACTCAGTCAGTATGTGCTTCCGAGTAAGGACAAGGACCATGCACAGTAGAGGCCAGAGATTAAGGCTACATTTGTCTCTTTAGGAAAATCATACACATTACTTTATAATCTAGGTCACCTCTTGCAAGTAGATTGAGAGTCCCTTGTGGGAGCAGAACATACATTTTACTATTTTACCTCCCACCAAGTGTCTACAATCCTTTGTTTGTGTTTAGTAAGAGTATTGTATTGAGTAAGAGTAACGATGAGTTCTGATGAAGCCTTTCTTATCTATGTTGAGAATAGGCAACCTGGGAAGCTAATGAAAAAAAAGGCTGGCATGTTAAGTGAGCAGGGATTTTTTAATTCCACTGAAATAGCTGCTCAGTCTTCATTCTTTCATCCAAATTTATCCAGAACCCACATAATACCATATTAGACATCTCAGGGATATGCAAGTGCATATGGCATTAACACTGCCCTCAAGTAGCTTATAATCTAGTGTGAAGAAAGACATAAAATAAAAGTGGAACTGGTAAGATTACAGAGAAAAAGAGCATAAAGGAGTAAGAACACTGTATAATTATAAAAATGTTATAATTATAAAAAATTTTAACCCTCTTTTGACAGTTCAAAAACTTTACTGTAAGCTATTTATTGGCATCAAAAGATATAAATATATGTAGATGTATGTGTACAGTTATGTATTTATAATATTTTATTATGCATAAAATAGATGGTAGTATATGGAACATATTTTATATATAGTATTCCATTTATTACATAGGTATAATATGTATAATTTAAATTGACATGTGAGAATACACGTACATATTTACATAATGGAAGTAGTATAAATCTTTCTCTATTGCTCTGAGACACAACATGCCCAGTGGCTAAGAGTGCCAGCTCTAAAGTCAGTCTGCCTGAGGTCAAATACAGGTACCGGCTGTAATACTTATTAGTCATGTGACTATGGACAAATTAACTTATTTAAATCTCACTTTCTTATCTGCAAAATGGAGATTGTTGTAACACCAATCTCACAAGATTATGATGAGATTAAATGAGATATTGCATGCAAAGTGGTAGGCCAAGTTTTGGCACATGAATGGTGGTCATTGCTTTATTATGTCATCTAACATAGCATAAATATTTTCTCACCACAAATATTTTTTAAATAAACCCTAAATATTCTTAAAATATACTTGCTGAATTAATAAATGGAGGATGCAATGAGGACTTTTTGTATTATGCAACATTCACGTATATTTTTAGTGTAATAAAGGGGCAACTCAAATAGTGGGAAATGCCTTGTGCATAGATAGGTACAAGTCTTGGAGCTGTTCCGGAAGTTGGTGCTAAACACATATCAAAAAGGCATTCCCCCTTGTCTAGGGGCTTAAGTGGATCCACGCTAGTGTTAACACAGGTGAAAGATTTAAAAGACAAAAAGAAAAACAAAATTTTGAAGTCTCTGAAAGAATGAGAGTATAAAGGGATATATTATAGCATAATATTCTGTTAACAGGAGAAAAGGAAACACCTGCTAATGTCTTTATTATGCCTCATGTCTCAAAACTCAGACTTCGGTCTCTAAAATACTGAATCTAGGCAGCAAGATTCATGTCTACTGGCTTATGGGCCCATCCCCTTGCTATTTGTTGGCTGCAAAAATCTTAAAAGGTTTTGTAGAAGCAACTGGTAGAAATAGAAGGAAAAAAAAAAAAGGTGTCAGTACCAAAAGCTACTATTGCTAGGACTTGTTGTAGTTATGCTAAACCGTATGCTTAAAAAACAGTTCCCACGTGCTTTCAGATTATAGTTGGCACCCTGTGCCCTGGAACCCTTCTCTGTCCTCACCTTGGCAGTGGCATGGGGGGAAGCACCCTTCTCCAGCAACAGCAGCGCCACCTTCTGGTTGTCATAGTGAGCAGCGACATGGAGCGGGGTAAGGCCGTTCTGCAAAGGGCGCGTTCGTAAGTTTCAGCATTAATAAATTAGCGTTAGCTGCCCTGACGCTACGAGGATGCATGGGGACCGGCATCGATTAAGCCCACGTTAATTCATTAATATAGTCAATAGGAAAAAAAAAAAAAGAATCAAAATAAACAAATAGCTGATCATTTTTAATAACTTTCATATTAAAACCATAACTAAAATGGAAAACGGTTGAGCTTGCAATTAGCAAAAGGACATCTTGAGGGTCACAATCGTCTCAAATGCTATGTAAGAAATGCTGCATTGATGCGAGACAGATATGTTTGCAGATCCCCAGATCTCTCAGCTGGACTAAGTTATGTAATGAAAGCATGTCGTTGGAAATCCTTACCTTCCCCGCGGAGTCCGCGGCAGCACGGCGTTGCAGGAGAAGTTTTGCCACATCCAGGCTTCCATACTTGGCCGCGACGTGCAGGGGAGTGAAGCCCTTCTGCAAACGCGCAGGACAGAAGTGACATTGAGTATTTCTTTCTGTGGCTCCTAACAAGATCGTTCTTATTTGTTGACATATTAAGCGAATTATGCTAATTCTCCATTTGCAAAAAAAATACCAGTAGCATTCAATCTGTTTTACCATTAAGAAGTTTGGCATGATAAACTGAATAAAAGAAACTTTCTTTTAAGGGCGTGGAGACTGAAATCTGACTTTAAAGGTCTGAGATTTTTAGAAGTCACTACTGGTCAGTAAAGTGGCTCCAATTTGTGAATGGAAAAAAAAAAGGCTGACTTTTTATTGCCCCTAAAATGAATAGGATTGAGACAGCAGCTGCCTTCTCTCCGACCCTCCTTCTCTTTCTTTCAATCCTTTTTTATAACACCTGAATACCCAATTCCTTTAAATGTTAAAATGTTTTGATAGTTGTGGTAAAAAAAAAATTATCTGTGATTTAGTTGACTTATATTTTCTGCAAAAATGGCAAGACAAATGGTCTGCAGAACAACAACAACAAAAGCTATTAAAAAGCCACTCTCATTCTGACTGTTGTTCCTCTTCCCAGAAGATTCACACTGTGTAAAAGACCAATTCCTTTTGTAAAATACATTCCACTTCTGGCTTGATGTTGGGTTAATTAACAGCAGACTTTTTTAAACATAGGGAAGCTTGAAAACTGTTTCTAAAAGACTGCTCTCCTACACATGTTTACCAGGGCTGTCCAGAAAGTATGTAGCCATTGTATCCATGTAGCCACGCTTCCGGACAGCCCCTGTATATGTACACATTCAGTGTCTTGTGTGTCTAACCAATGGCCACACTCTGTGGCCATGTGTTATAAATACAGATACGTCTCTGGACTAAGATCTCGAGGATGGCTCAGTTCCTACACCATGATGTCAAATCCACCCTTTTGGCTGGACAGTTTAACCACATGCTTTTCTGGCACGACAGTGGGAGTGGGGGAATTCTAACACTGAGCAGAGCATGTGAAATCCACACAGCCAATACCCCGGGATTAGGGGGTCACAGATATGCCTTATTCTTGGACCACTTAGGCCCTCACCATAAACACAGAATGTCCCCCGGGAAGCAATCTTGCCCTTTCCTAGTGCCACCAGACAAATTATTTTTAACTATGATGATGTTTTTCTTTCTGCTTCTCTTTTGAACATTTGGTACTAATAAATTCTTGAAAGTGAGTGACTCTTCTGGCTTTTTCCAAGTGAGGGACAAATCTAGGAAGTATTTTTTCCTTCTCACATTAGTGCACATAAACCAGCATTTGCTGGTAAAACTCTCTTCCCTTCACTCCATGCACACGATGATCGTGGTGACACTCCAGTGAAGCAGAGTTTTTTGAGACAAACCACATGGTGAGGAAGGAATAAAAAATAAACTCCTTATCCTTAAATTCCTGCTGGAATAGAGATCCAACTACTTTACAAATTTGGAAACTCTTATTAGACAAAATTACATAGAATCCTTACTATAGAATCACAAAATCAAGATTAGAAAGCATCTCCTGAGTCATGTATCTATCTCCCTTCTTCCTCTATGTTAATCTCACCAGGATTTCAGTCACCCTCTGATATTTATAAACACTTAAATGGCATTAATGATAATGAATCAACTCCCGTTCATCCCTAGTCAGCTGCCTTGTCAAACTGTTCTGTTTAGTAAGTTCTATTTTATTACCCTAATTTACTAAGGATTTAGATACATTTTTAAAATCCTAAAAAAGTCTTTGAAAGACAAGGAACTGTGTTTTATTCTCTATTTCTATATTTTACATATCTTAATTTTATTTATTTGATTATTTAACACAATCACCAAGTCTCTCTTGGGTTATTATTACTATTAAATGTTTGTTGCGTAGTTTGGTTTTTTTTTTCCTAAGAGATTTTAAAATCCTTTCAACTTTTCAGATTTCAGAAATTGAATAATTATCAATTTCTTATATCAAAATATTTTGTGTAGCTACAAGCAACCAGATAAACCATAATGGGCTTCTAAGAGGATAGATGCCACATCACTGCTTTAGTTCACAGTTATAAACTTCCTTCTCCCTGGATGCAGTACAAATGCCTATTCATTATGAACAAATTAAAATGGTCTTTTTATTAATGTGAATCACTGTTACATTTCTGGGAATTATTTTGCCCTGTAAATTCACTTGTTCTAGACTTTCAATTGTCTCATTTTTCTGCTCTTCTATACTAGCTCAATTTATTTTGTTCTTAATAAGGTGAGTGTGTTTATTTTATTCTAAGTCATTTTCACATAGTAAATTTCAAATAGAATGTATAAAGTGGATGAAAAATATTCTGCCCTCTCATTGCAACTTTGAACATAAGTAAAATTCAGGCTGGTGTACATTTTTTGTTCGATGTCACTAACGACTAATAAGGTGTGATTCTCCAGCCCAGCTCTGTTTAGATACTGTAAATACCCAGGCACAAGTGTAGTTGATGGAGACTGAAGATTAGAATGGGAATGAGAATGCCAAAAAGGTGATGGCTAATAATAGGGTTGGAAACAATGCACGGTTAGGTGAGCTTCAACTCACAGAAAACACAACACTGCTAATCTAATGCAATATTCTCTTCCTCATTAGTAATACCAGTTCAATGTATTTGGGAATCTTTTTTTTTATTCTCTTGAGAATACATTATAGATTTTAAGATGGAAAGGGAAGAAAAAGTTGCCCTCGCTTTCTGGAAATCATCTTAGTTAAAGTACTAGATACCTGTACTAGAATCAACACTGGCATTAATTAGAATGGAACTCGACTCTTTACTGAAGATGTTATATGCAATCTCACAATCCCCTATGATCATTCAGATAGTGAATCTGAAATATTCAGAGGAAGAAGTAAGTTAGAGGCCTCAGGGAGATCTACCTCTTGATACTACGTGCAGGAGAGCAGAGGTTCCCGACTTAGGGATCCTCCCTGTCCGGGTTGTCGTGATGCCATTCTCCTTACCTTGGTCGCTAAGGAGTGGGCGGCTCCTGCTTCCAAGAGGACTGACGCCACGTCTACCTGGCCTTCCCGGGCAGAGATGTGGAGTGGCGTGTACCCATTGGTCGTGGCTGCATCCGGATGAGCCATATGTTGTAAAAGCAGCTGGACAATTTCTGTCTTACCCAGGCGGGAGGCAATATGCAAAGGTGTCTGTTCCTCCTACAACTCAAGTCAAGTGGAAAGTTAGTGCCAGGCAGACCAAACGTCACTGCTAATTTCATGTTTCGCTCAGATGTTTCATAATGTCTTCTTGGAATCTCTAGGAACCCCCATCCAAAAGGAAATCACTGCTACTTTGACCATGCCTTCTTTTATATTTTGCTATAGAGGTATCCTGTTTAGTTACAAAAATCTCCCTTAGATTTTTAAAAATGTTTTACTTCTATGAACTTGGTCATTGTTATCTGGGTACCCCAAAATATTTTTCAACTTATTAACGCTTCAGTCCTCACTTAAGTTTAAATATAAACCAACTCATGGTTTTGAAGAAGAAAGAAACCTAGTCCAAAAGTCCTAAGACCTAGATTCTCATCCAAGAGTTTCCACTTAGAGACAGGATTTATTCTGGGAACTGTATCAAGAGAAAAAGAAACAAGGATGCTAGAAAATCTTTGTTCTCACTCCATTCAGCAAGCCAAGGATACAAGTGCTGGTCATTTTCTTCAAGGGGAAACTGGATAAAGAAGATATTGTAATCTTGTTTAAAAAGATATTTGTTTTTCAGTAAACATTGCAGATGGGTCTAGAACTTGCATCCAGGACTTCAAAGATGAAGTGGGACTCTGGCAAGAAGCAAATATGGTGAACTATTTGCCAAGTGTTTTTCATTTTAAAACAGGGGATGTAGCTGGGTTTAAGGGACAGGAAGGACAAGTTTGAGGAGGCTCAAGACATCACCTGACTCTAATGTGTGGTCAGGAATAATGTTTTCAGTGTTAAGAGAACCAGGCCAAACCACTGTCTGTTGTAAAAAGAAAGTTGAGTGTAACCCTAGTGATGAAAAGAGGGATATCTTTACAATCTGCCCAAGGGCATGGCGTAACAAAAGTGAGGAAGGAAAAGCTGGGCTAGCTTCTAGGGCCAGGAATGAATGGAGAAAAGATATATTAGAGCAGGGAAGATTTGTCTGAAAAAAATGCAGTCTCTTAAATTCAAAACAAAGAAAAAAAAGAGGGAGCTATAGGAAGAGATGAAATAATATCACATGAATTTTAAGGTGGTGAGAAGTAAATAATAAATTATAGTAATACAATGATTTTAGTAATAGTATTGGAATTTTATGAAAATTTGCAGTTTATAACCTTTCTTCATGTATGATGCATACATGACCCAATTTTTAATACTAGAACTGCAATGAAGGCATAAAATATATTATTATTAGACCATTTTCCAGATAAAGGAAGTAAAAGGAATCCAGTGAGTCCCAAGGATTGTTCAAGGTCAGTTAACCATTAAAACAGAACTACCGTGTTTCCCCGAAAATAAGACTTACCCATAAAATAAGCCCTACCAGGATTTCTAAGCATTTGTGCAATATAAGCCCTACCCCAAAAATAAGGCCTAGTGATGGGCGTGGCTACGCAGTGCATCTGCACAACCCGTGCATTTCATCTTGGAGCGGTAAAGAAAACGAGCAGCCCTTCTCCTCTGCCCCATGAGAGCTCTATTGCTTGACATGAGAGATTGGGGCCAATGGTTCTAAAGGAAATAGAGTCAAAAGAAATTCAGGATGGAATTCGGGGTTTGGAGAGTTATGATGATGTTCCAGAAGAAGACGACTTAACTATATTTGAATCAATGTAGATTGTTGTACCATACTTAAAAAAAAAAAAATAGCACATCCCCTGAAAATAAGCCCCAGGGTGTCTTCTTGAGGAAAAATAAATATAAGACCCTGTCTTACTTTTGGGGAAACACAGTATTCAGGCATTGGATTCTAAAGACAACATTTCTTTGCCTACACATCCTATAGAAATAGACAAAGTAAGACAGCCACTAAGAAAACTAACAGGACGAGGTGACTCTCAATAGGAAAGGAGATTGACAACACATTAGAAGATCCATCTTTCTCTGAAATACATGTGACAAAATAGAGGAATGAAGAGAATGAGCAGTTACAAAAATAAATGGTTAGCAAAACAAACGACAACAATAAGAAAGAAAACCCAAGGAACTTGAGAATAGCTATGGTATACATCTGTCATTTCTGAGTTCCCTTCTCAGTCCTCCACTCTGCAGAATCTTGACAGAGGTGGGTACTGAAGTGACACACTCTAAAATGTGTTTTTCGATGAGTAAGGGGGAGAATTGGAGCTATCATGACCCTTTAATCCAGGGGTCCTCAAACTTTTTAAACAGGGGGCCAGTTCACTGTCCCTCAGACCGTTGGAGGGCAGTTGGAGAGTATGGGGGACATTCCACACATGCGCACTGTGGGCCCGTGACAAGTCGGCTGCTAAGCAGAACAGGCAGCGGCAAAAACACCTGGTGGGTGGGATAAATGTCCTTGGTGGGCCAGCGGGCCATAGTTTGAGGACACCTGCTCTAATCCATAGCTGAGAAGTGGCAATCCTTTGATTGGTGGTGGCTGTGTAACTGATCAAATTATCAACTATTGTTTCTTGGTTCTCAGACCACGTAGCATTAATGTACTTTTTTTTTATGTTAAGAGGATGTCTTGCTCACTTTAAAAAAAATATTTGGTACAGTCATATCTGAAAGTGGAGAAAGAAAGAACATACAAATTTTGCTAAGAAAATCTTTCAACCTGTAACCAGGGATATAAGACCTTTTGACGTCTGGGCAATTATATCCCTGTTGAATTGCAAAGTTGAATTTACTGCCCCAAGCTAATGTTACTTCAAGCCAAGGTGAAGAGTTGAGGAAATGCCGAAGATAAAGATTTGTGGGAATTGTGCTTCAGGTGATACAAAGGCAATAGATGTAACCCAAACATAATATTATATCCCGGTAATATTTTGAAATTAAAAAAAAAATCCTTTAAATAAATATCCCGGTAATATTTTGAAATTAAAAAAAAATCCTTTAAATGGAAAAAGATTCATGGGAAGAGGTAAAAACATTGGGGAGCCTGATCCCCTGGACTTCTACCGGTTATGAGAGGCAGTAAGTCACCCACCATCGAGCTCCACTGGACGAGCTCTGCTTCCCTACTGCAGCCCACTGCTTTATTTTGCTCCAAGGCAACCAAAATTAGGGAACTTTGCTGAGCCCCAACTCCTTTTACAAGGAGACAGACATAATGGTGGTTGGGGCAAGGTTCAAAAACTCGATATATTTCTGCTATTAGTTCCTAGCTAACACGGTTCCCAGGAGCTAACTCTACTGGCAGTGAACTAAAGTTGTGAGTTAAACTGCAAGTGAGTTTAAGCGTAGGGACCCTGTGATTGCACAATCCCTAGAGCAAATAAATGCCAACCCCCATAATTGTGCCAATAGAATAAGTTTAAAGCAAGAGAGCTCCCAGATGGGCAGGCCTTGGTGGCCCTCCCACTTATGTCCACTGAGGACACTGGACAAGAAAGGACCTTCCTGGGGCAAACACATGGGCTGACCAAGGAACTTAGGCTACGTCTGATGATCTGGACTGATGACTAGCGTAGGCTGCTTGCACTTTTTAAATTAGAGATATTATTGTGATTATATGGTTTTTCTTTTGTTATGTATTGGGAGTAGGCAAAAATATGACGTAGCCCTATGGTTATATAACTATGAAATATTATTTCTAAACCCAATTTAGGAGATCTTGGAGTATTCAAGAGATCTTGACCTTGGAGCTCCATGTAGTAACTGATGAGCATAATTTTTTACTATTTTCCCTTTAGGAAAGGGTAAATTCTAGAGCGGTGGTATTAGGTTTAGAGAGGATGTTTTCAAAAGTGTGCTTGTGTGTGAGCTGGGAAACCAAGAGGTAAAACAGAGCAGACCGATGTGTCCATCTTTCTGCCCACTGTCCCCTATACTTTTCTTCTGGAAACAGCCCTCCTTCTTTTGAGGTAAGTGGACATCCCATACTCCATGTGGCTCTGGAAGGGCTACCAATCATCTTACCCCATCTCATAAATGGGCTGCATGAATGGACATGAGCTCAGGCTTGATCCTATATCCTGGTCATAGTCATCATCAGCTCAGGGAGGGATGTGACTAATTAGAAACCAGTGGTTTCCTTGGATAGGAGAGAAAAAGGATTTCTTTGCATTTGAAATGAGAAGTGATGATGTCAGCAGAAAGTGTTAGGAGAAAGGTACAGAGGAGAAGGTACAGAGGACAAATCCTTGCTTATCCTAACTCTGTGCAAATCAGCACAATCTTGAATTTTAGGAGCATTTAATTCATAAATTAAATGCTTTATGAATGATAAAGCACTGTACAAAGGTTAACGAAATCAAAGAGTTCCAGGGAAACATTAAAGGATTAAATGAAAATCAAAAACTCATGGTGAAAGGCAAACTGTAGCTCCTCACAACTCAAAGTATAATCCCAGGTTCACAAGCGCTGACATCACCTGTGAGTTTGTTAGACATGCAGAACTGAGGGACAATATGCATTTTAACAGGGTCCCAGGTAATTTTCATGCATTTTGACCTCTGGAGAGCATGGCTTCATAAGACTATGGTATTAATATTTTTCCTGTTCACCATAGGAGGATGCTATTGGGAAGGAATTTCAGTTGCATCTTAGAATAGGTGGTAGAGCGGAAAAGAAACAATAAACGAAAGGTAACATGAAATTTGCTCTTTAAATTAGGAGGAATAAAGAATTAAGAGCTACTCGTTCATATATAGAGACCACAATACTAAATGTAGTTGCAAATGAGAAGTAAAATGGTAGAACTGATGGAATCTATGTATTAAATAAATAAATAAGTGTCATAATATTTCAAAGGAAAGAGTCTGTAACTAGCGGGGTCTTCAGGGAAGGGGCTTCAGAGGGTATGGAAAATGGTGTGAGGCTATAACAAAAGGTTACATCAATATAGAAAATTTGGTAGAAATACATAAAAATGCGTACATTTCCAATAAAGTAGAAAAAATTGAAATTTGAATAATAGAAAAACATTAAAGTGTTTTATTTTAAGCTAGAGAAATGGAAAACTTTTATTATTAAATATCAATTGCAAGAAATCAACAGGACATCAACACAATTTCTGTTAAAAAATAATGAAGTATATGATACTCAAGAGTGCATTGGTTGACCTCAGAAATATTTTTAACATAGCCGAAAGCCAGGTAATCTTAAAAGAAAACAAGAGCTATGTCATGGCAGGGGAAGAATACAGTTGAATAACAAAAGCTCTAAACATATAAGAACATAACATTCAAATGATGATTAACAAAGAACATAAATTATGTGTACAATAGATAGAAAGACAGATTTAAAACTAAAACAACAAGAGTAGGGTCAAAGCTTCCAGTTTATCACTGGATTCTGCATGAAGATCTGTGGAACCCATTACCCAAAACATGCCTATGAAATTCATTGAGTCAGCAAATGTTAAGAATGTCTGGAAAGCAGAAAATAATTTAAATAGTTCATGAGAATCCCAATGATGCTAGGGTGAAAGTTGATGGAACAAAGTGGAAAAGGAAATAGAAAATACAGTACATTAATAGAAATCACTGATATATTCAGTGTAAAGGAAGATGAAAAAAGAAACTGGGAAGTGAAATTAAAAAAAGAAGAAGAAGAAGAAGGAAAAATCAACCTGTGAAGGAATTAGAAGTGATTAGAAACAGGAAAAGTCTGGTCAAGCAATCTTCAGTGCCCCAATTCTATTTTGGAACAGTGGAAATGCAGAATGTCTAAATATGTAAAATCAGAATAAGAAGAAAAGCAGACATCATTATAAAAAGGAAGGACGTGAAACAGATGAAGGGAAAACATCATAACTTTGAGTATAATTTGCTTTTAAGTAACCAGTAAGGAACGACTGGAACTGTGATTGGTTTTGGTGGCAAGAAATAAATTATAATATGCATAAAAGTATCTACATAATATAGGTTAAATTTAAAAATTCATGAACATAAAGATATGTGAACATGCTTTTACTAGGTAAAAAAATATTAAAATGTTAGTCAATGTCATCTTTCTTCAATGCTAAAAATTGCACGTTTTCAAATGTTAATGTTTCTGAAGGTGGGGTGCATTTTTTGTTGTGCATTATTTGCTTATATAGTGTTTTGGTTTTTTTGGCCAAAAGACTGTTATTGGATTGATGCTTTCACTTATAGTGCATGGCACTTTCAAAGCAAGGGACTGAAGACTAATACCCCCTTTTGTAGCTGGGACTTGCCCTGTGGTAGACAACCCCGGGGCACCGGCACCTACCCTGGCTCTGGCATCCACAAGGGCACCGTTTCTCAGGAGGCACCGGACCACTTCCACCTGCCCCGCTCGTGCTGCCATGTGCAGGGCCGTCTCCCCACGCTGCCGGGAAACAGAGATCGTCCAATCATAAATAAACCCACTGCTCTGGGTGGTAAAGTACAAAGTTGTCCCTTTTGTGAAATTCAGCAATATATCCAAGGTTTTAAGAAATCTATTAAAAAACGTCATTATTTAGTCTGGAAAAATATAGTTTTGTATCTTCTCCAACTTTACAAGGATCAACAAAGGTTTATTTATTTTTTTTCAGTCCAGAACAAACTTGTCGATTTACCCCAAACATTCCAGGATATCCTGAGGTTTAACTTCACGATCAACCTAGCATAGGTAAGTCAGTTTTGGTGATAAAGTTATCTTTTACCTTACAAGCTAACAACCTGTCATTGTCGTACTTAACTATGTTGTCACAACTTGACCCCGTTTTACTGAGAAACTGTAGGTGCTGAAGATCAAGTGAGTGCATTGCAAAAAAATCGCATCACTTGTACATAAATCATTTCTTTTCAAAATGCAAAACTTATATCTGAATTAAATTATTATTTTACACCTGATGCATCTTTGTAGGCGATGACGATTCGTACAAGAAATTTGATTTGCCCAGGAGGTCCTCTATTTAAGGTTAATCAGCAGATTTAATTACAGACAGTTATTTGAGAGACGAGAAAAGTCATTGTCAATAGTGTCTTCGTTCAAGGCAGGCTGCCCTGGGCATCCCATCATTCCTCAAGTAGCTTTGTTCCCCACCAGGTATGACATACTGATCAGAAAATAGTGGCTGAAGGTTCAGCATGAAGGATTAAGATAGATTAAGAGAATTTTCTCATCGAGAAGCTGGTTATTACTCTACTCCAAGAGAGAGGTTTTTAAAAATCAGTGTAATTTAAAACCATATGTATAATAGTTCTAAAGAGGCCAGGGTTTCATTCATTCAAATAATTTTACAGCTATAATAGGACTAGATATTGGAGTAAAAATGATTACAGATTGATTGACCACAACTATTCTAGAAAATAAAGCTGATTTCAACCAAGTAAAGCAAACCATTCCAAATAAACTAAATTGATTTTAAAGTCAGTTGTGGTCATTGGATATTTCTAACAAACTCCAGTGAATCATTTCTTCTGATTCCTTGCACAACAAACCCTTAAATCTAGAAACTGTAAGGTGAACTTTAATTTGGTACATAGCTCACAGTTCATTTTCCCCAGTATTTAGAGATTCGTTCCTTTTGAAGTTAAGAGAAATTCATGTCAAATGATTTGATTGTGAAAACAGCAAATTGGATGTCTAACCTAATTCGGTCTTCTTTGCTGATGACTCATTTATCCTCTAATGGCCTTATTTTGCGATGACAAAATTTTGGCTTTTGTCAAGTAAATGTATCTGGAGTATGTTGTTTTACAAAATGACATATTATTGGACTAGCAATATTTGTCTTCAGACTTCAGATGTATGGTTGGAGTTTTCTTCTTTAGGCAACCAGGGTTTCTGTTAATAACTTGTTTTCTGTATCATTTAAAACCTATCTCTAAATAGGTGAGGCTAAGATCTTCTAACTAAAATCATCCTCTGGATTGGTGGGGGTTGGTTCCAGGCCCGCTCCTTGCCAATTCCAAAATCTGAGGGTGCTCAAATGCTGTATATAAAACAGTGTCGCATTTACATATAACCTATGAACTTCTTCCTGTACACTTTAAATCATCTCTAGATTACTTATAGCACCTACTACTATGTAAATGCTATGTAAATAGTTGTTATATTATATTTTTTTAATTTGCATTTTTTAATTGTTATATTATTATTATTATGTTTTTTATATCTTCAATCTGAGGTTAGTTAGGTCCACAAATACAGAACCCGTGGATACAAAGGACAAAGGCTAGCAATTTTACTAATTTTGGTAGAAATGAAGGCAAGAATAAATTTCCTTATAAGAAATTAAGTCAAAGAAGTACCAGGAACTCCTACTTCATGATAAATTTACATATTTATTTTATAAGCTAAGCTTTATCAATAAGGGGTTTTCAAAATCTAAAAATGTTTCCAATACTAGTCAATATTTCTAAAACCCTTATTTTATACTTAAGCTATTTTTATATTTTTAAACATTTGAAATAAAACTTCAACTATTAAAGTTTTTAGTTGAAGAAAAGTTATATATATATACATACCCACTGTATGTGGGTACAAATCTAAAAATGTTTCCAATACTAGTCAATATTTCTAAAACCCTTATTTTATACTTAAGCTATTTTTATATTTTTAAACATTTGAAATAAAACTTCAACTATTAAAGTTTTTAGTTGAAGAAAAGATATATATATATACATACCCACTGTTTCTCCACTTTTTAACAATGATCGTGTTTAATTCTTATTTAATGACTCCAAGGTAACAAACTTTTATTTGTTTAAATTGCCCTTACCCTTTTATATTTCTATTACCATTGATTATACATAAGTATAAATAAGAAAATGAAGGATAGTGTGTATTGTTGTAATTAATAACTTCCATTTCTTGATGGTTGGGCAACCCATCTTATTCAATAGCTTTGTTTTCTTTATAATAAACTAATGGAATTTAAGGATTGGGGAAAAATCTTAAGCATAATATAAAGTTTGAACTTTACCACGAATCCATTGGTTTGTTATAGAAAGTTGAGAATACTGTAGTATCCTGCATTCTACTCTCAACAGTCCTAAAAGTGCTTGGTTTTCTGCTTGCATGGTTGTCAATGAATACTTTGGATTTTAGTCGCATTGTAACTGGCAGTTCAGCATTCTGGGGTTCAAAGTGCATTTATAAGCCTTCTGCAAAAAGGAGCTTTTGAGTACAGCTTATCTGTACATGACTGAGTTATTGGGACACCTCACACTTTGAGCGAATCTTCAGACAAAAACAAGACTGGCAAGAGGATGAGTATGCTCATGTCCAAAGCAGGTACTAAATAAATTTCATGCCACTCCTCTCAGTTGTTCAAACTGGCTCTGCTGACAGCTACATCGACTTCCACTGTGGCTGCACCAGATTGGAAAGCATCAAAGCAGGACAAACAGCATTGCATCCAAAAATGCAACATGATTTCAGGCAACACACAAAGGCTTCAAGGGTGGGGCACTCTGCGGTCAGGAAATGGCCAACTCTGACAAGGCAAGCAGGCAGTCAGTGTTCACACGGTTTCTTAATCAACTTGCAGAGAGTTTTGGATTCAGTAGCTATAGCCTTATATCCTGAGAATACACAAGTTCACAGGCATCCCACTGCTAGAGAAAGTTAAATTCCTCTAAATGCAGGATTTCTAGATTTAGCAAATAAATATATAGGATGGCCAGTTACATTTTAATTCCAGACCAACAATGAATAACTATTTTAGTATGTTTCAACTGCTGATGGGTCATACTTATGCTAAAAAAAATTCATTGTTTATCTGAAGTTCAAATGTAACTGGGAGTCCTATATTTTATCTGGCAACCCTATCTATAGGTATCTGCTCCTGAATGACATATCTTACAAAAATGAAATGAACAAATAAAAAATAACTAGGGAACATGATGGGGAGAGAATTATATTGGTATGTTCCTCTCAAGTATTTGTTTTGAGTGAGCTGGAAGGAAAGAGAATGTAATGGACAAATGAACAGATAAAATAAAATGAAGAACTTTAGAATGACCAACAGTTGGAAGTTAAAGTTTAATATAGCAATTGCCAAATTTGGGTGTCTTTAAGAATCTGAAAAGACATTGAATTTTTATTGTTTCAATTAATGTTTTATATATTTTTATTTGAAAATATACATGTAGCCTCTATAGCTTTTTTTTAACAAAGGGGAGCATATTGTAACTCCGTAACCATCAAAAGATTTGGAATTGGTTAGTTAAGAAGCAAATTAAGAGTGGCCGCAGAATCCTATGACCATCTTATGTGGATTATTCTTTGAAGATTGTGTAAAAATCTCTCCTAAAATATATTAACCTAGAGAATTGCAATCAAGTACCCTATAGAATATACTGGTACAGGTTATTATTATAACATGATAACATAATTTAACATAGTATCATTATTGCTTCTGTAATCCTGTAGGAATTGGGATGCAAATTAGAAAAGATGGAAAAAAAACCAGGTGGGCATGTACACAGAGTATTTTTCATGGAAGTTGTTGGCCTATATGTAAGTCTGTTGAGGTCTTAATTTTAAAAAAGGAAGGTGGTCATCTCTTTACAAAAGAGATGATGATTTATTTTCAAGTTCTAAGAAGAGATTAGAAATTAAATCCAAATGGGCACATTGCGAAATTACTCTTATCCTTAATAGAGTAAAAAATTGCAAAGCTGTAATTAGGGAAACTTACAGAAACAGACTTTAAATTCTTTAATGGTTTTATGGTCCATTTTAAAAATAATATGAAGAGAGTGTATTAAATAATATGTAAAATCAAATGAATTGATTTCCACAATGGGTTGTGTCTTGCATGAGAAACTTTAGCACAGAATCAGTGTGTAAAATACAGAGAAATGAGATTTTGAGAGTGAATATAAGAAGTGAAATTAGACATCCTATTCCATAACTTAAATGGAATGAGATACCAAAAATTAACAACAATAGTCAAATTGATTGCTGTTGAAAATATGACTCATTTGAATTATAAGCACTAACATTTACTTGGGTAGAGTCATTTGTGTTGCACATGTGAATCTCAGTGTTCCAGCGGCCCTCCTGAACTATAAATATATGACTGTACCTTGTGCAAAGTTCTCTTGCTCAAGAGAAAATTTGCCTTAGACGGTTTGCCATGATACAGTGACCAGACAAAGTTTAAAGGGGCAGAATCCAAAAAAATGAGAGAAATATGAAGAAATTAGAATCAAAAATCCTAATTTAAATTAGATAGTAGAATTCTGAAATACGCAGGATTTGCTGGTAGAATGCAAGTGGTCTAGAGACCAACATTCATAACAGGACACACGGTATAACTTTTAGCTAAGAAGGGCCTTCATTCTAGCAAACAAAATCAAATCAAAAGTAAAAATCCAATGAAGGTTAGAAAATGGAAACTTTATGTAATTAAAGAAGGGAGAATTTGATATCAAGTAAAAATCCCTATTATTGATCTACCTCCGGGTAATTTTTTGATAAGACTGATTAGGGTACGGATTTGATGTTTTCATGAAAATTACCTGGAATACAATTCACTCAAGCAACTAAGGTTGAGCCCTGCAGATTTTTTTCACCCATTCACTTTCAGAAGAGCTTTGAAGATGTATTTTGCTTTAATAAATGCATTTAAGATGCAAGCTCAATCCATCTGCACCAGGAGGCTTAAACTGTCTTACTTTATAGCTTCTATTTTATTTTCTAATATGTCTTACCCTATCCGGGCTCTTTTCAATGAAGTTCTAGGGATGATTTCAACACTGTGTTATTATGTGGGCCCTTCTCAATGCTTGGCTGCTCACCTTGGTGACACACACAAACACAGACCTGCACACACCCACACGCTCCGTTCCTCTCGCTCGTTCTCCCTGTGGTTATTCTGACCCAAGCCATACTCACAATGTTAGTGACATCTGGAGAGGCTCCGTTCTGCAGCAGAAGGAGGACAATGTTCAAGTGGCCCATGAAGGCAGCCACATGTATTGGTGTGAGGCCAGACTGCGGAACAAAGCAACAGCAGTTTTACTCCTCTGCACCGGTGGGGCTTTGGGGCTTCTTGAGATAAATAAAACTTGAGTGAAGAGGACGGAGATGGGTGAAAGGAAGGGGAGGAAGGAGTCAGAGAAGGAATGCTTCGTGACAAGCTGAAACATGGTTCTACCTCTGTGATAGCTTGGATTGAAGCCCCATATTTCACCAGCAGTTCCATGACTTTGATGCGGTTTTTCTTGCAGGCAATGTGCAGTGGAGTAAAACCATTCTGTGCAAAAGACAATCAAGTTAGTTGAAAACATGCAGAAACCATTCTCACGCAACTCCATGCTGACACGTTGCAGGCAATAATGTTACATTGTGACGTAGTGTTACCATTTCTCCAAACCCTGTAGGTGCTGGGACTTGGAAAGACAATGGTGGTGTGTACCTGTAGGCACTGAACTTTGCTTACCTGTGTGTGTGTGTGTGTGTGTGTGTGTGTGTGTGTGTGTGTGATTCAGTTTGTGTGGTTACAGAGGAAACAAAAGGGAAGAAAAATACAGGACCTACTGTTGAAAGAAGGAAAAATAGAGGGGCAATTATATTTTAGAATTTTTAAGATGTTTTAAGGTATATTGACTGGTCAGGTTATGAAATAACTTGAAGATGCATTGAAAATAACTGTGTATCATTCTGGTGAAGGGCCTTTTTTTGGGGTTTTTTTCCCTTTTTTTGTTTCAAAATTTTAGGACCTTGCTTTGTTTTTGTTAAATTTTTCCCTTTTGTTGTGTTTTCTTTAGAAAAGAGTTGTTTCAAGTTAGAAATCATTATTTATGTTGATAACATTTATATCCAGAAGTTATATTTTATGTTAAACTTTTATAACACATATGCCAATCAGATACATTTTATTTTATAAAGAAATGATTATTAAGTTCCTGAATATTTTCAAGTATAGAGAATTTCTGTACTCACTGGAAGGCGAGACCTCTTAAGGATAAAGGAATGTGGGGAAGAAGTTTACAAGGTACTTTCTAACTTTGCAAACTAGGCAAAGGAATTCCCAGGAATTGAGGAAAGTAAGTAAAAGTTTATAAACTACCCCCATGCTTACTTATTATGCATTATATTTTTTATCTTTTTATTTGAACAATGATCCCTTGTTGAGTTGTATCTATTTGGCCAGTTAAGAGTTTTGCAGGTCCCAAAGTAGACTGGTCATCAGTCAATATTTTCATACACTATCAGTTCTCAGGAAAGCACATGGTCTTACTTAAGCTGATGATATCTGTACTTCACAATGGAGTGATAGATATAATAATATGTGATGTCATTTCCTCTGTTTACGAGCTATATAATATGCCAGATATAAATAGCCACATGCACATGCAGCACTTAAAATATTTGCAGTTATTAGATTGTGATATTTTATAAGCTTATTGACCACTATCCAATTGAAAATTAACATTTTCAACTCCCTATGAGAAAATAAATATCCTCATATCATTGCACACAAACTTGAAAGTGCATTAGCTTCCCAGGTAATTATTAATAGATTGATTCCAATGGAAAAATTCCAATAAAAATAATATTTAATGGTTGATGATTATAATAATAATAGAATATTGCTATTATTCTAATAACAACAAATACTGATTGTTTAGAGGCAAATTTTAACTGACGTAAACCATGTAAACATATAGAAAAAAGGATTTGCTTTTAGTTTGAGAATTAGGAAGCAAGAGGCACAAATTAGTGCATGCCTAATACTTCCAATGATTATTGTTAGCATATGAGTGAAGCAAGAAAGATTTATTCAACATTAGACCTTGGGAGACACAGAAGCTGTTCTAGGGACAGACTCCTGCAGTTTTCTCTTGAGCAATTCCTAAATGGTTGGAATAAATAAAATGCTTCCCAAAGCACTAATATGCCAGCAGTAATGTGCCACGCCTTTTCCATCAGTCTATGGTTGGGTAGTCAAGTCAATAAGGAAAATCTCTCCACAAGCTTACATTTTATTCTATCTCACATAGTCAAATATATTCACAATTTTAAAATCTTTTCTTTTTCCAAAAAGAGATTAATAAAGTTCCACTTTTTTCCACACCTGTATTCTAACTTTATCTGCAGGTATCTAGAAGTTATTTTATAATCTCCTACTTTTCAACTTGTATTTTCCATTTCAAATTGCTTACCGCTCCAGAGGTTTCCTATCTGTTTGTAACTTGCTAGTTTCTGAAATGTTACCTTGGTATTCTCTTAAAACATCCCTGCTCATCAGCATGTCATAGCAAACTATGGAGATAGAAAGTAGACAGGCAGCTCGTGGAGGGCGACAGACTTGGCCCGATTAACTACATATCTGTCACCGAGTATTCTGGTGGAGGCATATTGGCCAATGAATGTGGGTCTGTTTGTCTCAACCTGTACTCAGTTAATGTGGACTGGGCCAGGTTTACCAGGGCTCTGGCGTTTGGATTGGCTCTCTTGTCCAAGAGGAGTTTGGTTACGCGGTAGTGGCCACAGTGTGCGGCAACATGGAGGGCCGTCAGGTAGTCTAGGGTCACGTCGTCCACGGGGGCCTTGTGCTGTAGCAGGTGCTTCACACATTCCACGTGGTCCCCCTGTGCAGCCATGTGAAGTGGAGACAGCCCATTCTGCACATCAAAAACAGAACAAAACCAAGTCCAGTTTTTTTTTTCCCATTATTTTCAGGTTGCAAAACAGAGCGAAGTCAATTCTTGATCTCTAGCACAATTAGTGGCAGGGAAAAAACTAATTTCCATTTAACAGCAGAATACATACCAGATTGTGTTTGGTGGAGAAGGAAGCTAAGAGAACATTTAACTTCATAATTATGCTATCATAGGCAAAAACACAGATTAGTGTGTCTTTTATGAATGAATACATAGTATGTATTGGCAATTGAGCCTGATTTTACAATTATCAGGGCAATATTAGATAGATAAAAATACGTGATAGCTGATGCTCAAATTATTTGTATCCAATTCTATGCATAGAAGTCTACATTCAGTTAATCTCTCTACCAACATTTCCTTATCAAGAGAGAGAAAGACAGGGGAAGGAGGAGTAAGTATGTGGATGAGGGAGGTAAGGAGACTTTGATCATCTCTTAGGGTTCACGTTGCTCTGAAATTCTGTGATTTCTTTTTCCTATGGTGCTATGAGACTGGAATTGGACTTGGAGAGAGCAGGCAGGTAAGGTCTAGAAGAGTGTGAGCCAAATGTGGACCATGTGCCCAGGATCTCACAACTTTTAAATATAAGCATAATCTAAATCTGTCATCACTGATACTGCCCCAAACAGCCTTAGCCTTAATTCTAGAATAAAGTGAACAGCAGGAGCACAAGACAGCAGGTAATGGTCCGTTAACTATCAGTCTAGGTAAGATGTTCATTTTTTTACAGCTAATAAACAAATTTACAGGAAACAATATCTAAAATTAGGAAATAAACTAGATTAAGAAAACACTTGCCCATTAAAGAGCCTGGACTATAGTCTTTTCTTAATAACCATGTAAACATGTCACTAGAAAAATTATAGTTGACCAAGTATCCAGTTTGGCAGCCACTACATTTAACAAAGCAGGGATTGTGTACAGATGAGATGTCAGAAAAGGCCCCCAGCCCAATATTCTCTACAAGGAAGGTGATTTCAACCGTGAGGGACAGTTAAAAAGAGATATAGTAATTCTTAATCATGCTAGTTTGTGGGTGATAGAGTATATGTGACTTAAAACATTATTAACATAATTTTATTTGTTTTTGAAGTAATCATTCATCATTACTGCCTTTATATTTAGAAATCCATTAAGTGAATTTAGGAAAGAGGATCAGGCTGCTGAGAAGGTATTTATGCACGGGGAGGGGAAAAGATATAGTTAAGGGCAGAGTGTAGAAGGAACTCAGACCTTGACAATGTTTGGACTGGAGTGCTGTGTGTCTATCTCTGAAATTTATCATTCTTTGATGCTGTTTTTTTTTTCTACTTGAAGATTATTTATGTGGAAAATAAAGTATTCACCAAATTTAATCCTTTGTTCATTTTGCACATATTTACTTAGCACCTCCCAAGCCCTGTTGGGGTTCTGTGGATGTAGCAGGGAATGCAACAGACAGGAAACCTGTCTTCATCAAGGTTATGTAGCATAAGAAAGGGAATCCAGAGAGGAAACAGACGTTGCGGGGTTAACTGTCACTCGGAGAGACATGGGGGGTGTTGGAAGGTTTGGTGCAGCAGGATTTCTCTGCTGTTGTGCTGAGAATAGACTGAATGGACGAAAGGAAAAGAAGAGAAGCGAACATGGGCTCCCCTGCGGTCCCCCAGGTAGCGCTGATGCCGACCCGGCCCAGGGTGCGGGTAATGAGAATGTTGGGAGGCTGCTGACTTTGCGACACAATCTGAAGAAAGAGGTGACTGGGTTTGGTGACAGGATGTGGAGATTGAGAAAGAGACAAGCATGACATGAGGTGTCTGGCCTGAGAAACTGAAAGAATGAGATGGCCACTGACTGAGATGAGAGTTAGGTTTAGGGCTGGGGATCCTATCAGGGATTTCGTTTTATTTTATTTATTTCATTTTTCATTTTTATTTTTATTTTTTTTTTGAGACAGAGTCTCGCTTTGTTGCCCAGGCTAGAGTGAGTGCCGTGGCGTCAGCCTCGCTCACAGCAACCTCAAATTCCTGGGCTCAAGTAATCCTCCTGCCTCAGCCTCCCGAGTAGCTGGGACTACAGGCATGCGCCACCATGCCCGGCTAATTTTTGCTATATATATTAGTTGGCCAATTAATTTTTTTGTATTTATAGTAGAGACAGGGTCTCTCTCTTGCTCACGCTGGTTTTGAACTCTTTACCTTGAGTGATCCTCCCACCTCGGCCTCCCAGAGTGCTAGGATTACAGGCGTGAGCCACCGCGCCCGGCCAGGGACTTAGTTTTAAATGCAGTAAATCTGAGATGCCAGTAGACATCCAAGCAGCACCAGTGGGTTGACATTGGCATATGGGATTCTGCAGGCACACGCTATGTGACGTCAGCAGAGAGGCACTATTTCAAGATGGAACTGCAGGAGGTTTTGTAGTGAGTGAATGCAGAGAACAGACATAAAAACTGACCTCCGGGGGTTCTAGCACTCAAAGAGAGGGAGAAGGTTTACAGTTACCAAACTGAGAGGCCGGCTAGAAGAATCACCTACCACTCTAATAAGAGCATTACAGTCACCAAGAATAAGAGATGGGGTGGAGGTGAAGAGACACAGTTTGCTGAGAGCCAGAATTTTCAAAGAATGAGGGGGAGTAACAGATAGATGAAGATTTGCTGAGAGGAAGAATAATGGGTGATTCAAAATGAGGAGTTTTATGGAAGGGAAGGGAGAATAGTCTCCATCAGGTGCCTATTCCACTCCCAGGAGAGTGGTACCACCTCACTCTAACCTGAGAAGCTCCTCTTCCTCGTGGTCCTTACCCTACACAGACAATAATGATAATTATACAATTTTATAATTATCTCCTTGCTGATCTCGTCCATTCAATTCTGAGCTTCTTGAAGATATGGATCATGTATTATTCATCTTAATGGTGCCTTAATGACTAGAACACCTGCCTAGCACATTGTCTCCACTTAATACTATATGCTAGTTGGATGCAGAATAAATGGAGGAACAAATGAATACTATCACGCAGTCGAAGACACTTTATCCTGGATCCTTACATCTGAATGATACTCGATTTTACAAGAAGACCACTTTAAAAAAATTTATCTAGGTAATACATGGTCTTCATTAGTGATATGACAGTCACAGGCAAGCTCCATAGACAAGATTATTTTATGGTTTATAAATCATATCTGCCTATTTTCAATTTGATGTAGGTTTTTTATTGGCTGTAACATGATTGCTCTGAAATTTTGTTATTTCCATTTAAAGTTCAACTTGTTTCTTCGTCAAAACTTTGCACAATTATCTCTGTATTACTCAACTCAAAATTTGCATTTTAAAGAGATCAATACAACATGCACAATAGAGCTATAAGAATGAAAATAATGTAGATGATTTATTTCTCTTTTTTATATATTTCTGAATTGAGGCCATCTTTTTATGGCCTGTGGGGCACAGATTTAAAGATGAAGTTTATTCTACACGTATTTTAAATATATGGGTTAGTTTTGCTCCAAATGACTTCAATTAGATATTCAATTAAAATATATAAATTGAAAAATATCTGCTTATGCCAGCTGCTTTGGTTTCTTCAGCTTACCCTAGTAACAGCAATCTGTTGATACCAAACCTGTTTTGGGGATGGCAGATGGGGATGAATAAAGAGAATATGTATGAAATGCCCTTAGTCTAAATTTTTGTTGTATTTAAGAATCCCGGGATTTCTGCATATCACATTAAATAGCTTTGTGTAACTATCTTCAATTTGTGTCTCACGATATTTTCTGATAACCCAGAGTCGGGCTAGATAATGGAGAACTACCCAATAATAAAGCACTTAAAATAAACATTATAAAAAATCTTCAATAAACCAACTCACCATGTAGTTTTTTATTTATATGGAAAAGTGCTTCCCCCAGTGTTTAGCATATTGATAAAATGAGACAAAAATTGTTGGACATACTATGCCATAAAGAACATTATGCTTGTTTAATGGTTCTTTGTAGGGGATCTATTGTAACTCATACTTTCCATATCACCTCTACTACTCCCAAATTTAATCAACCAATGCCACTGTTAGAGTAAGTGTTTTTACTAGTAATGTCTCCTAAGAGATAAAGATCGGATGAGCTAAAGGATTTATCTTGTGTTGCTCATTGTGCTGCTTTAAAAGATAATTTTGCATATATTTTGTATATATTTGTATATATTTTGTATTTATTTTGTATATATTTTATATATATTATATATTTTGTATATATTTATATATTTGTAAAATTATACATTTTATAATTTTATGTGTATTTTATAAGATAATTTTGTATATATTTATAAAAGATAATTTTGTATATATTTTGTATATATTTTCATCTTGGAGAATAATACAAATCTAGACATAAAATATGAGCAATATTCTGATTTGTGTAAAACTACAGATGAATTCAAATTTCCATCTTCATTAAGAAGAGTAGGTCAAAATATAGAAAGATTTTGAAGGTAGATAGTCAATACATCTTGTGAAAGTTGATCACAGGAATAGAGTTATTCTTGTCATACCCAGCCAAAATAAAGTCAAGAAGCCAGGGGGAAAAATCACCCAGGGTACAAAACATGGCTCCAAGAATATAATTCTCTGCAAGCCTGACAGATGAAACTGCTTATTATAAAACATGAAACCAGCTTTATCTACAGTTTTTGAGATAACTTGCTACAACTCTAGAACTGATTTTACCTACCGCCATTGCCCATCACTTCCCCAAACCCTTACTACTGCTAATGAACTTTCTCAAAGAGCAATATGTAACATTTCTCCTTGTCCATATCCTTCTAACCTTTAACCTTCTCTTTGTTCTTTGGATACACTCAAGACCACCGGGTCTGAGTGTATGCCCCAAATTGCAATTTCTTCCCAAATTCTTCCCAAATAAAACATTAAATTTACAGATTTGTCTCTACACTTTTTATTTTTATGTTGACAATCTTAATGCCTATACTTGTTAATTTTAATAATTTTAAAGTTTAATATATTCTTATTCCTGGCACACAAATATTGAATAACTAGAAAGTGCCTGGCTGATGCTTTGATTTCAAGAAGAATACAGATTATCAAAAAAGTGACTCAAAGAGGCCTTTGGATCCCGTCTTACCCATAATGGCTCACCTTAGTCCTTGCCAGCAAGGGGGCACCCCTTTCCAACAGAAGTTCCACCACTTGGTCATGCCCACTCCTGGCAGCGCAATGAAGTGGGGTCAGCCCATCCTGCCGAAAAAAATTAAAGAATTACACCCAAGTTCACCTTTTTTTTAAACCAAAATTGTATCTATTGCAACCATAAAGAGGGAGTTTCCTGAGCTCAAGGCTGATGACTCAATAAATAAGTAATAGAACTGCAATTAGTTAAATGATAGAAAAGAAGATGAGTGAAACAGAAAACAAGTTGGAAAGAGATCTTGATGGGGGGGAGCAGGGAGGGAGAGGGAGAGAGATAGAGAGAGATAGAGATAGAGAGAGAGAGAGAGAGAGAGAGAGAGAGAGAGAGAGAGAGAGAGAGAAGAAAACCCAGACAGGAGAGATTTCCATTCACTGGAATGAAACTGGCTCCTGGTCTTGTGTTTGCATATTCAAGAAGATGGAAAAACAGAGTATGTGGCATTTTTTGAACTTTAAAGCCCTCCTCACCAGGACCACTTTCAGGGATTATATTAGGTTATAGCATTTTCATTTTGGTTGTTCTAACACACTCTTCACCTAAAAATCCTTCTTAGTGTGATTCATCAATATACATTCTCTCTTGAATGGTCAGTCCTTTCATAAATTCTCCAAAAATACTCCCTGATGCTTGTAAAAGAGAAGCATTGTTTTTTCATATTCTTTTAAAAATTTCCACACATATATTTCAACATTTGACAAATTACATAATCATTTCCCAGAGATGAAATTCATTATTAATACATGGGATTATAACTGTGCCAAATACCATACGGCACAACTATGTGTTACGTTCTTTATAAAACTCTCTGACCTTAATTAGTGTTTCTGGGGTAGTTACTGATTCCAGAGCAATCCCCAAGTGCTGTCTTTTATATTTTATGTCTCTGTAAGGTGGCATGATCAAAAAAGCAGAGTAGCTGGGAAATACAAGGCAGAATGTAAGTAACAACAGGCAAGAAGTGAGAGAGAAAATGAAATCTCGAGTACTTAAATTAAGTGGTGATTTGAGGCTTAGGGAAAAAAAAATAGATTGTCACAATGAGAGATGTGGAGCAGGCGCGTAGCAATCAGAGAAAATGATGGATGGAGAGGCAGTTGTGAGGATTTCACAAGCTTCTGATTGATCCAGAACTCTAATGGCCAATCTTTTGTGTCTCTGTTTCCAGGACACTCTCTCTAGGTTATGCTTTCCTGCTAATAAAAGTAATTCTTCTGACTCTTACAACACTCTTTCTGGTCCAAGGTGTTGGGATTTCTATGCCTTCCGTTTGTGCCTCCAGATTCATGCTCTAAGCCTCCTCTTCCCTGCTCTGTGTCCCTACAGACTGGCCACTCTAAGGGGCATCGGTGGGTGGGCTGCCTTGCCCTCTGGCTTCTAGTTGGGTTTGGCCAATGGGAAGGGACTCTCTGAGGGATCTCCCAAACGTGGCTGTGTGTCCTTATCAAAGGTGACACTCCTCCCAGTGCAGCCTTTCCTCAGAGTTCTTCCGTTTGAAGTTCTAGGAGCTTCCTCTACTTCTCCCCTTTCAGGTCTATGTTGATAACGAGCCCTGCAGTTTCTAGCCCTGAAACACTGCCACTATCCCTTGTACCTTCCCAACAGTCTATGCACAATAGTATAAACACAACCTTTTGTAATCTCTAATCTAATTATCAAATTTGAGTGTGCCATCTGTTTTTGGCTAGGGCCTTGACTGATAATGATTCTTTGCTTTGTTAAATCTGTTTAGCTAATATTAAGATACTGAGTATCTTAATATTAAGATACTAATATTAAGTATCTCAAAACTCAAAACCTTGCAGTTTTGGGTATCTGAAAATTAACATGAAAAGACTGCCTTTCCAGAAAAAAAATAGTATTTAACTACTGTAGTTGAGATGCCACATTATTTTAAAGTTTGCCAGATGGGAGCCTAAGAAATTGTGTTGGCAAAGTGATGAAAGGAATGACACTTTTGTATCTTGAGAGCAGTATCCAGGTGGAACTACAGAGCATTAGTTGCTGTTTAAGTTATATAACAAGTGGACAGAGCTGATTTCTCCAACATATTCTGGATGCTTCGTCAAGACCTAGGGTTTGAGAAATCCCACCCTGTGAATGGAGACATCACCTGCAATGGCTCAGCCTATGGACTCTGAAGTCACGGAACTCTGGGCTGAGCCTCAGATCAGCCACCATGGTGACTCTCTGGGGCTCAGCTTTGTGACACACAAAATGGGGGTGATTTCTCTTGCCCTATTTAACTTACAGCTTTGTCTAAAAGGGACGGAGGGGATGCTGCCCCACATCATTTTCAGAAAAGGTGGTGTATAGTTTTTTACAAATTACATGAAATAGTCCTTGTATAATCACTTTGAAACCTCCAAAATACTCTCAGAGTAACAATAGGAACATTATGGAGAACATTTAATATACCCACAAGAACAGCAAGGAACAATAAGTATTAAATTAGTTCTACATCTTATATTTAATGATGCAATGTATCTGCCTTTATAAGAGAGGTGTGAATGATGATATCCAATTCAAGTTGCCCAGCAGGCTAAATCTGACTAGATTTTGAATATCTTTCTACAAAGTATAGTATTAAGTGAATGCCAAAACATTCTTAGCAAAGTTTTGTATTCCAGGACTTTTTAAACTTAAATTCCTGAGCCTGTGTTTGAACGTTATGTTTTTTTTTCCTCCTCCAGAGAACCTCCTTGGGTTCTCTTTTTTCTACACTAGCATCAGTTCATCCACTCTGATGTGGAGAATTCTGAAAAAGAGAGGTCAACAGATGTTAGAGGGACACCATTTATCTACCGGTAACCCACAACATTAGCTTCTTACACTCATTTCTTTCTCTAAGTTTCCCTTTTCTCACTCTCTGCTTAGATCATCATTCCAGTGATATATCCTGAAGTCTGTATATTAACACAGACTCTGCTAATTACCCAGCCACGCACCCTAGCTCAAGTTCCATAACTCTGCTGAAATCCATTTTTCCCTTTGGTAAGTCCCATTTCTCAAATAAAGACCTCCATATTTTCTCAGCAAGAAAATACTATATACTTCACAAGTTGTTAGGAAGATGGAATAAGGGAATATTTGCAAAGTACTTAGTAGGGTGCCCAGAATACCATAAGCATATGACAGTTGGTAGCCATTATTGTTATTACTTTAATTATTACATCTAATAACAAGTCGCAAGAGTGATCCTCATTTCTGATATGTTGTTTTTTGTTCATCATCCTTTAATTTTTTTGTATACTTTTATTGTTTGCATTGAAATATGTATTTTAATATTTTAAACATAATCTTTATATGGAGTATCCCCACATTTAAATAATAAATAAGCCTAAAAACAGAAAAGAAAAATGCCCTTAATAAAGCATGAATTAATAATTTCATTCTAACTAGCTATAAAATTTGTGTTTTAACATTAAAATGAGGTTTTACAGATACCAGGGTTCTGGTGAAAATGCCTCAGCATTTCATACTAGATCCTAGTCAGTCAATAATGAGAATGTCAACCAGATGCAAAATATTTCAATGACTGTCAAAATGGTAGTGAGAGTGGGGTAGAAACTAGGGGTAAGATTTGTGTTTTAGTTACAGGAAAGCCTCTATAGATCTTGTTTTTTTCCAGATAATGAAAACCTTGTAAATGAGAAAAAATAATGAGAAGATCAAGAGAAAGTTCTTGACAGACTATACTAAATTTAGAATATTTGTGGTTAAATTGATTGCTAGGGGAAATCGAGAACTTTATGACAGAAAGAATAATACCCATTTTTTAAATTCCATAGATAGAAGCTCTATTATATTATCTAAAAGTGCAGTCAAAGGCAAATTAAACATTTTTCTATTTTTAAATATATTTTCAAAGGGGGAAAGTATTTAAGAAGTAAACCATATTCTTTTGTTTTAGTAAATCAAAGATAATAGCTCCAGAATTGGCCTCCCAATTCCAGCCCTTGATTTCAGTATTTACCTCTTGCTTAATTTTGCTTTTGGTAAGAGGGATATAGTTCTTTTAGCAATAACCAGAATGGAAAGAACCTAGCAATGCTTTTAAAATCCTACTACTGAGAAACGAAAGAGTATTTTAACTTATGGAGGGAGGGGAAGCTCAGTGCTGTCATTCACTATTTTACCTAATCCTGGGGTATGCTGGAGCCAGGTCCCATGTACTAAGGAGAGCCACTGTTGCACATCTCTTCCCAATTCTGCATTTAGCTATACCATGTTGGTATAGGCTCTAAATCATGGTGGAAATATTTTACACCACAGAAATCAGCAGAGGCAAAGCCACAAATCAAGGTGTTTTGTTTGGTGGTGTTTTGTTTTGTTTGAGAACCTATTATTAAACTTCTACCAGCACGCTGCTAACCTAATCCCTTGGCAACTGTTGACTTGGGTCTCTGTGAGTCTAGAGACCTAGTCTGTCTCATTAACTGTTGTATCTTCAGTGTTCAGGGCACCAAGTAGGAACTCAACAATTATTCATTTAAGGAATGAATGAGCAGAATGTCCACACAATGTACATTATTAGAAAATCTATTTTTTCTTTTTAAATACTTGAATGAAATTCATTTTATTTGCTGTATCTAAAGGCTAGCCTGGATAAATTATGGTCCAAATATTCCCTTCATAGAAGAAGAAACCACAGATTACATTCAATTGTTAACTTGCTCAAGGACAATTAACTAATTACAGAGCTAGCTTAAGAAAAATCCATTTTTCCATATTTTCATACTCTTTTGTGAAAACACACTGCCTAACTGATGTTAGACTTTTTAATTGTATTTGCAAATGTATGCAAACCATGCAAATTAGAGCATCTTTTAAAGAACTAAGTAAATATTATGATGATCAATAATAACAAAATCAAATGCCTCAATAATGAATGCCTACTCCAGAAAAGCATTAACAAAAGCAAGGTACAAAAGACTTTGGGCAAAGGCCAGGCACGGTGGCTCACACCTGTAATCCTAGCACTCTGGGAGGCCAAGGTGGGAGGATCGCTCAAGGTCAGGATTTTGAAACCAGCCTGAGCAAGAGTGAGACCCTATCTCTACTAAAAATAGAAATAAATTAATTGGCCAACTAAAAATATATAGAAAAAATTAGCCAGGCATGGTGGTGCATGCCTGTAGTCCCAGCTACTTGGGAGGGCGAGACAGAAGGATTGCTTGAGCCCAAGAGTTTGAGGTTGCTGTGAGCTAGGCCGATGCCATGGCACTCTAAGCCCTGGCAACAGAGTGAGACTCTGTCTCAAAAAATAAATAAATAAATAAATAAATAAATAAAAGACTTTGGGCAATATAAAAATCTTTTGCATTTACAAACTGTTTTCTTTCCATTGATAATCTCTATTATTAGAGTTTCAATAGAAACAAAAGGGTCAATATAAGGGGAGAAATCCTGTTAGTAGAGTATACTAGATAGGTGACATTATGTTAGTAATGTTAGTAATGATGTTAGAAATATAGCAATATGCAAACACTCTTTCCTTTAAGTATAAAGGACAAGTAAGTAAAGCTTGTGGCATGTTGCATACTGTTCCAAATTCTGCATATTCACAGGATAGTATAGGAAAAAGCATGCCAGCAAAGCAAAGGGTAGAAACCATATAAAACTCTGGACAACACAACGAAGACTCTGGACACCACAACAAAGATCTTGACAGATACAGAAAACCACTCCAGAACTCCTGCATAATGTGACACACAGCCACCATGGACCAAATGTCTTAGAGAAACAAGATTAAGAAAGCAAGGTTTCCTGAGGTGAATAAAAACCAAAATTTACCCTGGGATTGGTGTAGATTCTAGAAGCTTAAAGATGATAATATTTATTAAAAAAAATTTTTTTGCTAACCTCAAGATTTGCAAAGGAACTAGATTTGATCCTGATTGCTTGGACTATGAGAGCATGAAGTCCCAGAATTTAATGAAGTGAAGACAAAATGCTACAAGGAACACGTTCTATCCACCATCTTTCATAGACTTTTTACATCACATATTTTGACATTTTTATATTATAGGAATGTCTGAAGCTTTGCTGAAGTCAGTAATTAACCAAATCTATTCTAGATAGACAATATTTAAGTATTTGTTATATGTTTAAGCAAACAACTGCATACTATATAATGTCAGTAATATTATCAGAAATTATGAGTAACTAAGTAATTTACCCACTCCACTTTTATTTTTTTTTAAAAAAGTAAATAATATAGTTAAGAGTTAATTCTCACACAACCTTTTGAGGTAGGTATTATTAATAGCCTAAACTCAGAGAAGGTAAGTAAACCGTCAACATACAACTTTGTAAATGGTAGAAGTAAGATTTGAAATCAGGCAATTTGCCTTCAGAGTCTACACTTTTAACAGTTGGTCTCTAATGCTTACATTATTATCTATCTATTGAGAGTGCATCAAAAACTCAAAATGAATTTTTGCTTGACGAGTCTGAAATGAATGAAGGGCACCATTTTTACCAAGATGACATTCATAAAGGTACAATATACTAACTTTTTTTCATAAACAGGTCCTGCTCAGGTCAGTATCACAAAAAACTACTTAAAAGAAAAACGAATTAGGAATTAAACAGAAGCAAAAATAATTTCAGTATGTATGAAAATATTTTATACAGAAACTACACTCTCATAACTTAATGCCTGCTAATGAGTTCAGACTCTTGATATTTATGAATGCCCAAAAGAGAGACGTGTAAATCCAGTCTTTGATCTTTGATCCCAGAAAATCAATAAATAAAACTTTGAAAAACTCTTATCAAGTGGCCAGCATTCTGTTTCTCCAGGCACTTATAAGAAAATATTAATTTCACTTCATGATATGAAACCTTTAAATGTTGTATTAAATTTAAATCAAATTCATAAAAACACATTGCTTATCTTTACAGACTGATGTTTTAAGGTGCCTGCTAAGAGGATTGAAAGAAATAACAATGGTAGGAAATTGAAGGAACAGAGACACTCACCCTAGTTTTGGCATCAATCTGACCGCCTCGATCCAGTAAAAGCTTGACCATGTTCGTGTTTCCTCTTTTGGAAGCCACATGCAGAGGAGTGATTCCATTCTACACCACAGAAAGACCAAACAAGAGCATGTTGGCTATGACAGGGCATGATGGCGATTGCGTTGTGACATATGTGGTAACTTGATGCATAGTTTCTACAATTTTAATGTCTTCAATTTTTACGGAACAGAGAAGCACACAAACCACAAAGCACTATAGTTAGAGAGTGAAAAATGGAATGGAACTGCATAGTTAAGTTAGTCAATAACTACAACATATGGATTGAATGTATACATTATAGTCAGGAGACAAAGGGGGCAATTTTGTGTAGTAGAAACAAAAATTCAAATTCTACCTAAGATAGAGCTCTACTGTAAAGTCTTTCTACAACATCCATGCACTTAAAGAGTCTGGAATCTCAAAGTCCCATATGCTTAAAAATAGAATACAGATATACATATCAATACTCAATAGAAAAATGATTCTTAAAAACATCTGCAGAATAATTCAGTAGGATAAACAGCTTGAATATAGCACAACACACAGTTTCAGTGCAGAAGACTTCTTAGGACAAAAGCATCATACATAAAAATCGTACTTATTTATTTTATAGGCTATTGTAGGTCATCATGATGGCAGGGATATGTACCTGATTTTCTGTGTGTCATAAAATTTTGCATATTCAAATTTTTCATTCACTGGTTTACAGTAAGTATAATTTTCATGTAAGTGAATTATTTCCCACAAAAGCATACCATGAAGCATCTAACAATGCGACATCTTTTTGTGTATTTCAGTAAAACGTCATATGAGCAAATGCTTAATTCATTAAAAATCTCCTGCCAAGTTGTAATAATCATTGTAAGACATACCCCTCACATATTTTGTACTTAACATTTGAACAGTTTATTTATTGACTTGAAGCTGCTCATTCATGATTCATAGCATGATCTTTAAATATAACTGCTGATGCTGATGTCGGAATTCATGCCCTCCTTAACTGTTGGAAATGATTCGTGTGCATGTGAATTTACAGCTTCTTATTTCCCACAGGGGCTACACGATGACCTCTTGTGATTTAAAGAGCAAAGAGGAAAATCTAGTATCGCCAGCACACATGCAGGGAAGAAAAAAGAAATGAAAACTTTATGGAAGCCACTGGTGCTCATTGCTACTTTCTTAAAACACTCATTTACTGTATCTAGAATGAGAAACTATTTTCATCCTTACCCTGGCTGTGAAGTCCACAGCAGCACCCCGGTTGAGAAGAAGAGTGGCCACATTGACATTTCCGTAGTGTGCAGCTATGTGCAATGGGGTAAAACCACTCTATGGAAAGCAGAGAAATGACAGTCAGTAAACCTTTCACCTTTGTAAGCTGCCGTTACTGCATTTGTCAAGAAAGTTACATGGTAACTGCATACCTAATTTATGAGCAATAATAAATGATTTAATAAGACCTTAAGACTGAGTATTATAAGGTGGTAAATAACTAAATACATAAGGAGGTAAATAAATATCCTGCATTTATTACCAACATTATTTTAAATTACCTTATTCATCTATTTATGAGATTTGTTTATGCAAAACCATATTTATTGAGTTGGTTTAGCATATTAGAGGAAAACAGAATATGATTCAACAACATAAAGGTTTCAGCCACAGGATTAACATAATTTTGAATTAAAACTGTTATTTTCAGAGAAAGATTCAAAAGCAGTGTATTTGTTTTGTTTTTGTTTTAGAAAACAGCATTGGTCAGCATTAATTCTTGGAACTATGAAAATTTGTTTAAAAATTCTTACACAGGATATAGAATTCATTCCAGATCATTTACACTGTTATGATATTTCTATCTTCTTTTAGAACTGTTTAGTCAGACTATATTGTTATAATGACAAAAGAATTAAAAAGCAAAAATTAAACAAAATAGCATGAATGTGAACATAAAATAAAGAAAAAAGTTCAGCCTAATCTAATTTTGAATGTTAATTAAACCAAATTTTATCAACAAAATAAAATGTAATTGAACCGACCAGGTTAAATCACCTCTATGGGCAATAGAGAAGTATTTATTCTCAAAATGTTGAAAAATAAGTCTGAAAATTCAAAAGAAGAAAAGCATATTTTCTCTTATTTCTTTTTCTGATGAAAATTTAGTTGGAAATTTTTGCAATTTTCCCAATAGACGCTTATTATTACCTCTTTTCTTATTAAACTACACAAATATGTATTATCTGATAATTTTTCTTACTCTTTGCAATTTTCATTACTTAATAAAAGATTATGGGAAAAATAAAGACTGTGGATTGGCTATCACATCCTACAGTTTTCAGGTTACTTTGCACTGCTCTCTTTTACTTGAAATGAACCAAGGTGTGCACTGTATTATTTTTGAGAGATAATTTTCTAAATCACAACCACTATTTGTCTATGGGCTTGATATATAGGTTTTGGTGACTTTATTTTTAAAATGCCCTAAATGAGCATTCATATTCCTCAGGTAATAAAAATTTCTCTGTGCTATCAGCAACATTGACAGCAAATAATTTCTGATGTAGAGAGCAAAACACAAAGTAAGAATAGTAAATATCAATCCAAATCCCCCCCCAGATCAGGACATTTTTATTTTGCATCATATCATGCCCAATATTCATGTCAAAATGAAGGGGAAAATCAGCCTACGATCTGGCTGTTATTTTATAAAATATCAAATTTTGATATTTTAGGAAATAATTGACTGAGTTCTTTTTCATTTTTACCTTGATGTTTCCTGTCACCCAGACATATCCTGAATGTGTGTCTGTTATTCAAGTTAAAATTTAATTTCAGAAAAACATATTGACTGTTGAGGAATCATTTTCAAATTATTGAACTATAATAACATTATTTTTCTCATTTGCAAAAATAAACTAATTTATTGTCTGACATAGCCTCATTGATCAGACATGATGATGCCTCCGGCTGTGAATCTTAGATGATGCTGGGCTGGTAGAAGCCCTCTCGGAGGAATTCCTCCCTGATTAGCTATGGAGGTTGGAGGCAGAGTTCACCAGTTCACCGTTCCACAGGATTATAGAAGGGCTTTCCTTCTTACTCTACTGTCTTCAAGGAAATATATAGAACTCGATCCAAATCCACCCAAACTGCTGCTTTCATCAGTGTTTAGAGCCAATATTGCTTTCAAAAATGTTATCTTAAACAATCATCAAAAAGCATCTAAGCAATTAAAGATATGGAAATCAGTAATTAAGATAACAACTGTATGGAACTGTATAATTCCAGTCTTGAATAATTTCATCAAGCAGTTGGGCTTTTTTGGGGAGGGTTAGGGGAGTCACTGATCTAGGTTCGGTACACAGATATGGAAAAACAAAAAAAATGATACCAATAATTCAAGCATATTGATGTCCCCATGGGTAAATGTGTTAATAGACAAGATAATAGTTTTAGAAATACCATTATTCTCAGTAAATACTCAGTAAGAATGCTCAAAGGTCCGCAGCTCCCAAAATTCCACAACCCAGTGATCAAATGAGATGTTAGTCTAAAGAATTCCCTCAGCAAAGGGAAAAGCAACCTACCTAGTCACCCACCTTTGAGTACAGGTCAATTTTTATAATATACTTTCAATAATGTTTGGGTCACTGTCTCTCTTGTAGCAATGGCCAAGGAGAGACTACTAAACACACACACACACACACACACACACACACACACACTTTGTGGAGAGGCTTCTGAACTTAATGTTTCTATTGATTGATGTGACTTATTTTGGTATGTGGAAAATATATGATTTCGAGACAAGTTATTTTAAGACTTACAAGAAAAAGCAACTGCTTTGCTCATGATATGCTCAATATCATTATTGATTATATACAATGTGGTAAAGGAAAAATGCATACAGGAATAAAAAGGGTGACTGCAATTAGACAAAAAAACAAAACATAGTGTCAGAGAAACCGCCTTAATTTTCACTTCCCTAAACTCTAACCTGAGATATCTTATTTAAAAAATTATAATCTTGCTAAGAAAATAAGATTGTATCTCTCCTTGGCAAAAAGTTAATAGTAAAGCTCACTCCTTAAAATATACATCAAGGAAGAGTATTTCACCCTGTACTCTAACAAACTATTTAAATAGTTTCACTGATAAAAATAATGCTTCAAATATATATGGTATTAAGTATTTTTGAATGATCAATTTGCCTAAATCCTGGGAAAAGTTTCCAAATGAATTTCCCATTCATGGACCTTCTAATCATTAGTATGAATTAGTGAGCATTTATTCTAATTGGGCAACAACTAAAACAAAGAAAAGCAAGGTAGATTTTGGTATAACCACAATACTGTACCTCTGTTGTCCTATTCACCATCATCTGAAGCAGTGTTGTGTGAGAAAAAGAGGGAAGATATTACACAATGCAAAATTAAGGAAACAACCTGCTCACCGAAATGGGGTCTACGGTTCCAATGGGCCAAAATGCACTCTACCCAGAAAAGACGTCCCAAAACACTACACGATACAATGTTATCTTTCTGATTCTGTTTCTATTATTTATGCCTGTCAACAGAATAAAGGAAGCAGATTTCTAAAAAGCTAAACCTCATCTTTTTAAAGAAAATGACCTTACATTTAATTTTGTTGTTGTTGTTGTTACTGTACCCAATAAACAGTCCCGTTCTTTCTGAAATACCTCTGAAAGTAATTTATCTCTTTTCGTGACCGGAAGTCATTTTGCATTATCACCATGGCCTACTTCCTTCTCCATCCCCCAGGAGGAACCTGGCAGCCGGAGAGTTCCTTTCCACAAATGGCGTCCGGCTTTTACCTTCGACTGCACGTCGGCGTTGTGGTCGTTCTGGAGCAGGAGTGCGGCAGACTTGGTGTCGTCTTTCCTAGCTGCTATATGCAGAGCTGGCAGCCTCACTTTCCCCTTGGTGTCATTCTCCAAGAGGATGGCCACCGCCTGGTTGTGTCCTTGCTGAAGGGCCACGGCCAGAGGAGTGAAGCCATCCTGGAAGAATGGAAGAAGTAAACATCTCCCATCAACTTTCAGATGCTTAGCATTGCACTCCAAGCAAATGCTTACACTAATGATTAAGATTAATAAGCCAAAGCATAAAACGTTAGTTACTATGAAGATTAGAAGCAGATTATAATCAGTCCTTTGTCCGACTGTGCATTAGTTTAATCAGACTGCTTTCCTAATTTCTATTCTACACACTTTGAAAGACATCTGCATCCCCTAACAAAGCATACTACAGACAGAATGTGCTCAGATGTATGGTTATGATGGGAAAATAAAAGTGAGAACCAACCGCAAGTAATGTTTGCTTATGTAAAGCAGAAAAGTGGGAAGGGTGGAAAGAACAGAGAGGAACTCTGACTAGGAATTAGAGATACGGTAACCAAGACAGGGGAATAAAATATGTGATTGACTATGAAGGTTACTAAATAGTTCTGAACTGGTTAGGGGAAGATGACAACCAATGGGTATGGAATGAGATATTACCAATTCAATTTTGAACGTTTGAGAAAGAATATGATCTAAAACTCTTTGGCAAATGAGGTTAATTCATTAATTTTGTACTTAGTTGAATTTTATAGTTAGATCATTTAGATATAAAATTACAATGGGCTAGGTAATATTAAAAAATCAGCTTTTCAGTTCTAAACTTAAAAAGAGAAAGCTTAAAAAGCAACAGCATAGATAATGCAAAGTTAGAGGAAGCTTAAGGGTAGATAACTATGCTAGAAAGCTTGGAAAGCCGTGTTTTCACACAGTTCCTGGAAAAGTGACAAATAAATAGAAAAAATATAAATGTTTTAGGGTCTGTTTAGGTACCTAAAATCCCTTAATACACAAAAGTTTGAAAACAAGTGTCAAAGTTAGCAGTTTTCATTTACACAGAGCAAACATGAGTACAATAGGAAGGTACATTTAAAGACTGCATTCTAGAGACCGTAGGTAATTTACCACAATCTAACTACTCAATTTTTTTCAATAATAATTTTTAAAAGTTAACTGCAGACTTTCAAACAGAACACATAACAGAATGGAAGAGTAAAGCATATAATGTCTTAAGATGAAAAACAGTAGCCTGAATTTAGAACTTTGGCACAAATTAAATGCTCTGTGAATGAGAAAAGCACAGACTCATTATCATATACGTATTTAAATTTATTACCTCCTGCAACACTGTGATAGTTTATACTTAAAGTAAGAACTTATTTTTTTTCTTACAGATGAGGAATTTTCTTACAGACCAGAATCTCATTAAAAAAGTTTATAGCTTTTAATTTTGAAAACATCTAGGAAGAAGGAAGAGAGTAAAGAAATACTGTATAAAAATGGTAGCGGAGGGACAGAGAACTCTTTTCAGAAAATTAACTTTGGGTCTCCATTGCATGAATTTCATTCTAATCTGGACTTCCTGGGAGAAGCCTAAATATTTGGAAAGACTTGTTTAAGTACCTCAACTACCTCTATGAAAAGGAAACCCATATTCCAGTTCAGTAGTTTCATTTTTCACCATTTATTTACCAGTGCTAATTGCTATGACTATAGGAAATTTTAAAAATTTAAGTATTTCTTGGCAAACATGAATTTTGTTGTCATAGTAAATAATCTCATAATTATCTGATTTTTAAAGTGGTCATAATGTCTTGAGTAGTAATTAATTTTTGCAAATGAGGGCTGCCAACCCAGTCCAGGGTAAGTGCTTTCTTTAGGGATGTTCAAGCATGTGCACATGAGAGTATAGAAGGTATTTATCAAAACAACACAGACAGAATATCCAGTGGTAATCAATCATTTGGCCTGTAAAGATTTCTTTTTTTTTTTTTTTAACAGAATGATACACTCACTGAAAGGAAAGGTACAAAAGTTTGCCCATAGATGTGTCTCTGGATAACTACTAGAGCTGGTGGTAAGAGTTTAATCGATTATGTTTATAAATATATATAAGTTTATCTATATATGTTCGTACATATATATATCTCCAATCATGAAAAATTAATTTTAGTTATTTAAATGATTTTTTAAAATGATACAAAAAACAGGTGTATTGTGTATCTAAGCTAGGACCCCAAATCCCACATGATTAACATGAAAAAGCCGCATAACTGTGTGGAAATCAGAGAGGCCTTTAATTTTCTGAGGATCACAGTGTAAATGGCCTCTACAGATGCAATGTACATAGAAGACTATTTTTGGAGCCAAATGGAAATGCCGCAGAGGTCTAGACAGAAAGAGCCATGAGACAGCTGAGAATGCCAACAAGTTGAGTTTTCCTAAATCACACATCAGAAACATTAAATCTATTTGGTGAGCACAAGAACTCTAGGATAAAGATTTCATCTGATGAATGATTATGCCTTAAAGGAAATAAAAGAAAACAAATATAAGTTTCCTTAATTTGGTATATTTTTCAGAGGTCTTGATGCAAAGATATTGTTAACCGAGCTCTGCCTGAAGATATTCATGTGCTACTCATGAAAAGAATGGGTGTCTCGGGAAAAAAAGGCCCCCAAATCATAAAAATCACACGTTACCCATGTGGCAAGAGTGTAAAATCTGTATGTGCTGAACACAGAACTTGAAATCATTTCATACTGGGCAGTTGTTGTTTCTAGCCGTAAGAAGGAGACAAGGTCTCATTAATCATGATTTCTTGGGATTTTTTTTTTCTTAACTAGTGAAAATAAGCTGTCAGAAAGTTATTGCAATTGGCTCCATAAAAATTCTCTCCCAAAGGGACTAGAATGGAATTTAATAGATTTGAATGACCTCTCTCTCCAATGCAGCCCAGAAGGGAGTTTGTGTTTATTTTGCCCAAAGACATAATTGTCCAGATTGAAGCCATTATTAGGCATTAAAAATTACCAAGATAGTTTCAGGCATCTACTTGTCATCTTTCACTTCAGGTCAGGAATTTTAAGATGTTGTTATTTCTATTCAGTTGTTGCCATAATCAGTCACGCAACTATGTGTCATAATTTGTGCCTCAACAGGAACAGCTTGTTAAGTGACATATTCCCCACGAAATTGTGCTAACATACATAATCATGAATTCTTTCTCACCGTTAAAAATTGTTCCTTGTATTGGATCCTAACAAAGCTAAAATATTGATGAAAAGAGATGGGGGCAATTTGCTGTAATCTAATTTTTGAATGGTAGAAAGTTCCCTAAAGGCTTAGAAGAGTATGGCAAATTGATAGAAGTACGATTTCATTTAAGAATAAATTGACATGAATCCAAACTAAAGGCATAAGCTCACGGAACTGTGTGCACAAGCCTGGGACAGTCATTCATGGCACGGTAGTAAATTATATTAGTGACATGAACATTCCGAGCATATTTTGGACAAAGCAATGGCGATCCACTGTGGCTGGGTATAAAGCGTATGGACATTACGATCAAAGAACTCAAGAGTTGAGGGCTGACAGTCTCACCTCTGTGGCCGTGCTCTGATTTGCCCCATTTTCCAGCAAATATTTCACAACCTCAATGTGGTTCTCCTGGGCAGCCATGTATAAAGGAGTGAAGCCATTCTGAGAACAAACAATAATAAAAAAAGACATTTTCAACCATTTGTCAAAGTTCAAACCAGAGAAGAATGCAACACAAGGAAAGAGCAAATACTGTGAAATAAACCTTTGAAATGGTGAAGCTATGTAACATTCCTTCACACTAAAGAAATCATACACATATTAACTGTTATAAAACTAGACAAATTTTCAGTGAACTAAGTTCCACACACAGTTTCTAAAGGAGTAAGGAGAAAGCATTAGAGAAGAAATATTTCCGTCATTTCCCATCTTCATTTTAGTATCAGAGACTCACATTCCTCATCACCTAACACTATGTTAAACTAAAAATATCTTCATTTCTTTAGTATATTTGGCATCTTCATACTTATATAGTTCTATAATATATAGAATTCTATAATGAATAGCATTTATATAAAATAGTGTCTGTATAATATCTTCTATATTGATCAATTCATAAACTATTTAAATAGACCATGATTATCTTGAACATACACAGCTCAGTTAGCATCCTTAGTGGTATAAATTATTACTCAAAATTAAAAAGTCTGTATTTCAATGTTCCGATTGAAGTAGTATGGTTTATTTTGCACATCTTTGTATTACCTTTTAAAGGCCATTGTGAAATTCTATCATTCATTCTCATATTCATTTACTCAACTATTTACTAAAATTCAGCCCCTGATAACTGGACTGTCACTGAGATACAGTGATAAATAAAACACACTGTGGTAATATTATAACATTATTACATAGTCATAGATTTTAAAAATCACTGATATTTTATGACATAAGTTTAAAACTATGTCATATTTAAATTGGCAGATTTTCTTTTCTTCAGATCCTCAGGAATATGCAAAACCCCATTAAAGGAAAAAAACCCACAAAACTTTATGAAAAAGAAAACCTGTGAAATAATTCATAAACTCACAAAACCTAACCAAACAGTTCTCTCAAAACTTTGCCAAAGTCTTAAACATGGATGATTTCCTTAAACTTTCCATGCATTAATGAAAGTAAGTAAAAACATAGATGGGAATTTAGGGATTTTTCAAAGAGGAGAAAAATAGTTTTTAAACGTACTTTTTGAAATAAAAATTCTTCTGTATACATTGCATGAGAGTGGAAACATTACTCAAAATGGCCAAGATCCAGCAAAATATAAATACAGAGTATACAAGTAGAACAAGTAAAATAATTTTAAATTAGATTATAAAAAAAAAATCTGTGGGCTTCAAATGGTGGAGGAAAATTTAGAACTAAAAAAGAAATATTATAAGATGAATAAATTAGCCATGTTGTAGGATTCGGGAAAAGCTTGCTAGCTGGAAAGCATATTTTTAAAGACACAGCAAGCAGGTGAAATCTTGTGTATTTTAAGAACACTGAAGAGGTGGCGGAAGGATAGAATTAGAGATTCAAAGGAAGGGGGAGCCAGTGAGGATGGTTAAAAACAATGAGTGGGTGTGGAATGGTGCTCTTTCATGGCAAGCAAAAGGCAGGAATGCAAATAAGAGAAGAAGAACTTTTAATAGAGTAAAACAATTTTCTAGCATGCTTTCCTCCAATAGAATCTTGTAGATAGATCGAGAGAAAGAGAAATAGATGTTGCCAATCATCAGGAGAAAGGAGATGTACCATCCTCAGTCCCTGCCCAAGAAAAGTCCCTGCTCTGGGTCTTGAGCCTTAGAGGGACCTTCTCTGACTGCACAGGGCAGGGTATCGTGGGGACAAAGGGGACATGCCCCCCATGACCCCACGGTTCCAGATTTTCAGGCTCCCACCAGGCTCCTGGCTGCTCAGAATCCCTGAGTGTCTCCAAGTGGTATGCATACCCTTTAGTAGCCTGAACAATGGCCCCAAATATGTCCTCATCCTAATCTCTGGAATCTAGAAATACTATCTTATAAGGCAAAAGTAACTTTGTGTGTGTGATTAAGTTAAAGAACTTGTGATGTGGGGATTATTTTAGATTATCCAAGCAAACTTCATATGATCACCAGGGTCTCTGTAAAAAGGAGGCAGGAAGTCAGAGAAGAGAGAAAATGCTAAACTCCTGCTGGCTTTAGAGCTGGTGGAAGGGGCCATGACCCAAGGCATGCAGCTTTAGAAGTTGGAAAAGGTAAGGAAAGGGATTTTTACCCAGACCCTCCAGATGGAAAGAGTAATGCCAGCACCTTGGTTTCAGGCCTGTAAGACTAATTTCCAAAGCTATAAAAAAATGTTGTGTTGTTTTAAGCCACTGAAGTTGCAGTCATCTGCTACGGTAGCAGCAGGAATATAATACACACCCTTCAAATTGTTGGCTACGGAGGGTGGAAGTGGGAGAGCTTGAATATGTGCAGGTTGGGGTGTCCCCACCTTTCTTTGCATGTGATGCTCCTGTGAGGCAGATGGAACCAGGGATGGGAGGAAAAGAGGGGCTAGCTGTAGGCCAGGACCCAGGAGTGGCTGCCCCAACACAGTCCTGTGGGCAACTCCAGGGATTCCAGGATGTCTGAATTTGGACCTGTCTGAATATACTTGCCAAGGGAGGAGATGCTTATTTAACAGTTTTTTAGCTCTTAATTAAAAAATTACAACATACAAGAGGGAAAGGGCAGGGAGACATTCAGGATGTTGGTTAAAGTGCATCGTGAACACCATCTGTGTTCCTTTTGCCTTCCTTTTGTTTTGCTTGGGTTTCCGTTGGGGGGGCAATTCCGAAAAGAATACAAATAAAAATTATTTATTGAATTTATTTCTGCTATTTGTTATCCACTGTGGTACATGCTTTGAATACATCTCCTTAAATTATAGTGACCGTATGTCCCTGTTTGTCTGGGACTGCCCAAGTTTATGCATAGTATCCCAGAGTAATTATTAATAGTGTCTTGGTTTGAATGATCAATGACCTAATACTATCTCTACATACTGAGAGTGGGGCTGTAACATCGATATTGACATCCCCATTCAGACTAAGGCAGTTGAGGCTAAAATACTTAGGCAATTTGGCCAAAGTCTTGCAGCTAGTAAGTGAACTGGGATTGATAGACAGATGTCACTTCATGAATAGCCTTCTTCCCTGCAATGGAGTTGGGACTCTACTCCGCAGATGAGTGGTCCTCAGCCTTGCTGTGTGATAGAATTTCCTCCAGAAACTGTTAAGAATGCCTAGGTGCCACGCTACCATCTTGCCCCTACTCAACTGGAGTCCATGTATGAAGCTCGAGCACATGCATTTTTTTTTAAAGCTCATTTTTTAAAATTGCCTTAAGAAGTTTGTTCTAGGTAATGCAGAAAAGTTGAACGGTTTTGTGTAGGGAGTAATATAATCACCCTCACATTTCAGAAAGTTAACTCTGATGATAATAGATGCTTTGGATTGGGGTGGCAGGAGACAAGAATGGAAGTAGGGCATCGATCGGCTTTTGCAGTATTTGCAATAGTGTGCATAAAAGATGAGGAAAGCGTGAGCCAATGGAAATCCTTGGTTAGAAGATGAGGGTAGCTGTTTACTTTTACAAAATGGGTGAAATAAGGCAATAAAGATTTGCTACGGGTTCTAAAGATGTGGAAATTATTCTTTCTTAACTTACTACTATTTAACAAGAAAGAGTCTACTGGAGAATGTGGGACATGCCTCTGGGTAATTAAGACAGGGCACGGTGACACTTTAACACCACTGTAAGCTTTATAGGAAAGCATTTATCTTAACACATAAACAGTTAACAACACACACAACGTTACTGGCCTCTGTGTACGTGCACCCAGGTACTTTCCCACATATATATTATATATGTCCAATACATATATATATATAATAGTCTGGTTGCATATAGGGATGAAAATATATATATTTTCTCCTTTTTGGTATAAAAAAGTCAAAGATATCCATAGCCCAGGCTGATACTTGAGGAGTGCAATGAGTGCAGCATTGTATCAGTTGTCACAGTGGTTCCAGTGTGACTAACAGGTGCTTCTAGCAACTGGTTATTAAGTATTTTGAACATTATCTCCATGTATTGGTAATTATTATTTGCCCTTCAGTTATCTTTACTCAACAGAAATGTGTTTGTTGACTTTTCGCTGGCTGGGCATTGTGTTCAACTTTAGTGTTGCAGAGACAAAAGGCAAGGTTCCTGTTCTAAGAACTCGCAGTTCAGACGGTGAGATGGACACGTTAGCAAGCTACTGCATGACAGCTCAGTGAACACGGACCAAGTCAGTCCGGAAAGTATCCGGCCATGTGACGTGAAAAATAGGGACATTTACAGAAGAAGATTCAAGAAGCACTGTACATAGGACAATGACAACGCAGTCCCCGTCAAAGGAGGCACCTTGGGCCCTCACACGGGTCTCCCAGGGTCTCTTAACCCAACCCATACACGTTCAAGGTGCTCAGGTGTTCTGCTCGTTGCAGGCCTTCCAGAAGGCGAATCACTTTCAACAGATTCTTGACCGTCTTGGAAGCGTCTGAGCCACATTTTTATTTGTGCTGCACACACTGCATCATCCCCCCGAAAGGCCTGTGAATCATCGGAATCGTTTCCGCGGAGGAGTGTTCAGGCTCAACGCAAAATCTGACGCCCGTCCACTGCTCCACTCGCTCAGTTATTTAGCATGAGTCGGCCGCACAGCGCATGCGCTCACCCCATGGCGTCCGGCGCCTACTGACTTCTACGGCAACGGCGCCATGGCTCGCGCATGCGCATCCGAGTCCAGACGCCGGCTGCCAGGTTACGTCAGTGTCGTACAGACCGTTCTGGGCATATTAATAATGGCTGGATACTTTCCAGACAGACCTCACATATAATTAGTTGGGTTTTTTTAAAATTATGTGTTGGGTATAAAGTGAAGATAGATGAAGGACACAGAATTCAACTGGATAAGGAAATTATATCTGAAATAAGCCACTGGCTGTGACAGTAGGAAGACACTGAAGTTAGACATACTGTGTTTCCCCAAAAATAAGACCTACCCATAAAATAAGCCCTAGCAGGATTTCTAAGCATTTGCACAAT